GTCTCCAGCTCCGCGAGCGGTTCCGGTCGGACTTTCCTGTCCTGCGTCTGCACTCTGACAGAGGTGGTGAGTTCTCCTCCGACCTCTTGGCAGCCTACTGTGCGGAGCACGGCATCACCCAGTCGTTCACGCTTCCAGCCTCTCCGCAGCAGAATGGGGTTGCTGAGCGCCGCATTGGCTTAGTCATGGAGGTCGCTCGTACCTCCATGATCCATGCGGCTGCCCCCCATTTTCTGTGGCCGTTTGCGGTCCGGTACGCCGCGCATCAGCTCAACCTCTGGCCCCGTGTCTCCTTGCCGGAGACCTCGCCCACACTGCTGTGGACGGGGAAGGTTGGCGATGCGTCGCGTTTCCGGGTCTGGGGTGCTCGTGCCTTTGTCCGCGATACCACCGCGGACAAGCTCTCCGCCCGCGCTGTTCCCTGTGTCTTCCTTGGCTTTGTCCCTGACGCGCCTGGTTGGCAGTTTTACCACCCCACCTCGCGCCGTGTCTTTGCGTCTCAGGACGTCACGTTCGACGAGTCGGTTCCCTTTTACCGTCTCTTCCCCTACCGCACTGCCTCGCTCCCCCCCCCCGCCGCTCTTCCTCGCTCCAGGTGCTCCCCAGGTAGACCCCCTCCCCGCTCCCGGTCCTGCTCCTTCAGGTGTTTCTCAGGTAGACCCTCCTCCCTTGACTGCGCCGGTTGAGGTCACTGGTGACTCAGGTCCTACTGCGAGTGGTCCTGCTCGGGGTGCTACTTCTGGGGGTGCTGAGCCTGGGGGTACTGAGCCTGAGGGTGCGGAGCTTGAGGGTGTAGAGCCTGGTGGTGCTGAGCCTGAGTGTGAGGGGTCTGGGGGTGCTGAGCTTGGCGGTACTGACGCTGGAGGTTCTGGAGCTACTGAGGGTGCTGGCGCTGGAGGTTCGGGAGCTGCTGGAGGGCCTAGTCCTGGTGGCGCTGGAGCTGGAGGTTCTGGAGCTGCTGAGGGTGCTCGCGCTGGAGGTTCTGGAGCCGCTGGAGGTACTGGTGCTGAGGGTACTGACACCGGAGGTTCTGGAGCCGTTGGGGGTGCGGGCGCTGAGGGTTCTGAGTCTGCTGTTGCGCGGTCTCCTTGGAGTAGCCGCCTTCGTCCACGTGTGCCTCTCACCCCACAGCAGCTGCAGGACTGGTACGGTCGCCGTCAGCGTCGCGCCGCTGGAGCTAGGAGTCGTGCTGGTCCTTTGTCTACTGGAGGTGCTGGAGTTGCTGGTTCTGGAGGTGCTCGTGCTGGAGACACTGAGGCTGGAGACCCTGGGACTGGAGGTACTGGTTCTGGGGGTGCTGCTGCTGGAGACACTGAGGTTGGAGACCCTGGGACTGGAGGTGCTGGTTCTGGGGGTGCTACTACTGGAGACACTGAGGTTGGAGACCCTGGGACTGGAGGTGCTGGTTCTGGGGGTGCTGCTGCTGGAGACACAGAGGTTGGAGACCCTGGGACTCGAGGTGTCGGCTCTGGGCCTGGAGCTTCTGGAGCTGCTGGAGGTACTGGAGCTGCTGGAGGTACTGGAGCTGCTGGAGGCACTGGAGCTGCTGGAGCTGCTGGTACTGGTGCAGCTGCGCCGACACGACTGTTCTTCGCTCCGCCGTCTCTGCCGCCGTCTGCCTCTGTTCTTCGTCAGGTTCTTACTCTTCCGTCGTCTACTGGTCTTCCGTTACTGCCTGGCTCACCGCTGCCTGCTCCTTCTCCTTACACTAAGCAGACTGGTAGTCCTGCTGAGCGTCGTGAGCCTGCGTCGCGTCCTGTTTCGCCTGTTCGTCCTGGTCGTACCGGTCGTCGTGTTCCTCGTTCGCGTCAGCCGGCTGTCCCCGGCGCACACCTCGTAGTCCGTCGTCCTTCCTCTGCTCCGCCGCCTGTTCCTCTGCCGTCTCCTCCTGCGTCCTCTCTGCCTGCCGTTCCGGACCCTGAGTCTGACCGGTTTCGTACTGAGCACCCTACTGTCACGCGTCTCCTAGCCACTGTTGTCACTGACCCGTCGTTTGAGTCTACTGCTGCGTCTGCCTTGGTCGCTGAGCTTGTTGACTTTGCTGCTGCCTGTCGTCTAGACTACGCCGCTAGTCTTGTTGCTGAGTCTGAGTCTGTCTGTCCTCCGTCCGTCGGGGGTGAGTGTGCTCTTAGCACGGACGTCCTTGAGGACAGGCAGGAGGAGTTCCAGTGTCTTGCTGCTGCTTTACCTCATCTTGTGTCCTCGCTACTTGCCCCTGAGGGAGACCCGGATGCACCAGACATCCCGACTCCGCGCTCTTACGCAGAGGCGATAGAGGGTCCCTACTCCTCTCAGTGGCAGGCAGCCATGGACGCAGAGATGGCTTCCTGGAAGTCCACAGGCACCTACGTTGACGAGGTTCCCCCACCTGGGGCGAACATCGTCAGTGGCATGTGGATTTTCAGGGTGAAGCGGCCGCCGGGTTCTCCGCCTGTCTTCAAGGCGCGTTACGTGGCTCGAGGCTTCAGTCAGCGAGAGGGAGTTGACTTCTTCCAGACCTTCTCCCCCACCCCGAAGATGACCACTCTTCGGGTGCTGCTGCACGTTGCTGCTCACCGTGACTACGAGCTTCACTCTCTTGACTTCAGCACAGCTTTCCTGCAGGGCAGCCTGCACGAGGAGATCTGGCTGCGCCGCCCCCCGGGCTTCACTGGGTCGTTCCCTCCTGGTACCCAGTGGAGCCTCCGGCGGCCGGTCTACGGTCTCCGCCAGGCGCCACGTGAGTGGCACGACACACTGAGGACTACGCTTGCGGCTCTTGGGTTCGCGCCTTCTACTGCTGACCCGTCGTTGTTTCTGCGCACCGACACTTCACTGCCGCCGTTCTACATCCTCGTGTACGTCAACGACTTGGTTTTTGCCACTGCTGACACTGAGGCTCTCGCCCACGTGAAGTCGGAGCTGCAGAAGAGACACACGTGCACAGACTTGGGTGAGCTGCGCAGCTACCTTGGCTTGCAGATCACCCGGGACAGAGCACGCCGCACCATCACCTTGACTCAGTCACACATGGTGCAGCAGGTCCTTCAGCGCTTCGGCTTCACCTGGTCTTCAGCACAGGCCACTCCTCTGGCTACAGGTCACACGCTCTCAGCTCCACCTTCGGACGAGTCCGTAGAGCCGAGTGGTCCTTACCCAGAGCTAGTCGGCTGCCTCATGTACCTGATGACTTGCACTCGACCTGACCTCGCGTACCCTCTTGGTCTCCTCGCTCGCTACGTGGCTCCTGGTCGGCACCGACCTGAGCACATGGCTGCTGCTAAGAGGGTACTGCGCTACTTGTGCAGCACATCAGGCATGGGGCTAGTGCTTGGAGGGACGAGCCCAGTTGTCCTCACTGGGCACTCAGACGCTTCTTGGGTTGACGACCTGGCTACTCAGCGGTCGTCACAGGGTTACACCTTCAGCCTTGGCTCTGGTTCAGTTTCGTGGCGTTCTACACGCTCGTCTTCAGTTCTCAGCTCCAGTTGTGAGGCTGAGATCTACGCCACCGCCATGGCTGCACAGGAGTTACGTTGGCTCACCTACCTGCTGACTGACTTGGGAGAGCAGCCTCGTTCTCCTCCAGTGCTGTACGTTGACAACAAGGCCGCCATTGCCTTGTGTGAGGAGCACAGACTGGAGCACAAAACGAAGCACATTGCTCTGCGTTACTTCCTGGCTCGAGAGTTGCAGCAGCGAGGCCAGCTTCGTCTTCGCCACGTGGCCACTCGGGCCAACACTGCTGATATATTCACCAAGGCACTTCCGTCTGGTGATCATCAGCGCTTTTGTACTCTGTTGGGCCTTGTGCCTACGTTTCCACACTTGCTGTAGTCTCTGCTTGTACTGTGATCTATATATATACCTGTATGCTGGCTCTTGCTAGGTAGCCATCACTGTACTGTTATTGCTGCATATATATCTCTGCATGTGAACTGGCCTTGTGGCCCTTTGCTTGTGCTCAGAATGCGTGGTGACGTTGTGATCCACCCTGAGCTTGTTTTGCTTCTCTTGACTGGTCGTGTGACCCCTTGTTCTCCCCCACTTTGCCTATGGGGGTGTGTCAAACTGTATGTGCAGCATATTGTCTAGGCTGTAGTGGGGTAGCCCATATGGGGTACAACCAAATTAGGGTTAACTACTTGTACTCCTGCATCCTGCTAGTTCATTCATTCCTGCTGCTAGATTCTAACACATACCATACCACATGCATGTCTCCCATAACTAAGTACGGTATAAACATGCTTCAGGTTCCTGAACATATACGGTATGAATGCATACTAGATACTGGCAGGACACTTGCTTTCATCATCACCCCTTCACTCCCCCTTGATGAGAATCACACAGAACAGTTAGGATGTAGGTAGAGTTGTATGATACTGTGTACACCTGATAACATGGGCAGCTTACAAGCATTTTCGTATTGCAATCATATGTTCTCAATAAGTCAACCTTCCTCATCTCCCCAGTACTATACAGTGGCTCCGGTACTGGATGGATACAAACCCCAAAAGAGAAGTAGGTAGCAGCTTATTGCAGCCAGAAAAGGTACCGTCCTACGGTGTCTACGGTATCAGGCTTCAGGTCAGGCCAACCCCAACCCCAACCCCAACCCCAGCAGTCAAGCCGACGTATCCCACTACGAGCAACACGGGCTGCACCAGAAAGAAAAACAGAAACAAAAGCCTGTTACCAAGCAGCTTGCAATATCGTACGGTGGGTACTCGAGTAGCCAAAACCATTTCCCACACCAAAGCCATGAAAACAGCTCCGGCGGGAAGGTGAATAAGAATCGCAGGTTTGCTCGAAGCAGCTTGGCATAATCGGCCGGAATCGTCTCCCACACTGAGCAAATGAAAGCAGCACCCGTGGGAAGGGGGTGACTTCTGGGAGTACACTCGAAAATCACTGGGTTCCTCGGAGCAGCTTGGCATACTCGGGTGGAATCATCTCCCACACAGAGCAGATGAAAGCAGCACCTGTGGGGAGGGGGTGACTTCTGGGAGTACACTCGGAAATCACTGGGTTCCTCGGAGCAGCTTGGCATACTCGGGTGGAATCATTTCCCACACAGAGCAGACGAAAGCAGCGCCAGTGGGGAGGTTCTTTTTGGTGATGCGCACGAGGGCGAGAATGGTCTTGCCGGTGCGCTGGCGTGCCATGGACCAGCAGGACTTGTCCAAATGAGCGTCCACTCCTGCAATGAGATAAGGGAGAGGGATGATTGGGTGGACAGGGAGAGTAGCCTGAGAGAGGGTGCGCGAACAGGCAGAAAGTGCGCGGACGTGCACGACCAGCAGTACCGGTCTCAGTGTCATTTCGGCAAGATTTTAAAAGAGTACCGGCATATACGTGCCTATATGTTGAAAAGGGAGGAAAAGGGCAAGAAAGTACACAGCACCGCAACGTACCAACGTACCATGCAGCACCGTGCAGCACCGAACATACCATGCAGCACCGCAACCTACCGGGCAGCACCGCTACGTACCGAGCAGCATGAAGTCCTCTCTGCAGTTGATGTTGTAAAACAGATCCGGGAAAGCCACCGGCTCAGCCAGAGGATACACAGCCTCATCAGCAGCACCAGCACCCGCACCCGCTGCACCAGCTGCTGCTGCTGGTGGTGCTGTTGTTGGTGCTGCTGTTGGTGGTGGTGCGAGTATGGGCATGCAGAACAGCTTGCTGGCCTCTCTGTTGCAGGCTGTGACTGTGCCCAACGCGTCCACCACCAGACGGGATTCCCCAGCAGCCTGTAACGAGGATTGGGTGTAGAAGGGAGAAAAGACGTGAAGACACAGAGTTGAGTAAGATAAAGTGTTCCACTTTACCATCAGCCACTCATGTGGTGCTTTTTCAAACCAGGCCAAAACACACTAGGGCAGCACACACACAGGGACACTCACCGGCAAACGCCCCTTGTATAGCTTGCTCTTGTCCTCCATCTTTCTCTTCCTCTTGCTGATGCCAAACAGGATCTGCCTTGGTGTGTCTTCGACGACTCACAGCCCATCAGTACTAAAACACTCTCGACTCACACGCACACTGTCAACACACTGAGGGACACTCACCGGCACTCGCCCCTCATAGAGCTTGCTCTTGGCCTCCATTCTTCGCTTCCTCTTGCTGATTCCAAACAGAATCTGCCCCAGCGTGTCTACATGTCTCACAGTCCATCAGTACCTAACCTTCTCAACTCACCGACCGACACGCTGACAGCACACCCAAGTTCCACTCACCGGCACTCGGCCTTCGTAAAGCTTGCTCTTTGCCTCCATCCTTCGCTTCCTCTTGCTGATGCCAAAAAGAATCTGCCCCAGCGTGGCGGATAGTGGCTCCGTTGCATGCACTATATCCTCGTTATAGCCTCCCTCCTTGTTCGCTACCATCCACACGCCTACTAACTCGGTGCCTGTTTTATGGGTCGGAGCCGCGAAGGTAAAAGAGAAAGGGATGAGGGAAAGAAGGAGGGGAGGCGAAAAAAAAAAAGGCAGGAGGAAGCAGAGAAGGGGAGGGAAAAAAAAGGGGGGAAGGAAAAAAGAGGGGAAAAATGGAGCGGATATAGCTTGGAAAGCGGGCGGTAGAGGAGGTTGTAAGCTTAGCACACAAGGCCATACGTCCACATAATAATCCCGCACACTCACTCACCCATAAAAACAGGCACAGGGAGGCGATGGAGTAGAGCATTTACAGCACACTCTCACCCCCACATATCAACGGCAACACTCACTCACCCATGAACACCGGCACAGAGAGGAAGGCGTTGATGGTCGGGTGCCCAGGAGGGGTGCCGGAGGACTGGGGGTCGGAGAGCGGATGGTTGGAGATATACGGCTGACGAGAGGCAATGGATGCCCCGAGGAGGGACTTCATGTTGGTGAAGACGAGACCGCTGGCATAGTTGGCGAGACACCACTGGTGCAGCTCTGGCGTCCATGCCACGTTGGTAGCCGCGTGGGTCTGATTTGGGAAGGAAAGGGGAATAGAGAGGGGTAGGGAAGGGTAGAGAAGGGTACAGATGGGTGGAGACGGGTGGGGTACAGAAGGGGGGAACGGAGTGGTTAAGAGAAGGGGGGTTGATGAAGAGGAAGCAATGGAGGCGCCGAGGAGGGACTTCATGTTGGTGAAGACGAGACCGCTGGCATAGTTGGCGAGACACCACTGGTGCAGCTCTGGCGTCCATGCCACGTTGGTGGCCGCGTGGGTCTGTTTTGGGAGGGATGGAGAGCGGTAGAGATGGTTTGAGACGGTTACAGAAGGGTAGGGATGGATAGAGAGGGGTAGAGAGGGGGGGATGGAGCTGACAAGAGGGGCGGGATAGGGAGGAAGCAATTGAGGCGCCGAGGAGAGACTTCATGTTGGTGAAGACGAGACCGCTGGCATAGTTGGCGAGGCACCACTGGTGCAGCTCTGGCGTCCATGCCACGTTTGTTGCTGCATGGGTCTGTAGGGGTTAGCATGGGATAGAGAGGGGTAGAAAGGGAGGGAATGCATAGACGCCACTGGTGGAGCTCTGGCGTCCATGCCACGTTGGTGGCCGCGTGGGTCTGGTTGGGTGGAGTGTGGTAGAGAGGGGTGGAGAGGAGTAGAGATGGGTAGGGAGGGGCAGAGAGGAGGGGTGAAGGGAGTGAAGGGAGTGAAAGGTAGGGAGTGGTGCTGACACGTGAAGCTATGGCACCTGTTTGGGGCGCACTCGGACACCATTGCTCTCAAACCCACCTTGAGGTAGGGCGAGCCATCGTGGTGGTGCAGTGTAGAGGCAATGACGCCCATGGGGGACTGGAGGTGCAGCACAGAGGCGAGCTCACACTCACTCATGCACGGGCCAGAGCATACAAAGAGACGAGCGCGCACACACCTGTTCCCGAACCCACCTTGAGGTAGGGCGAGCCGTCGTGGCGGTGCAACACAGAGGCAATCACTCCCATGGGGGACTGCGTGAGGTCGAGGAGGGCAGCGAGGAGGTGGTCACATATCTTGGTGCCGTTGGGAGTCTGTATGGGGAGACAAGAAGAGAGAGTGTAGAGGGGCGAGAGGGGTTGTGTAAGAGGCGTGACGGCCATGGGGGACTGAGTAATGTCGAGGAGGGCAGCGAGGAGGTGGTCACATATCTTGGTGCCGTTGCGAGTCTGTGTGAGAGAAGGGTGTGGGGGATAAGAAGAGAGAATGTGGAAGGGAGAGGGGAGTTGTGTGATAATTGCTGTTCATGGGGATAAAAGGCTGAAAGACAGATGATGAAAGGTGATGATTAAAGGGTTGGAGATGACACACAGGAGGGATGGGAGAAACAGTTTCCTTCAGTAAGAACCATTAAGTATGCCATGCCATGTAGATAGTATTCTTACTTAGTTGTTTTTGTGTTGATATGGTGGTTTTAGTAATCTATAAACGGACGCACCTCATCAGTAAAGAAAAGCGAGTGTGCTTCAACCACCGCTGCAATCACTTTCCCCATCACCTCCGCTCCTCCTCCCCCGCCCCCCCTCGTTTCTCCGCTCCCACCTCCCCACTTCTCCCCCCCTTCGCAGCACCCGCGCTAACACCCCCGATACTCCCGCCACTGCGCCCACTGCTTCCGCTCATGCTCCCGCTTCCGCTCAGACTTCCGCTTCCGCCCTTGTGCGGGGATCCATGGGGGTTCCCCTTGCTATCCGCATCGCCCATGTTCACTTCCGCTCCAGTCACAGGACACCTAAGTACCATTTTCTCCGCGTTTGCCCTCCCATCCGCACCCCTCTCCGCCTTGACAACAACTGGCACGCCTCCCCCTGCGCTTAGCCCAGACGCTTCCAATCCCCCGACTCCCCCTCCCCCCATCCCCCCGTCCCTTCTCCTCCCAGCAGCACCAGCAGGCCTGTCTCCGCCAGAGCTGGATGGCCGAGGCGAGAGCGTAGGCACGGGAAGAGGTACGGCAGCTACACCATACGGATCCAAACCACCACTGAACACATCCGTGCCAACGCTGCCACCAGACGAAGCCAGTCCCGTCGCGATTTCGCTAGGGTTAGCACCAGCCGGATACGGAGAGTAAAGCTCCAATCCCGAACCACCCGAAGCGGAAGCAGAAAGCGATGAAAGACGACCACTGTCGCCACCACCTGAACCAACAGAGGCCCCGCCTGGAGAAGCACCTGGTTCCGACGCGCGAGAGCTCGAAAAACGGTCCAACTCTCCCGACTTCACCACGTTTCCCCCCTCCTTCATTCTAGTCACACCCCCCGTTTGTGTCCCCAACCCTTGCGCGCCACCAAAGTCAACTCGCTTATTAGCAAGTCGATCGACGTCGTACGAACCGGAGCCGCCTAGAGTCTCCCTCGCGTGTAGCAGGCTGACTCCCCAGCCCTTCCCTCGCGCCGCTGCCGAAGCTGTCGCTACGGCGCTTCCAGCAATCGAAGCCCTCCGCGTCGCGCTCTTTAACGTGTTCAACTCCAGTTGCTCTCCCCGCGCGGTCACTCCCGCTCCCGCCGTACGAGTAAGCTCCCCCGAGCCGCCGCCGCTGCTGCTTGTCTTCGTCGCGTCAAACGGTAAAACGGCCAGATCCGCCGCAACAGCCGCTTCGAGAGCCGATTCGAGATTCCCGAGGGACCTCGTACGAGTCATCCCTCGTGTCTCCTGTTCCGGTACCGCGTGACCTTCTAACGGGAGAATTAGCCCCTCGATAAGATCGTCTCCGTCCATGTCGTTGGCACCAAACTCGTCCGTGTCGCTTAGGTCGTCAATTTCGCCGCTGCACAGCTCCTCTAGCGAAACCGGCATGTCGCCAGTCATCGTGGAGCGAGACGAGGGGAAGCGTTGCGATTGCATGCTTCGCTCCGCTTCGCGCGCGTTCCGCATGGTGTGCAGATGATCCGCGGTCTTCCGCCGCGCAATCGCCGCTCCGCCCTCGTCGGCTTCCGCCATCCCCATCCCCATCCCCATCCCCATCCCCATCACCAGCCCCATCCCCATACCCGCACTGCGCGCCGGCACTTCGCGAGTGCCCTCTTCTCCATGGGCTGACCCACCCGAGTCGCCTGTTTTCGAACGCGTCAATTCCCAGGGCGCACCCTTACCCGCGCTGTTACTGGCTCCGCTTCCCCCGGTGCTCCCCCCCGCGCTCCCCGCACTGTTCGCTCCGCCGGAATCAGCGCTGGGACGCTCCGGGTCGGCGGAATGGCGCTTCGCTAGCCGCGTAGCGGCGCTCGCCGCCGCCGCAATCTGGGCGGGAGATGGGGAGGAACCAGCTCCGCCGGTTCCGCGGGAAGCGGCGGCAATGGCGGCGGCCAAGCGGTGATTAATAACCGCTGGCTGCGAGGGGGGATCCGCCTTCAGTTCCGCAGCGCCTAACGTGCCGGAAGTTACCTGGCTATTTCTCGGCGAGCCGCCCGCGCCCACCGCGGAGACGGATTGGAGGTGGCGAGCGATGGCGGCTTGGCGGAAGGCGGAGACTTTCTTCTTTCCGCCACTGGGGGAGGCGGTAAGAAGCGCGTCGGGCGCGGGGAAGGCCTTTAGCGCGGTAGGACCCAGCCTGCGCCGCAGCGCTTGCTGTTGGTTCTGCCCCTCTGCCTCCTCCTGCTGCTGCTGCTGTTGGGTCAGTTGTAACTCGCTGACCGCGTTAATAGGCGCCTCGTTATTCAGCGTAGCCTGCACCTGCTGTGCTATAACGGGGTTAGCGACTGCGGCTGAGGCCTTCGCTGCAGCTTGCCTGCATTGGGAATGACGGTAGGGCGAAGATAGTAGGGGAAACACGAATCAGTAGAACACGGGTTACCAATCCGCGAACTCGCGAGTGCTGTCGCGGACTTACCCGGATAGTGACCTTTATGTAAGCAACCTTTTGAAGTCGTCGATGCGACCGCGCAACCTATTCCTGCGCCCAGCTCTCACATCCGAGGCGCGTAGATATTTTTTGTCTTGGAGTTCCCTCACGGGTTGAACCATATGTCCAGGTCTATTCCAGTTTGTTTGAAGAGTATGATATCCTAGACTGGTTTTTGACAAGGAGATGACGTCACGCGAACGCACCTCACGTCAAGCTGAGCTGAGCTAATAGATGACCGCGTTGAGCTTGTAGACTGCATTGACTTCGTTGACCGTGACCCGCCGCGTTTGTCCTTGAACCTGATATACTTAGCAAAGTCCGGCGAGTCGGGGACCTTCGGCATCGCCGCAGACGAAGGCGATGCGGCCACAACCTCCGCTGCCGCCACCGCGGCTCGCACGTCCCCTTCCCCCCCACCAGCCTCGCCCTCGTAACTGAGAAAATTATGAAGCTCTTCGTCAAAGGCCTCCATGCCCTTGCTCAGCCCTTCTGAAATTACCGCTGGCGCGAACTGCCCCTCCTCTACCTCACCCTCCTCTCCTCTGCGGCCGCTGCCCCCGCTGCCGCTGCCGCCGCTGCTGCTGCTGCTGCTTTTAGCAGGGTCGATTTCGACCATAGGGGGCAATTTTGAGAATGAGTAGGCGGCGAAAAAAGACGTTCCTCCCGCGGAACTAGGAGCAGCTTTCGCGCGGACCGCTAACGCGGCGTCCGCATTGCTGAGAGCGGTTTTCTCCTGGCGCGCGTCGACGTTCTGAATGTCCACCTGCAGCCGCGCCGCCATTCCGGCGGACGGCCTTCCGAACCCCATTGCTCGCAGGCTCTATTTTCTGAGTACAGTCAGTCAAAGATAATTAACGGGTCCCAGAAGCCACGCCCATTCAAGAAATGTAACTGGAATACTGTTCTATTGAATCAGCGCTACACTGCCGCAATTTGAGGGTTGTGTTCGCAGCACCTGGACCCAATAAGTAGCCGGCAACCGCAGTCAATGGAGCTTGTCAATCTAGAATAAAAATAGCCATAAATAGGCGACGCGTTGCGAGTAGAGCGACCAGGGCTGATGCGTGAAACACGGTTTCGAAACAGCTGGCAGGAAGGAGTTGAAGTCTAAACCAGACAACCACTTTGGTGGCGGCGCTGCTTTGGTTAGGAGGCTGTCTTCAGAGGGGAAGTGGGAAGTGCGGTGTGGGGGGACGAGGGAAGGGGAGCGGGTGTGGATGAAGGTTCGGTAGGGGGAGCGGGTGTGCTTGAATCAACATTTGTAGGGCATCTGACTTCGGGAAACGGTTAATTTCAGAGATTAGGGCGTGTGAGGTCGGATTTGAAATTCAAAAAAAAGTGCGAACTTTGTGTGGTTACCAGTTTCGCCAATGTCGCATAAAGCTACGAGCGAAACTTCGTCAACTTTGGGTTTGGCAACATGCGAACTGCAAACTTGAACAAGACTCGAGTTTTAGTTGTGAACGTGCTTCGGCATGTTCACATTCACGTGTGTGATTTCCCGCACGTTCGAGCATCTGGCGAAATGTGCGAGCGACTCACGAGTAGCAACAGTTTCACAACGAACTCACCACAGCCTTCGTGTACTGAATAGAGACCACGTGGCGATAATCGGGTAACCTACTTTTTAGAACCGGGTAACCTACTTTGTAGAAATGCGGTTCGGTGCGTTTTTACAAGTTCGAATACGCGCACTCGACCTTGTATATGTGTGTGCTTTTCTGCAGTGTTGTGGTCCAGATGTGCGAACCCCGATACAATGAAAGTCGAGTTTGGTTCGACATATGTTCATGTAGCACAACTCGCCCTTAAAATGTAAACTTTCACAAATTCCACCGATCACACGCGCCCTTAGTCTTCGAGTCTGGGTTGACTGCGGGACATGGAATTCCACTTAGGACGCGGCACCTGTTCTCATTTTGCCAAGATCGATCGTGGGATGGGATCGATGTGCCGCCTGTGCCACCATTTTGGGTACCCGTGTACTCTACATTCTCGACGGTGTGCGAAAAACGGATACCAGCCATTGGCGATGTCGCACGATCGATGTGCCGTGGTGCATACATCGATCGTGCTTCTGGTTTGGCGGGAGAGCACATCGAGCGACAGGTGACAGTCGCGATCGATCGGCGTCGCCCACGGTCGCAGGGCGAAAATTCTCGAGTCGTTGCGAATGAAATTGCTGGGCGACCAACCACGCTCTGCCCTGATTGGCTGCGCGTTCCAGTCTGTTGGTGTATTCTGAGTCAGCCCCAACCTGCCCGACCCTGCAATATCGACCCTGGCACCTATAGCTCGATGTGACCACCCTACTGCAAATCCGCGGCGTGGGCACATCGGTGTGCCGAACGATGTGTGAGAATCGATGTGAGGCCCCGATCCTGGCAAAATGAAAACAGGTGCCGCGTCCTTAGTGACCTGGATACGAAATTCTTTTGAACTGGCCTCCGCAGTTTTAGAATTCCTTCTCCACTCCCTTCTGCATGGTCAAAGTGCGTTTCTGAGACAGAAAAAGGAAACTCGAATTCCCGAACTGCAAACTTTGGTTCAGGTTTGGGGCGTCCCTCACGAAGAAGAAAGGGGGGAATCAAAGAAATTTGTAGGTATCGTCGGACACATTCCGTCTCTTCGTACTGTACATGATATCTTCGATCTATGCGGACAAATTAAAACAGGACTTTTAGGAAGAACTTGTTCTGTGTTAGTTTTAAAATGCGCCCTGTGTGCAGGAGAGACGAAACTGAAGGGTGGATAGGCGCGGGACCATACAGTACTTCTGCAGCCTTGCAAAATATACAGTTCATGGATGTATTCGACACGTAGGCTCACCCAACTTCAATTCCGCGTGACTTACGGGTACAGTACTAATATTTAACGGCGGTGTCCAGATAAGGTGGTGTGCTTGCGCTATCGCACACTGGTACCGAACAGACGCATATGGCATAAGATCCCAGGTGAAGTTCAGGAATTACGGAAAACAATTGTGGTGCTGAACTGGGCCACGTTGAGACCCCAGACAAAGAATTGCAGCTCCACAAGCACCACAGACAATCCATGACAGCAAGGTGATACCGTATGCGTGCAGGTTTGGATAGCATAGTGAATGGAGACGATATTCCACCCACAGATATTGATTGGACTTGTGGACGAGATCCACCAACAGAAACCACCCTTCCTGTCATACAGCATGTCCACCACCAGTCACACTAGCCACGTGTCTTGTGATGTTTGCATATTCACGTCATTTTTCGCGTCGCGATTCTAGTCAGTACCGTGCCGACATCTGGAATCAGGGTGAGTGCCTTCACTTTAGAGCGTGTTACATCTGCCCTATTTTCAAGGATCACGTAGCTGAGATCACCAACACCCCAACCGTAGGATTCAGAGTGGTCAAACAACAAGTTTTTGGGGCACATCACGATCCTTGTTGGTGTACCATCTGCAAAATTGCAGTGTTGATCCCCTGCGACCAGGCGACGTCGCCTGAAACGACGCGACAGTCGCGATTTTTGGATATGTTCATTGACCATGTTGACTGCGTTACTGGCGCGAATTCAACAGCCTCATTGGTTCGAATTCCATCAAAAGAATGCTCTGATTAGTTGCGAGCTTGTTACAGAAAATTGCGACATAAAACTTTTCGTCGTCAAGGATCACCCTGTCTTTGGTACAATGATGCAAGGATCACCTAGAGATTGGCAGTCACCATGATCTCTCGGTAAACACCAAGATCGGGTACTTAGGGAACTCGTGATTGCGATCCTTCCTCTGTTGGTACATCACCTGACACAGTGATTACTGTAGAGTGGTAGGTATGACACTGTTCCGCAAGGATCGCCTGCACGATCCTCAAAATGCAGCAATCTTTGCTTGGGTGTAACACGCTCTTACAGCCCGAAGTATTGGATGCATTTGTACTCCACTATAAGCTCATAAATCCTGCTCGTTGCAGAAGCTCATAATCACTGTGGATTATGATAATCTCTTATCGATTTTATAATTTCTACCCTTTTGCGCTCGTCCATTAACTGATTAGCTATGTCCAGAGCCGTTAGCCCATTCGAATCCTTCTGCAATGGCTCAAACCTCCCAGAAGCTAGAAGAAGAGAACACACTCCCACATGCCCCCACCCCACTGCAACATGGAGTGCACTGCGCTTGCTGTTGGTTCTGTCTTTGCTACACCTACAATCATCTCCTCTGTTGCTTGCTGCTGCTCCCTCCTCCATTCCCTTCTGGTCCTGCTCTTGTTGCTCCAGCAGCCACTCAACAGCTGCCACGTGTCCCCTACTCGCCGCCCAGTACAAAGGCGTGGTGCCTGCATTATCCAAGGGATCCAGGGGAGCCCCGTGCAGACTCAGCGCACGCATGGCATCCACATGGCCTGCAGCAGCAGCACGGTGAAAAGCAGTCGCTCCAGATGCATCCCGACTGTTCACATCAACCGAAGTACCTCCAGACGTCTTTCGACTGCTCGCATCAACTAAAGCCCGCATACTGCCAGAATCATCAAGCTCATCCGGAATGAAAGCCTGAGCAGTAACAACTGTTAAACTCTCCGCCTTGGTGTTTGTCTGAGTTCTCTGAGGCAAGTATTTGGCTAGACCAGAAGTTGTGGTGCCACCAGCGAGCAAATGAATGATTGCCACGTGTCCCCCTGCAGCTGCTTCATGGATAGGCTCCGAACCAGAGGAGTCCCGCGCCCTGGGATTGGCCCCGTGCTTCAGCAGCAGCTCACAGACCGCCACGTGGCCATGCAGGCAGGCGGAATGCAGGGGAGTGCGGCCGTTGCGTGTGCGCGCATTTACAAACAGATGTGAGTGGCTTTCGCTGTTCACAAAAGGACTAACGGCAGAGCGCGTGTGAGAATACACTGGTGCAGTTGATTCGGATGCGGGAGGAGAATCGGGCGCGGAAATTGATGTGGGAGAAGCAGACGTGCCTGTACGGCGCACACCTTCCTCACCATTAGCTCCCTCTCCACCTGGCGTTTCACCTGGCAATCCCACATGCTTGTCCTCTCTCTCAGCAGCATCCAACAGCACGCCCACCACCTCCTCCGCCCCTGCTCGCGCCGCCAGGTGAAGCGCGTTCTCCCCGCACCTGTCCGCCGCCCGCCACGCGCTCGCGCTCCCGCCTCCTGCGCTTCCCCCCGCGCCATTCCCCGCAGTTTCGGCGCCTATTTTGCCCCCCTTTTCCCCCGCGCGCATGTGGGCCAACAGGAGCCTCGCGCACTCCGCGTGCCCCCCTGCGGCCGCGCAGAGCAGCGGAGTGAAGCCGTTGGCCTTCCGCGCAGCGGGGAGCGCGCCCAGGGAGAGCAGCAGGCGGGCGATTTGCGCATGCCCGTGCGCGCACGCCTCGTGAAGCGCGGTCTTGCCGGAGGGATCGCGAGAGTTGACGAACTCCGTTAGCTCTGGTGTAACCGTGTTACCGACGGGGAAACCTAAAGTTCCCGCTGTGAATATAATCGGTTCCGAAATCTCGAATAGATCTGCGCCTCCGGGATTGCCGGGAGTCGAGAATCCAAATCTGAGGTTGAGAATGTCCTGCACGCGAGCCAGGTCGCCGTCTCTTGCGGCGAAATGAAGCAACCGCCAATCGGCGACATTTGATGAACTAACGCTGATGCCAGTCTCGCGAGCTGGTGTTCTAGGGATATCAGAGCCCGAGGCGCCTTCGGTCGCGGCAGCGCGACGACTCTGTTTGTTTCGTCGTCGTCCCATATAGTCAAGATATCTGGTATACTAAGGGGGCTCTACATGCGTTAGAGAAACCAAGAAAACTCTGTTAGTGGTGAGTGGGTCAAGTAGTTATAGCGTTCACTAGACTCCTAGTCTCTGCTCAAAGCCTCGCGTTCACCAGACTCCTAGTCTCTGCTCTAAGCCTCGCAAACATGCATGGATAATTTACAAAGTGCCCCCAACATGTGCTGTGGTTCGATTATCTTCGCTGATGAGTCATTCGTTGTGATTGCAGAACTATCGCGAAATGATACGAAGAGTTTGACATATATGTGACTAATCATTTTGTGCTTTGCTTTCCCGTGTTGGAGCACAGTAACCTAGCTGCACGAAAACAATCTGGGTTCGCTTCGGCACTTGGAAGCAACCTCACCCTCACATTAGCTTTCGCTGGCAATCTCGCAGATCATCGTCACATGCGGCACTCGTTTGGAAAAACAAATCCAACCGAACCCCCAAGAAAACTGGCGACTGGGCCATGTTGGGCTGGCTGCTGCTGGGCATGAATGGAATTTTCTTGGGGGTCGCCGAAATTTGACGTGGTTGAGCGAAAAGAACGATTTTCAACAGCGCGCTGCCAGCCTGGCGACCACCACCAGGCCAGGTCCAGGTGGTTTGGTTGGGCTGGCTGGGCTGGTTGCCTGACCGCGCGAGCGAGGCGCGATTGAAACACTGCGGAGCGCACATGTTCACCACACCACACCGCCACGCCCATCCGCCACTCCCCTTCCACACCTGTTTGTCTTTTCCGCCACCACGTCTCACCTCACCCTCCCTCTCCTGCCTCCTTTTCCTTGCTCCCTTCCCCTCTTCCTTCTCCCCCCAAGGGTCCCCTCAAGCTCCTTCCCTACTCTTCCTCCCCTTCCCTTCCCTCCTCCCCTTCCCTTCCCTCCTCCCCTTCCCTTCCCTCCTCCCATCTCGGTTGTCTGCGGGGCTATATTGTCAAGAAAAGCATTGCCTGCTCCTCGACCTCCCTGTTCTTTTTCTCCTTCCTCCTGACTCCCCAAGTCCTGCATTTTTTTTGCACCAGCCTTGTTAGGGTACGACCGTGCTATTAGGAGTCTTTCCCAACTCGCAAGCCAATAGCTCCCATTGGCGCTGCTAGTTAATTATCCTTACCAGCCTTTCCACCGTGATTCCCGATAATATTCACCAATTCTAACCGATAGATTTCATTTTTCCATGGTCCCGAGGCCCTTCAAAAGAACCGCATCCCCCTTCGAAGGCCGTTTCGTCTTGGCGATCATTCGAAGTCGAGAATTGGCATTGGCGATTTATCAATCCCAACTGCTCCAAACACCGCTCGCTCACGATAGATAGCCGCCACTTGATCGCCACCCTCGCATCGCCATGACTCGGTTGCGACGGCATCTTGCGCTGTTGATCGTCGTAACCACTCTCGGTAATTATAATGCAGCTCTCCTTCTCTCTCTCTCTCTCTCTCTCTCTCTCTCTCTCTCTCTCTCTCTCTCTCTCTCTCTCTCTCTCTCTCTCTCTCTCTCTCTCTCTCTCTCTCTCTCTCTCTCTCTCTCTCTCTCTCTCTCTCTCTCTCTCTCTCGTGCGTGCGTGCGTGCGTGCGTGCGTGCGTGCGTGCGTGCGTGCGTGCGTGCGTGCGTGCGTGCGTGCGTGCGTGCGTGCGTGCGTGCGTGCGTGCGTGCGTGCGTGCGTGCGTGCGTGCGTGCGTGCGTGCGTGCGCGCGTGCGGGCGTGCGGGCGTGCGTGCGTGCGTGCGTGCGGGCGTGCGTGCGGGCGTGCGTGCGTGCGTGCGTGAGGGCGTGCGGGCGTGCGGGCGTGCGGGCGTGCGGGCGTGCGGGCGTGCGGGCGTGCGGGCGTGCGTGCGTGCGTGCGTGCGTGCGTGCGTGCGTGCGTGCGTGCGTGCGTGCGTGCGTGCGTGCGTGCGTGCGTGCGTGCGTGCGTGCGTGCGTGCGTGCGGGCGGGCGGGCGTGCGTGCGTGCGTGCGTGCGTGCGTGCGTGCGTGCGTGCGTGCGTGCGTGCGTGCGTGCGTGCGTGCGTGCGTGCGTGCGTGCGTGCGTGCGTGCGTGCGTGCGTGCGTGCGTGCGTGCGTGCGTGTGTTTTCAAGGTGCCTTGAATGAAAACTACATAGCCACCTTCAAATTTCCTCTAAACTCCCTGGTTCGACTTCCCACTCTCAAATTCCACTTCTCTGAATCGGCCTCGCCGTTTTCCCCGCGATGTTTCTCCCTCGCGATGTAACCATGATTTTTCACAATTCCCCCTTTCTTAAGAAAACCCCCAGTCTATTGATTCGCGCGTAACTCTTAGACGTGATTTTAAATCTAGCCGACTCCCAATCCAAGAAGCGGGCTCCTAACTTGGCCCACCAGGCTTGCTCCTGCCCCTTCGCCTTTCCCCTCTCCACATCCACGCAGTTGCCGCGTCGCTATGGGGATCAGCTAACGCAATGGTCGCCGCCGCTGCCGCCGCCGCCGCCGCTGCTGCCGCCACCTCGCAACAATGGCCGAAAATAGTAGGTCAGTGCCCTCCCTTGCTCTCCGGGAAAACTCCCCACGCGTTTCTCGCGTGGCATATTCGCCTTCTCACAACCCCTTTCGCATATTCGCTTTCCACCCCGCCGCTGCCGTTCGCGTCGCCTTTGCATGTCGTGCTCGACGGTGCTTCCACCACGAGCATTGCAGATATTGAGGCGCGGCAAAAAAACGTCGCATGCCGAGTGCTAAAAGGAAAATAGACAAAGAAGTCAACCCCCCTTCCCCTCATCCCCTCCCCCCTTCGCGTCCCCCCCTCTTTTCCCCCTCCCTCGCATCCCTCTCCCATCCGCGTTACAGTGCACTCCGAGTCTCCTCTACGGCCGTGCCTTCGGGTCTTTCAAGGAATGAAAGGCGTCGCCACCATCTCCTCGTTAAAATCACAGTGAGTACAGTCACAATACCGAATTCTGTATAGCAGCCCCCATAGCCCTTCGCCCCTCCAACAACTGTGAGCATCACCTTGCCGTTGTCACTTTTATCATCCTCCCGCTCCTCTCATTTCCCCTTCCTCCACCACTCTCCCAACCTCACATTCCCCCCCTCCTCCGCCCTCTCTCCTTTTTCGTCTCCTGTCTTCCAACCCCCCACCCCCCCTTCACCTCTCCCATATCAGATCAGGAAAAGACTCTGTTTCTTACTCCCTCGTAATCTCCGGAACCGCTTCCCCCCCTACACACTCCAGCCTCGTTATAGGCAACCCATGTAACCCTCTCGTGTCACCAAAACCCTTTCTCACTATGAATGGCACCTGGGTAGCCTGGTCATACAAGAACCAACCCGCCTGGATGTTACAGGGCAGGGTTACTACCCCCGCACTGGTCCGTGCTGTGCTGTCCTACGGCCGATCGTACAGTGGAGATTTGTCCGATCTGCATGTGGCGTTTTCTGGCAATCAGACCCTCGCGGGAAGAATGAAGTTTGTGGGAATGACAACTGTAGCTCCAGTATTGCTGTCTACACCCATTACTCGACCTCTTGCACGATCTGGTGCTCACCCTGCTGTGGCTACTGAGGCTCCTGGTGCAAGCGACTGGTGGCATCCTGCTTCCGGGCGGCACACAGCTAGCACACAAGGGCGACCACTGGGACAGGGATTAAGAGGCGAAGGAGAATGGTGAAGCGGCTTTGCATGGAAGGGGATGCACTCTATGACGTGCATTGAAGTTCAATGTACACCCATATAACGGATGATGCACAAACGAGAGGTCCCACATGGTCCTCATCCATGGGGAAGAGCAGCAAGATGGGGTCCTTTTAGCAACTATGAACCCATGATATGGACGATGTTTGCCCAACACCCAATTCTTTTATTCTTTGAATATTCGTTTGCATTGGGAGCTGCATGCCTCCAGCTAGCACATGCTATGGTACCAGTGACAAGCTAGCACATGCTATGGTACCAGTGACAAGCTAGCACATGCTATGGTACCAGTGACAAGCTAGCACATGCTATGGTACCAGTGACAAGCTAGCACATGCTATGGTACCAGTGACAAGCTAGCACATGCTATGGTACCAGTGACAAGCTAGCACATGCTATGGTACCAGTGACAAGCTAGCACATGCTATGGTACCAGTGACAAGCTAGCACATGCTATGGTACCAGTGACAAGCTAGCACATGCTATGGTACCAGTGACAAGCTAGCACATGCTATGGTACCAGTGACAAGCTAGCACATGCTATGGTACCAGTGACAAGCTAGCAGAGTTCCTGCCTGGTAGCAGACAGAGATGAGTTTGAGCACGAACCTGTAGGCAGCTTTGCAGCCCCAAGGAGTGAGAGGACTTCCCACACATCAACCACCATATTTGAGCATTGCTTGCATTGAACCCAAAGGAGCCCTGTGGCCAACCAACACGTGTGCTATAAGGAAAATCATCATACTAAATGTGTTATAAAAGAATCCCCTCTATTGAGCTGTTGATCCTGCAGCTGCTGCCCCTGCCTCTTCCGTCTCTTTTGGCACACCCAGAAAAATGTTTCCGGGCAGTGTGACAGGGTTCTTGAGCTCTACAACCACTTTTTTCCAGTCGGGGCGGCGGTAGTATCCGTACTGGCTCCGTTTCTTCTTGCCCTCGTAGTTCATTGTGTGTACTCGGGACACTTCTAGATTGTAAACTGTCTCTAGAAAACGACGAATCTCCACCTGCACGTGAAAAAAGAGGGAAAGAGAGGGAATGTAACAGATAGGGGGGTGAGGAAGTGAGAGATGTGGGGATGGGAGAGGGCGTGAGGGGGAACGGTAGGGTGACAGGGTTCTTGAGCTCCACAACCACTTTTTTCCAGTCGGGGGGCGGCGGTAGTATCCATACTGGCTGCGTTTCTTCTTGCCCTCGTAGTTCATTGTGTGTACTCGAGACACTTCAAGGTTGTACACTGTCTCGAGGAAACGTCGAATTTCCACCTACCAGGGAAGCACACGGGAGGGTAAGACAGGGATGGTAACGCATTTTTCGACATGACACAAACATCACTTCAAGGTTGTATGGTGTCTCAAGGAAACGTCGAATTTCCACATAGACTGTGAAAAAGAGGGAAAGAGAGGGATTGTAACAGATTCAGGGAGTTAGTGAGGATGTGAGAGAGGTGGATATGGGAGAGGGTGAGAGGGGGAACGGTAGGAGGAGAATAGGGGGAAGGATTGGGAGCGGGAGGGTTGGAGGAGAGATGGGGATTGAGTGAGGGATTAATGAGGGGAGAGGGGGATGAGGGTACTGGCGGGGTTGAGGGGGAGTAAAGGCGGAGGGATGAAGTCATGGTTGTTGATTTGACGTAGGTCAGCCAGAGAGGTGAGAGAGGATAGGTGGGAGATGAGGGAAAGAGAATGAGTGTGTGTGTGTGTGTGTGTGTGTGTGTGAGAGAGAGAGAGAGAGAGAGAGAGAGTGAGAGGAGGAGAGAGAGAGAGAGAGAGAGAGAGAGAGAGAGAGAGAGAGAGAGAGAGAGAGAGAGAGAGAGAGAGAGAGAGAGAGAGAGAGAGAGAGGGGGAGTGGGAGAGGGGGAGGTGAGAAACGAGATGCGCTCCAGAATAAACAACCGGCACGCTATGATACGCATAAGCCTATCAGCTCAGCTTACCTTATTGACAGATGGTATGGTTCTAAAGACGACCTCCTTAATGTTCTCCAGCGACTCGGGCCGCACGATGCGGAGAGGAATGTTCGCGAAGTGGATGAGTCGGCCCATAGCGGGGATGTGGAGGATGATACGGAGGAGACGGAGGATACGAATTTGACGACGCGTGGACGCGTTAACGCGTGGACGGAACGGGCGGCGGGTGACGGACGAAGTGGGAAGGTGTGGAACGTGGTTGTGTGCGGTACCGGGTACTGACTAAGGAACGGATCGTGACTTGATGCGTTGAGCGGGACGGGCCGCGCTCGAGCGAGAGGAAAGGGCGGAACGAATGCGAGGAACGTACGAACGCGACGCGGACGACGCGTGTTTGAAGCACGAGCGCAACGGACGGCAGACGCGCTACGCCGGAAAGTCGGGGATGATTTCTAGCGACACTCAATCAGACGACGCGAGCAGATGAAGGAATCGGGATCGCGAGGGTCGGAGACGCGGCACGGAGGTTCAGCGATGGTTGGCAGCGATAGGTTGCCAACAGCGCCGCTTCGCGGCACCAAACGAACAATCAACAACCAGCCCGCGTGGTACCTGAGATCGCGATAGTTAACGATGCGCCTAGGTTTCACCGCGACGCCATTGGGGTTCGCCCCTACTACCTCGGTTCCTAGGGTCCTGTTCGCTTTGCTATGTGGTCTAGTTTCCTGTAGTCTGCTCGGTGGAGCTGGATTTCCGATGGATTCGTCACGGTGTAAGATGGGGGAAAACCTGTCATACGATGCCTCGTTACACATCTTCGGAACAAGCACAAAAACTCAGGCACATGTTTGTTGTGATGTCCCATATAAGCTGAAACAGTTCTCTTTTATTCCCACCAAACACTACCTACCTAACGTACATGGACTAGTTCATTTCTAAGCATTTTCACACTTTCTTAAACACTTGAAACCTTCCTCTTCATAGTCAGCACGCGATATCCAGAAGTCGGGCTTGTCCTGCAAACAAAATGAATGAAGGGTGAGAACAATTTCACATGTGAACTCATATATCCAATCTAATCTACAGTACGCATCATCCAGGAATGTGAAATAGCACACATACCTTCATGATGTCAGCAAGTACAGCACCCCCTAGGAAGACAAGGTGCTTGCGATTCGGGGGGTCTTCGATCCTTAGCTTGAACTTCTGCTTACATAGGGTTTGTTGGAGAGTGTAAAAAGAGAGTGCAAGGAGGTGTAAATGATTGAAACAATTGTGTGTGCGGATCTGAGATGAATTCACCTATATGCAAGCAAAAGTTGATGTGCCTATGTGCATACATTCACACATGCATCCAACCAACCAATACACATACACATACACATACACATACACATACACATACACATACACATACACATACATTCGCACACACCCACACACCCACCTTGAGTCCGTCCTTGTTGCCCTTCAGCACATGCTTTAAGTAGCGGTCCCTCACTTCCCTCTCCAATCGTGTCGGCAGCCCAGGAAACATAGTAGAGCCGCCACACAGCATAATGTGCTGGTATAGCTGGTGACGTACAAGAGGGAAGAGATGAGGATGAGTGAGCGGATGTGCAGTTGGTAGTGGTGGCCTATGGCCATGCCTTGAATGGTTAGTGAGATGGTCACATCAGCCTACAATCAGCATCTAAGTGACTATAGTCTGTGCCTGATTTGATTGTATGACCTTCGCTTGAATGGTCTATGTCCATGTCTGGAATGGATCTGATAAGAAGGGCACATCAGCCTATGATCAGCTTATAGTTAGTAAATCCACGCAGGAGGAAAGAAGGGTGAAACACGTACGCTCAAGCGATGGTCTATGTCCATGTCTTGAATGGTTCTGAAGATTACATCGGCCAATCCGAGTCCTTCATTGTCGATCAGCTCCTGTAAATGCCATGCCACGCCACGCCACGCCACGCCATGCCATACGATGCATTGCACACACCACCCATAAATGCACATCAGCCATATGCGTTCATCCACACACCGGGCCATACATGCCATGCCATGAATATAACCACCATACAAGATGCCGTGCAGGAATTGCAATGCAAGTACCATGTGAAGATAATCGACATACGCATCAGTTTTGAAATTCCAAAGGAGGCATGCTACATAAAAAAAGGCACGGGTTGATTTTTCACGACAAACTGACATGAACTCCTAGGCAAGATGCAGGCAAAATAGAGAGTCTTAGAAATTCGACAAGAGAGTCACCAGCATAACAGCGTACGGATGGTAAAGGGTTGCAATTATGCTTCCAAAAAATGGTAAATGGTATAAAGAGGGGGAAAGGAGGAAGGAGACGAGAGAAGAGGGAAGCATACAGGGGAGAAGAGGGCTTCTGGTGCTTGGAACCGCTCTGCACCAATTCGAATCGTTCGACCATCAGGCAGCTGATGATTAGAGAGAAAGGGAGAGGGGGGATAAGGGGGGGAGGACTTGGGGCAGTGTGTACAGAAATGAATGAAGGGAGAGCGATGGATAGAGAAAATGGTGTGTGCACGTGTGTGTGAGCCCGCGTGTGTGTGTCTGTGTGTGTGTCTGTGTGTGTGTTTGTGTGCGTGTGTGTGCGTGCATGCCCGCGCTGCGTGCACACGTGCGTGCGCATGTGCACGTGTGCGTGGGCCCCTGAGTCAAAGCAAAGCTGCTTGCTTTTTAAGCCCACTTACAGTAAAATCTTTAACAAGCACTGTTGTGTCCTCAGCCTGTTGCATCCGTTTCTATCTCTTTGCAGCCACAAACCGGCATTCAGCATTTTGAGTTAAAGCAAGATAAATGGCTACAATGCCCACTTACAGTGAACTCTTTAACAAGCACGGTCGTGTCCTCTGCCAGTTGCATCTCTCTCTTGTAATCACAGCTGATAAGGAGTACATAAGTGAAAACGAATGGGATGAGGTGGGGAACGGAGAGAGAGGGTAAAACAGAGCCACTCGCTGCACTGCATTTGCTGCTGCCCTGATTGCTGCAATGTTGCTTTTACATTGCTTGCATAAAAATATAGAAAATCAAAGGGGCTCCAGCGGAGGTGATGGTGGGACTTGTAGGGACCCTCTGCAACTAGGTTGGGGAAGTGGCTGTGCATGAAAGGTTGGGATTTAAGAGCGATGTTGATTCGGCAGCATATGACTCGCACATTCACTCGCTCACCCCCTCCCTCACTTGCTCACTCACTCACTCGCTCACTCGCTCACTCACTCACTCACTCACACGCCACCTATTCACTCACTCGTTCACAACACCACTCATTCGCTTGTTCGCTCGCTCACTCACTCACTCAATCACTCACTCACTCACTCACTCACTCACTTGCTCACTCTCTCACACACCTCACGAAGCAGAGCTGTTCCTTTATGGCCCTTGCAGCTTCAAAGTCAGACACCTTGCTGAAGGGGTAGCTGGAGAGGAGAGGGGGGAGGACAGGTAGGCGGGAAAGTTGAGGGCGGAGTGAGAGAGGAGCACAGGGACAGAGGAGTTCAGCAGAGCTGTTCCTTTATGGCCTTTGCAGCTTCAAAGTCAGACACCTTGCTGAAGGGGTAGCTAGAGATAAAGGGAGAGGGGAGAGGAAAAGTGGGACAGGGGAGAGGAAAAGTGGGAGAGGGGAGATGGAAAGAAAGAGCTGAAGGAGGAGGGTGAGAGCACGAACCCTAGCCGCATCATGAGATCAATGAGGTGAGACGTGCTATGCCTACCTGCATCAAAGCTGCTCCTTGTTGTGAGTGGACTCAACAGTACTGAGATGTATGTATGAAGGAGCACCACACGTACGTACCCTCGCTGCATCATAAGATCAAGGAGGTGAGACGTGCTCTGCCTACCTGCTTGTAACGCTGATCTGATCCTCGTTATGAGTAGACTTGACGACGATACAATGTAATCCAAGTCATGTATGAAATCGGAGATGAGGGATGGGAATTATTGAGCACACACATACCCGCGTCGCATCATAAGATCAAGGAGGTGAGACGTGCTCTGCCTACCTGCATCAAAGCTGCTCCTTGTTGTGAGTGGAATCAACAGTACCGAGATGTATGTATGAAGGAGCACCACACGTACGTACCCTCGCTGCATCATAAGATCAAGGAGGTGAGACGTGCTATGCCTGCCTGCCCGCTATGCTGATCATGATTGAATCCAAATGAACAAATGCACAATTGAGCACACACATACCCGCGTCGCATCATGAGATCGATCAGGTGGGATGTGATCTGCCTGCCCGCAATGCTGATCCTCGTTGCGAGCAGACACAACAATGTATGCAGGTACGAATGAGCACACACATACCCTCGTCGCATCATGAGATCAATGAGGTGGGATGTGATCTGCCTGCCCGCTATGCTGATCCGCTTTGTGAGGTGCGGGTATGCAAAGCCCTCCACCACTGGGACCTGGGAGAAGCACAACAGGGGAAGGAGGGGGAGAGGGGAGGGAGACATGGGGCACAGGGGAACAACACGGAAGTGTGAATCTCCCTGCCCGCTATGCTGATCCGCTTTGTAAGATGCGGGTATGCAAAGCCCTCCACCACTGGGACCTGGGAGAAGCACAACAGAGGAAGGAAGGGGAGAGGGGTTGTGGGTTTACAGGTGGAAGTAAGAGACTGATTGATCTGCCTGCTCGCAATGCTGATCCGCTTCGTGAGGTGAGGGTATGCAAAGCCCTCCACCGCAGGGACATGGAGGGAAGCCCAAGGGGGAAGGAGGGGAGAGGGGAGGGAGAGAGCTCCTGGGGCACAGAGGAACAACACGGAAGTGTGAATCTGCCTGCCCGCTATGCTGATCCGCTTTGTAAGGTGTGGGTAGGCAAAGCCCTCCACCACTGGGACCTGGAGGGAAGCCCAAGGGGGAAGGAGGGGGAGACGGGAGGGAGAGAGCTCATGGGACGCAGAGGAACAACACGGAAGTGTGAATCTGCCTGCCCGCTATGCTGATATGCTTGGTGAGGTGCGGGTAGGAAAAGCCCTCCACCACTGGGAGAGGGAGGGGAGGAAGATCATGGATGGGAGTAGGTTGCAGAGACACATGAATCTGCCTGCCAGCTATGCTGATCCGCTTTATATGGTGAGGATAAGCAAAACCCTCTACCATGGGGACCTGGAGGAAGGAAAGCCAAACAAGAGCGGAAGGAGGGTGTGCAAGGCGGTGGGGAGGTGAGAGGAGGAGTCTTGGGGATGCGTAAAGCTGTCGCCCCTCCAGGTGCCCACTAAACTGTCGCCCCTCCAGGTGCCCACTAAGCTGAAACCGTGAAGTGGGGAAATGAAGATTCCTTCCTTTCATAGCAGCACTGGCAGCACTGGCAGCACTGGCAGCACTGGCAGCACTGGCAGCACTGGCAGCACTGGCAGCACTGGCAGCACTGGCAGCACTGAGCGGCAGCCCTGGCACTACTGGCACTACTGGCAGCACTACTGGCAGCAAAGCATACAACGACTTAACTCGAAAGAGCCGATGGGCTGCGTGATGCAGTGGAAAGAATCAGAGCAGGAGGGGACCGAGAGGGGGCAGCAGCAGCAGCAGCAGCAGCAGCAGCAGCAGCAGCAGCAGCAGCAGCAGGAGGCCAAGGAAAGAATCAAGAAACTGAACGAGGGAAGAAGGCAGAGGAAACAGAGGCATTCCAGATGCTAGAGGGGCCAGCAGCTGTGCAGCAGTGCTTACTGCGTGTGTGGCGCTTTCCCCAGAGTCCACCACGAGCCCTGTCAGAATGCCTGGCATGGGAGAGAGAGGGAGTGGTTGAGAGTGAAAGAGGAGAGAGGGATAGGGGGAGAGGTAGAGATTGTTTGGTTGGCTAGAGAAGAAATACCTCCCTCAATTCCTCCCTCAGTTCCTCCCTCAGTTCCTCCCTCCCTCAGTTCCTCCCTCAGTTCCTCCCTCAGTTCCTCCCTCAGTTCCTCCCTCCCTCAGTTCCTCCCTCAGTTCCTCCCTCCCTCAGTTCCTCCCTCAGTTCCTCCCTCAGTTCCTCCCTCAGTTCCTCCCTCAGTTCCTCCCTCAGTTCCTCCCTCCCTCAGTTCCTCCCTCCCTCAGTTCCTCCCTCAGTTCCTCCCTCAGTTCCTCCCTCAGTTCCTCCCTCAGTTCCTCCCTCAGTTCCTCCCTCAGTTCCTCCCTCAGTTCCTCCCTCAGTTCCTCCCTCAGTTCCTCCCTCCCTCAGTTCCTCCCTCAGTTCCTCCCTCAGTTCCTCCCTCAGTTCCTCCCTCAGTTCCTCCCTCAGTTCCTTCCTCCCTCAGTTCCTCCCTCAGTTCCTCCCTCAGTTCCTCCCTCAGTTCCTCCCTCCCTCAGTTCCTCCCTCAGTTCCTCCCTCAGTTCCTCCCTCAGTTCCTCCCTCAGTTCCTCCCTCAGTTCCTCCCTCAGTTCCTCCCTCAGTTCCTCCCTCAGTTCCTCCCTCAGTTAATCCCTCAGTTCCTCCCTCAGTTCCTCCCTCCCTCAGTTCCTCCCTCAGTTCCTCCCTCCCTCAGTTCCTCCCTCAGTTCCTCCCTCAGTTCCTCCCTCAGTTCCTCCCTCAGTTCCTCCCTCAGTTCCTCCCTCCCTCAGTTCCTCCCTCCCTCAGTTCCTCCCTCAGTTCCTCCCTCAGTTCCTCCCTCAGTTCCTCCCTCAGTTCCTCCCTCAGTTCCTCCCTCCCTCAGTTCCTCCCTCAGTTCCTCCCTCAGTTCCTCCCTCAGTTCCTCCCTCAGTTCCTCCCTCAGTTCCTCCCTCAGTTCCTTCCTCCCTCAGTTCCTCCCTCAGTTCCTCCCTCAGTTCCTCCCTCAGTTCCTCCCTCAGTTCCTCCCTCAGTTCCTCCCTCAGTTCCTCCCTCAGTTCCTCCCTCAGTTCCTCCCTCAGTTAATCCCTCAGTTCCTCCCTCAGTTCCTCCCTCCCTCAGTTCCTCCCTCAGTTCCTCCCTCAGTTCCTCCCTCAGTTCCTCCCTCAGTTCCTCCCTCCCTCAGTTCCTCCCTCAGTTAATCCCTCAGTTCCTCCCTCAGTTCCTCCCTCCCTCAGTTCCTCCCTCAGTTCCTCCCTCAGTTCCTCCCTCAGTTCCTCCCTCCCTCAGTTCCTCCCTCAGTTCCTCCCTCAGTTCCTCCCTCAGTTCCTCCCTCAGTTCCTCCCTCAGTTCCTCCCTCAGTTAATCCCTGAGTTCCTCCCTCAGTTCCTCCCTCCCTCAGTTCCTCCCTCAGTTCCTCCCTCAGTTCCTCCCTCAGTTCCTCCCTCAGTTCCTCCCTCAGTTCCTTCCTCCCTCAGTTCCTCCCTCAGTTCCTCCCTCAGTTCCTCCCTCAGTTCCTCCCTCCCTCAGTTCCTCCCTCAGTTCCTCCCTCAGTTCCTCCCTCAGTTCCTCCCTCAGTTCCTCCCTCAGTTCCTCCCTCCCTCAGTTCCTCCCTCAGTTCCTCCCTCAGTTCCTCCCTCAGTTCCTCCCTCAGTTCCTCCCTCCCTCAGTTCCTCCCTCAGTTCCTCCCTCAGTTCCTCCCTCAGTTCCTCCCTCAGTTCCTCCCTCAGTTCCTTCCTCCCTCAGTTCCTCCCTCAGTTCCTCCCTCAGTTCCTCCCTCAGTTCCTCCCTCAGTTCCTCCCTCAGTTCCTCCCTCCCTCAGTTCCTCCCTCAGTTCCTCCCTCAGTTCCTCCCTCAGTTCCTCCCTCAGTTCCTCCCACCGTTCCTCCCTCAGTTCCTCCCTCCCTCAGTTCCTCCCTCAGTTCCTCCCTCAGTTCCTCCCTCAGTTCCTCCCTCAGTTCCTCCCTCAGTTCCTCCCTCAGTTCCTCCCTCAGTTCCTCCCTCAGTTCCTCCCTCAGTTCCTCCCTCCCTCAGTTCCTCCCTCAGTTCCTCCCTCAGTTCCTCCCTCAGTCCCTCCCTCAGTTCCTCCCTCAGTTCCTCCCTCAGTCCCTCAGATCCTCCCTCAGTTCCTCCCTCATTTCCTCCCTCAGTTCCTCCCTCAGTTCCTCCCTCCCTCAGTTCCTCCCTCAGTTCCTCCCTCAGTTCCTCCCTCAGTTCCTCCCTCAGTTCCTCCCTCAGTTAATCCCTCAGTTCCTCCCTCAGTTCCTCCCTCCCTCAGTTCCTCCCTCAGTTCCTCCCTCAGTTCCTCCCTCAGTTCCTCCCTCAGTTCCTCCCTCCCTCAGTTCCTCCCTCAGTTAATCCCTCAGTTCCTCCCTCAGTTCCTCCCTCCCTCAGTTCCTCCCTCAGTTCCTCCCTCAGTTCCTCCCTCAGTTCCTCCCTCCCTCAGTTCCTCCCTCAGTTCCTCCCTCAGTTCCTCCCTCAGTTCCTCCCTCAGTTCCTCCCTCCCTCAGTTCCTCCCTCAGTTCCTCCCTCAGTTCCTCCCTCAGTTCCTCCCTCAGTTCCTCCCTCAGTTCCTCCCTCAGTTAATCCCTGAGTTCCTCCCTCAGTTCCTCCCTCCCTCAGTTCCTCCCTCAGTTCCTCCCTCAGTTCCTCCCTCAGTTCCTCCCTCAGTTCCTCCCTCAGTTCCTTCCTCCCTCAGTTCCTCCCTCAGTTCCTCCCTCAGTTCCTCCCTCAGTTCCTCCCTCAGTTCCTCCCTCCCTCAGTTCCTCCCTCAGTTCCTCCCTCCCTCAGTTCCTCCCTCAGTTCCTCCCTCAGTTCCTCCCTCAGTTCCTCCCTCAGTTCCTCCCTCAGTTCCTCCCTCCCTCAGTTCCTCCCTCAGTTCCTCCCTCAGTTCCTCCCTCAGTTCCTCCCTCAGTTCCTCCCTCCCTCAGTTCCTCCCTCAGTTCCTCCCTCAGTTCCTCCCTCAGTTCCTCCCTCAGTTCCTCCCTCAGTTCCTTCCTCCCTCAGTTCCTCCCTCAGTTCCTCCCTCAGTTCCTCCCTCAGTTCCTCCCTCAGTTCCTCCCTCAGTTCCTCCCTCCCTCAGTTCCTCCCTCAGTTCCTCCCTCCCTCAGTTCCTCCCTCAGTTCCTCCCTCAGTTCCTCCCACCGTTCCTCCCTCAGTTCCTCCCTCCCTCAGTTCCTCCCTCAGTTCCTCCCTCAGTTCCTCCCTCAGTTCCTCCCTCAGTTCCTCCCTCAGTTCCTCCCTCAGTTCCTCCCTCAGTTCCTCCCTCAGTTCCTCCCTCAGTTCCTCCCTCCCTCAGTTCCTCCCTCAGTTCCTCCCTCAGTTCCTCCCTCAGTCCCTCCCTCAGTTCCTCCCTCAGTTCCTCCCTCAGTCCCTCCCTCAGTTCCTCCCTCAGTTCCTCCCTCAGTTCCTCCCTCAGTTCCTCCCTCAGTTCCTCCCTCAGTTCCTCCCTCAGTTCCTCCCTCAGTTCCTCCCTCAGTTCCTCCCTCAGTTCCTCCCTCAGTTCCTCCCTCAGTTCCTCCCTCAGTTAATCCCTCAGTTCCTCCCTCAGTTCCTCCCTCCCTCAGTTCCTCCCTCAGTTCCTCCCTCAGTTCCTCCCTCAGTTCCTCCCCCAGTTACTCCCTCAGTTCCTCCCTCGGTTCCTCCCTCAGTTCCTCCCTCAGTTCCTCCCTCAGTTCCTCCCTCAGTTCCTCCCTCAGTTCCTCCCTCAGTTAATTCCTCAGTTCCTCCCTCAGTTCCTCCCTCCCTCAGTTCCTCCCTCAGTTCCTCCCTCAGTTCCTCCCTCAGTTCCTCCCTCAGTTCCTCCCTCAGTTCCTCCCTCAGTTCCTCCCTCAGTTCCTCCCTCAGTTCCTCCCTCCCTCAGTTCCTCCCTCAGTTCCTCCCTCAGTTCCTCCCTCAGTTCCTCCCTCCCTCAGTTCCTCCCTCAGTTCCTCCCTCAGTTCCTCCCTCAGTTCCTCCCTCAGTTCCTCCCTCAGTTCCTTCCTCCCTCAGTTCCTCCCTCAGTTCCTCCCTCAGTTCCTCCCTCCCTCAGTTCCTCCCTCCCTCAGTTCCTCCCTCAGTTCCTCCCTCAGTTCCTCCCTCAGTTCCTCCCTCCCTCAGTTCCTCCCTCAGTTAATCCCTCAGTTCCTCCCTCAGTTCCTCCCTCCCTCAGTTCCTCCCTCAGTTCCTCCCTCAGTTCCTCCCTCCCTCAGTTCCTCCCTCAGTTCCTCCCTCAGTTCCTCCCTCAGTTCCTCCCTCAGTTCCTCCCTCAGTTCCTCCCTCAGTTCCTCCCTCAGTTCCTCCCTCAGTTCCTCCCTCCCTCAGTTCCTCCCTCAGTTCCTCCCTCAGTTCCTCCCTCAGTTCCTCCCTCAGTTCCTCCCTCAGTTCCTCCCTCCCTCAGTTCCTCCCTCAGTTCCTCCCTCAGTTCCTCCCTCAGTTCCTCCCTCAGTTCCTCCCTCAGTTCCTCCCTCAGTTCCTCCCTCAGTTCCTCCCTCAGTTCCTCCCTCAGTTCCTCCCTCAGTTCCTCCCTCAGTTCCTCCCTCAGTTAATCCCTCAGTTCCTCCCTCAGTTCCTCCCTCCCTCAGTTCCTCCCTCAGTTCCTCCCTCAGTTCCTCCCTCAGTTCCTTCCTCCCTCAGTTCCTCCCTCAGTTCCTCCCTCCCTCAGTTCCTCCCTCCCTCAGTTCCTCCCTCAGTTCCTCCCTCAGTTCCTCCCTCAGTTCCTCCCTCAGTTCCTCCCTCAGTTAATCCCTCAGTTCCTCCCTCAGTTCCTCCCTCCCTCAGTTCCTCCCTCAGTTCCTCCCTCAGTTCCTCCCTCAGTTCCTCCCTCAGTTCCTCCCTCAGTTCCTCCCTCAGTTCCTCCCTCAGTTCCTCCCTCAGTCCCTCCCTCAGTTCCTCCCTCAGATCCTCCCTCAGTTCCTCCCTCAGTTCCTCCCTCAGTTCCTCCCTCAGTTCCTCCCTCAGTTCCTCCCTCAGTTCCTCCCTCAGTTCCTCCCTCAGTTCCTCCCTCAGTCCCTCAGATCCTCCCTCAGTTCCTCCGTCAGTTCCTCCCTCAGTTCCTCCCTCAGTTCCTCCCTCAGTTCCTCCCTCAGTTCCTCCCTCCCTCAGTTCCTCCCTCAGTTCCTCCCTCAGTTCCTCCCTCCCTCAGTTCCTCCCTCAGTTCCTCCCTCCCTCAGTTCCTCCCTCAGTTCCTCCCTCAGTTCCTCCCTCAGTTCCTCCCTCAGTTCCTCCCTCAGTTCCTCCCTCCCTCAGTTCCTCCCTCCCTCAGTTCCTCCCTCAGTTCCTCCCTCAGTTCCTCCCTCAGTCCCTCCCTCAGTTCCTCCCTCAGTTCCTCCCTCCCTCAGTTCCTCCCTCAGTTCCTCCCTCAGTTCCTCCCTCCCTCAGTTCCTCCCTCAGTTCCTCCCTCCCTCAGTTCCTCCCTCAGTTCCTCCCTCAGTTCCTCCCTCAGTTCCTCCCTCAGTTCCTCCCTCAGTTCCTCCCTCAGTTCCTCCCTCAGTTCCTCCCTCAGTCCCTCAGATCCTCCCTCAGTTCCTCCGTCAGTTCCTCCCTCAGTTCCTCCCTCAGTTCCTCCCTCAGTTCCTCCCTCAGTCCCTCCCTCAGTTCCTCCCTCAGTTCCTCCCTCAGTTCCTCCCTCAGTTCCTCCCTCAGTTCCTCCCTCCCTCAGTTCCTCCCTCAGTTCCTCCCTCAGTTCCTCCCTCCCTCAGTTCCTCCCTCAGTTCCTCCCTCCCTCAGTTCCTCCCTCAGTTCCTCCCTCAGTTCCTCCCTCAGTTCCTCCCTCAGTTCCTCCCTCAGTTCCTCCCTCCCTCAGTTCCTCCCTCCCTCAGTTCCTCCCTCAGTTCCTCCCTCAGTTCCTCCCTCAGTTCCTCCCTCAGTCCCTCAGATCCTCCCTCGGTTCCTCCCTCAGTTCCTCCCTCAGTTCCTCCCTCAGTTCCTCCCTCAGTTCCTCCCTCAGTTCCTCCCTCAGTTCCTCCCTCAGTTCCTCCCTCAGTTCCTCCCTCAGTTCCTCCCTCAGTTCCTCCCTCAGTCCCTCCCTCAGTTCCTCCCTCAGATCCTCCCTCAGTTCCTCCCTCAGTTCCTCCCTCAGTTCCTCCCTCAGTTCCTCCCTCCCTCAGTTCCTCCCTCAGTTCCTCCCTCCCTCAGTTCCTCCCTCAGTTCCTCCCTCAGTTCCTCCCTCCCTCAGTTCCTCCCTCAGTTCCTCCCTCAGTTCCTCCCTCAGTTCCTCCCTCAGTTCCTCCCTCAGTTCCTCCCTCAGTTCCTCCCTCAGTTCCTCCCTCAGTTCCTCCCTCAGTCCCTCAGATCCTCCCTCAGTTCCTCCGTCAGTTCCTCCCTCAGTTCCTCCCTCAGTTCCTCCCTCAGTTCCTCCCTCAGTTCCTCCCTCAGTTCCTCCCTCAGTTCCTCCCTCAGTTCCTCCCTCAGTTCCTCCCTCAGTTCCTCCCTCAGTCCCTCCCTCAGTTCCTCCCTCAGATCCTCCCTCAGATCCTCCCTCAGTTCCTCCCTCAGTTCCTCCCTCAGTTCCTCCCTCCCTCAGTTCCTCCCTCAGTTCCTCCCTCAGTTCCTCCCTCCCTCAGTTCCTCCCTCAGTTCCTCCCTCCCTCAGTTCCTCCCTCAGTTCCTCCCTCAGTTCCTCCCTCCCTCAGTTCCTCCCTCAGTTCCTCCCTCCCTCAGTTCCTCCCTCAGTTCCTCCCTCAGTTCCTCCCTCAGTTCTTTTCTCCTTCATACAGTGTGTTCAAAACGCAAATCACACTGCAAACGCTGCATTTATACTCAGCATGTTTTGGTGGACCTAGCGGTATTCCAAGAAAACAACAGCACCCAGCAGCAGCACCCAGCAGCACCCAGCAGCACCCAGAAACATTGAGCAGCGCACCTTGAGCATAGAGTGGCAGCACGGCTTGCAGTTGAATGAAGAGCGAGTCAAAGTTGTACTTCTCAAACATCATTTGGAGCTGGCGGTGGGGAAGAAGCGCGGAACAAGAGGAAAGAGGGGAGAGGGCAGGGAACCAGAGGCAGAAGGACGGGTCTCAAGGAAGAGTGAGTGAGTTGAATGAAGAGCGAGTCAAAGTTTTACTTCTCAAACATCATATGGAGCTGGCCGTGGGGAGTGGAGGAAAGAGCAGCGGGAAGAAGGGGAAAGGGGAGCAGGGGAGAGCGAGGTGAACAAGAGTCGAAGTTGTACTTCTCAAACATAATTTGGAGCTGCCGTGGGGAGTGGCGGAAAGAGGGGCGGAAATGCGAAGCAGGGAAGAGAGGGGAAGGGGGGCATGAGGGAGGGGGCAGCTGGATGAAGAACGAGTCGAAGTTGTACTTCTCAAACATCATATGGAGCTGACAGTGGGGAGTGGTGCAATGAGGGGGAATGAGGGGGAAACAGGGGCAGAGGAAGGTTAGAGGGCGGGCTCAAGTAAGGGTTTGGAGGATAATGTCCCACTTACCCACCGTGTTTTGAGGCGCCTCAAAAGTCCCACCTACCCACCGTGTGAGGTGACGTTTAATTAAGTCGACTTACGAGTCACTTGGTTTGGAGGATGATATCCCACCCACCCACAGTGCGTCCGAGTGACTAACACACGCACAAGCCCATGAAACCCATGAAATCCGTACATCCCACAACGCCCATGCACGCACCCCGTCAAACCGTCACCATGCGTTGGCGGTTCTTGGTGGGGTTCAGGGGTGGATCTGTGAGCAGAATCTTGCTCTCAGAGGGGTCAGTCAATCTTGAGCGCGGTGCTGAAGGTGTAGTCCCACACGTGCCCCATGTCGTCCCACAGTGCACCCGAACTACTCAAGCCTGTAAACCCCATGCCGCCCATACCATGCGCTGGCGGTTCTTGGTGGGGTTGAGCGGAGGGTCTGTAAGCAATATCTTGCTCTCTGATGGGTCGATCTTGAGAGCAGTGTTGAAGGTGTAGTCCCACACGTGCCCCATGTCGTCCCACCCACTGTGAGTCCAAGAGACTCACCCACCCCAAACGGCCCTGCGCTGGCGGTTTTTGGCGGGGTTGAGAGGCGGGTCCGTAAGAAGAATCTTGCTCTCTGATGGGTCGATCTTGAGAGTGGTGTTGAAGGTGTAGTCCCACACGTGCCCCATGTCGTCCCTCCCTCCCACCCACCCACCGTGCGTCCGACCGACTAATGAAGTTCATACCATGCGTTGGCGGTTCTTGGTGGGGTTGAGAGGAGGGTCTGTGAGAAGAATCTTGCTTTCAGAAGGATCGATCTTGAGCGCAGTGTTAAATGTGTAGTCCCACACGTGCCCCATGTCGTCCCACCGCTGCACCACTCCGTTGTTGATGGGGTAGGTCAGCTCCACTCGCTGCCCTCCCTGCTGCTGCTCCATGCACTGCGAGCCAACGAGGATGCTCTGCAGAGTCAAGTTGGGTTGGGATGGGACTGGCACTGGATTGGGATGGGATAGAAACTAATCTCGAGGGTTGCATATCATGGGATGGGTTGCTTCTAGATGAAGTAACGTGATGCACGATGAATAAGCTCCGATCAGGGGTTGCTTACAGGGGGTGCTTGGCCTTGGGAGGTTTCGTCGAGGCGGACGAGGCGTCGCCCGACGACATTGGGAATGACGGCGACGGGGAAATTGTCGCCTGCGAACCCGCACTTGATGGACTGCGACAGACGGTCGCACGGTAATGAGCAAGTGAGCGAAGGAAGCGTGAGGAAATGATCAGGAACGAGGGGAGTGGTTAGGAATATTGCAACGCGAGGCGAATGTTGCGCTACGCGTCCGGACTTGTCAAATGGACCGCCTTACCGCGCTGCCGTTATCGCAAACAACTATTTTTCGCCTGTCGTCCATGAGGAGAGAATTGCAGAGGAGAAGCAGCGGATAAGGGAAGGCACGCGCTAAAGGAATCTAGAAGACTAGCTGACTAGGGAGGAACGACTTAGCTTCGCAGCCTGCACTAACGAAAGCAAATCCGCAAAGTGCGTTTCATTGTTTGTGCATCGTGCTTGGATTATGTACAGCATTTGTAAGGAATTTCGCTAATTCCTTACTGAGGCTGTTCTTACGCGTACAATTCCAACCTTCGGAATTCAGGCTCGGTCCGACGACCTCGCCTTCCGAACGTCAACCGCGTCGCCTTCGGGTTTTCCAACCCCAAACCTGCACCCAACCTTCGCGCGACTCCGCGACCTCGGCCTAGCTAGCCTTGCTATATTGTGCCTAGGCCTCGTTGTTCGATCAGTAGTTGTAATCACTTCCGCGATATTGCATTCTGCGCACTCTTCATTCTTACAACTCACAACACTTGGTATCAGAGCTACTTTCCTAGGTTACCCACCACTTTCCGGGGTAGTTTTAGTGCAGGGGTGCGATAGGTTTGGTGGGCTGCAAAGCGGTCGGCTGAGAGATAGATACGATTATCTCGCTCCGACTAATAGCGTTTGCGCCTTCATCAAAACCATAAAAATCGCTGTTAACCCGCTGCCCGCTAGGATGAGTATCCGAAACATGACGCAGGCGGAGTTTGACGCCTTCGTGCAGGATTTTCGGGCGATGCAGGCCAACATGCTATCCATGAATGGCGAGTTGGAGCGCCTGAGGGAGGAAAACGCCGAGCTACGCCGAGGTGAAGCGCGTCAGGAGTCGCCCGTCGTGGATGAAGCAAGTAGCAGCTCCGCACTCAACGAAAACGTGTTCAATGAGCTGGATGCCGACCAGGACGCTGAAGACGAGTGGGCAGCACGGCAGCAACAAGCACGGGAAACGCCACGACAGCAGCAACAGGAGCAACCTACGCGGAGGCAACAGTCGCCGTCAATGCCACGACAGGCACCAGCGACAACCCCGGCGATGGCCTCGGTGGCGTCCCCGATGCATGCAGCAGCAACAGTCTCAACAATCGACTGTTAAAATAAAACCGACAAATCCGCCCCCGTTCAACCCGAGTGACAAGACGGTCACTGTATCTGCATGGTTGTTCGGCGTGGAGGTGTTTTTCAATGCTGCGCAAATTACTGACGATGCCACCCGAATTAATTTTGCAGTGTCACTGTTGCGGGGACCGGCGCTGGAGTGGTGGAGGCGAACGCTTCAGACAGAGGGGACTTCGGCAGGGCTGTCACGTGCGAACGACGGGACCTGGACAACTGTCACGCAAGGAGCAACTTCAATCTTCGGAGTGGCCACGATACGCACATGGACGGAGTGGGGCGCCGCGCTGCGGACCAGATTCGAGCATGTATCCGCCTCGGATTCTGCCCGCATGAAGCTGCGTACCTGGAAGCAGGTGGCGTCGGTCCAAGATTACACGGCAACATTCTGCAATTTGGCTGACCAGGTGGACGACATGAGCGATGCGGAGCGACTCGACCGATATGTCGCGGGCCTCAAGTACGAAGTACAATACGAGGTGCGACGGGCGAGGCCACGCGATTTCCTCGATGCCGTCCAGGTGGCCGAATCTACGGATGCGCTGATGCAATGGGCGAGAATGAGTTCCCGGGAGGGCACTCAATTTCGTGGACCGCCGCGCCAGCCCACAATCAACGGTGTGGAGGCGCCTAGACGTGGACCTAACACGTGCTTCAACTGCCACCAACCGGGCCACTGGAGGAAGGACTGCCCGCAGCTGAAACAGGGAAACAGGAACGACGGAGAGGGGTCGGGAAAAGAGACGAGTCAGTAGCAGTCGGGCCACCTACTGACGAGACCCCGTCGCCCGGCAATCAACATCCACACCGAGTAGTGGTACCGATACGGGCTATCGACCGCAACCGGACGAATAAGGTGGATGAACACGTGGATCACCCTGTGCTGGTCGTGGGGAGGGTTAATGGGTATAAAATAAAATTATTTGTTGACGGGGGGGCGAGCCACAGTCTCGTCAACCTGGCGACAGCCAAAAAAATTGGAGTCAAGCTGGACAGGTGTCTGCCCGAGATTGACGCGCGACTGGTGGACGGGACACCGCTGGCGATCAAGGACGAGGTCCGACAAATTCGGATGAAGTGTGGCGACGATTTCGGGTTTTCGATGCGAATGCTGGCGACAACACTGGACGGTTGCGATGTGCTGCTGGGACGAGATTGGCTACAGCGATTCAATCCGACGATCGACTGGACGACGGGGGCGATCACGGTGCTGAGCAACAAGGGGCGCGTGACACTTCCGAAATGGGCGGAGCCGGAGCCGATGATGACACGTGTCAACGCGATCACGCTGAAAAGGGCGATAAAACGGGGAGCGCAAGGCTACGCCGTACAGCTGTACGAGGTGGTGGCGTCCGAGAAAATCGCCGACATTGACACGCTCTGCGCTGCTGTACCCGACGACGTGGCGAGCATAATTCGGAGGTATCCCGAAATTTTCGCGGATGACCTGCCTGATGGGCTGCCACCTCAGCGTCCGGAGGACCACAGGATCGAGCTGGAGCCAGGCGCCAAACCAACTGTTCGGTCACAGTGGCGGCTCAGCCAACCGGAGCTCGACGAGTTGCGGAAACAGCTGGATTATCTGCTCTCGAAGGGTTTTATCCGGCCGAGCACGTCACCTTACGCCGCCCCGATACTGTTCACGCCGAAGAAAGACGGAGGCCTTCGCATGTGTATCGACTATCGAGCGCTGAATCGGATCACCATCAAGTCGCGTTACCCGATTCCGCGAGCGGACGACCTGCTGGATCAGCTTCGCGGGGCTCGCTTCTTCTCGAAAATCGATTTGCGAGGTGGCTACCATCAGATTCGCGTGTTCACCGACGACTGCCCGAAGACAGCGTTTCGCACCCGCTACGGCAGCTACAAATATACATTGATGCCGTTCGGACTGACGAACGCACCCTCGACCTTCCAGCTCACCATGAATGGGGTGTTTCGGGACATGTTGGACAAGAAGGTGATAGTTTACCTGGACGACATCCTGGTGTACAGCAAGACTCGGGAGCAGCATTTACAGGATTTAGACGAGGTGTTCCGGCGCTTGCAGCAGAACCGACTGATTACTAAGGGCTCTAAGTGCGAGTTCTTACAGCCGGAGCTGGAGTTCCTGGGGCACGTAGTTTCAGGGGAGGGTATTAAAATCGACCCTCGTAAAATAACAGCGATTTCGGAGTGGAAACCGCCCACGAACATCACGGAGCTGCAGAGTTTCCTCGGTTTCGTCAACTGCGTCCGCCGTTTTGTACCGAATATGGCGGGGGTGACCAGACCGTTAACCGATCTTCTGCATAAGGGCGTGCAATTTTCGTGGGGGGAGAGAGAGTAGGTGGCCTTCGACGAGCTGAAGAAAATTTTGAGTTCACCCCCGGTACTTCGCCTGGCAGATCCATCTCGACCGTTCGAAGCCGGTTGTGACGGACGCCAGCGATTTCGCCGTCGGCGCTGTGCTACTACAGGATTTCGGCAACGGACTGCAACCCATCGCGTACGAGTCAAGAAAAATGCAGCCGCCCGAGCGCAACTACCCTGTACACGACAAAGAAATGCTCGCCATCGTGCATGCATTTCGTACCTGGCGCTGTTATCTCACGGGAGCTGACGTCACCGTCCGGACCGACCATAAGTCATTACAGTACATGCGCAGCCAACCACAGCTCAACCCGCGACAAATTCGGTGGCTCGATTACATTGAGTCCAACTTCAGCTACACCATCACTTACAAGAAGGGCGCCAACAACATCGCCGACGCCCTGACCCGCCCATCCATGCAAACCGCAGCAGTACTAATCGCCCATTCTAACCCTTTATTGGCAGGATTATTCAAGCATGGCTACCGAACTGACAGGTTCTTCAGGACCAACCTACACCAACGGGTCACCACAGCGCATGGGAGCTACTACCTAGAAGTCGGTACCAGCCGCGTTTGGGTACCTTCCTACCGACCCCTCAGAGAATTGCTGACGCAGGAAGTCCACGACTCCAACCTATCCGGGCATTTCGGCATCGACAAAACGTTGAAGCTGCTGCAGCGGAATTATTTCTGGCCCGACATGGCGTCAGACGTGCAGCGCTACGTGTCCGCCTGCCCGACCTGCCAAGCAATGAAATCATCACGCCAACGCCCGGCTGGATTGCTGCAGCCCCTCGAGCCACCCGAACGACCATGGCAACAGGTGACGATGGACTTCGTTACGGGACTGCCAGCTGGCGCAAGTGGCAACGACTCCGTGCTCGTGGTCGTCGATCGCTTAACGAAAATGGCGCATTTCGCACCATGCCGCACGACGATCACAGCCGAAGAAACAGCAAAGCTCTTCATCGCAACCGTCGTACGACTGCACGGGTTACCTTCGGCGATCATCAGCGACCGCGACCCGAAATTCACGTCGAAGTTCTGGCAGGAGACATGGGCACAGTACGGCACCCGCCTGCAGTTTTCGTCGTCATACCACCCGCAAACCGACGGACAGACAGAGAGGACAAACCAGACGATGGAGCAGCTGATCCGTACAAACTGCCCCGACATCACCAAGTGGGAAGATTCGCTTCCCATGCTCGAGTTCGCGTACAATAATGCCCCATCTGTGACGACCAATCAGTCACCGTTCTACCTCAATTACGGGATAGATCCGGTGGTACCCTCGTCGACGACCCCTGAAAATCCGGTACCACGATCGCAGCAGTTCGTCTCGGAACTTCAAGCGGCACGCGACAAAGCAGCGGAATTTATCCGGAAGGCTAATACGGCCGCCAGCCGCTACGCTGACCGGCATCGACGGAATTTACCCTTCCGTGACGGGCAGATGGTCCTTCTAGACACGAAGAATCTCAAACTGCCCCAGCCCGCAAAATTGTGTCCCCGCTACGTGGGACCTTTCCGCATCATTCGGATGCTGACACCGGTCACGGCGAAACTTCTCCTACCGGACGACTGGAAGATCTACGACGCTTTCCACGTCAGCCTCCTTCGCCACTACGTGGCTCCGCAGCCGTCCGACGTCGCTCGACCCAACCTGGCGCCAAGTGTCCGACCTGTGGCAGATCCGACACTTAAACCTTAGAAGATCTTGAATCATCGCATTCGTGCGACCCCCGCTGGACGCCACGTTGACTTCCTACTACGCTGGGTGGATCGCACAAGCGAAGATGACACGTGGGTCCCTGCTGACTCACTCCAAGGGCACTCGGTCCTTCGGGATTATCTCTCCTGCCGACGCGTGCCTGATGTTGACCACCTTTCTTAAGGGGGGGGGTAGTGTAAGGAATTTTGCTAATTCCTTACTGAGGCTGTTCTTACGCGTACAATTCCAACCTTCGGAATTCAGGCTCGGTCCGACGACCTCGCCTTCCGAACGTCAACCGCGTCGCCTTCGGGTTTTCCAACCCCAAACCTGCACCCAACCTTCGCGCGACTCCGCGACCTCGGCCTAGCTAGCCTTGCTATATTGTGCCTAGGCCTCGTTGTTCGATCAGTAGTTGTAATCACTTCCGCGATATTGCATTCTGCGCACTCTTCATTCTTACAACCCACAACAGCATTCTACTCCCCCCCAAGGCAGGAGTTCCTAGTGTTACTGCCAAAAATCAGTCCCATCAGTGGGGTCTTTTACTCAATAGTGGAATCCTGTCAGGAATGATGCATAATTGAATGAACATTGAGCTACCTTAAGAGTTTCATACTGTGTATCTTCTTATTCACGTGTATTCTCAAAATATGTTGGATGATGCTGAAACGGGAATGCCAGCCCGGCCCACTTCTTCCGGCGCTGCTTCTGGCGAAGCCTGACGCAAAGCCCAAGGGGAAAGATTGCCTCGCTAGCTCTCTCATGTCACAGCAGAAATGCCACGGCAGCCATCGATCATGTCGCCTCGCCTGTCGGTAGTTTCCAGGGACCCTTCCGGGCGACGCACGGGCGGAGGTTCTTGCCGCGACCGATTTATTCTCGCTCGAGATGGCTTCCTTGAGTTTGGAGTCGCATCCATCACGAGCTTTTCTTTTCATGACCGTTTTCGCCGCTGATATCTTCCGCAAACAAATCATTTGGTTCGAAACAGACGATTTTTTTTTCGTAATCCGAGAGGTCTATTCTCAGCAAAGTTCTTCTTCTCTTCTTACGAATAGCTCGAAACCATGGCTGCTGAATCAGCGACCATGGCTGCTGAATCAGCGACCGGCTCGGCAGTTAACGTACCAAGCGAGCGTACTACTCGTGGTACGAATACTAACGGCGTGGAGCACAGGGAGGAGTGGTTCACAAACTCTCGCGGAATGAAATTGATGTCCGCGTTCTGGGTACCGACGAACCGGCCCTTGAAAGCGCTCATCCTCCTCCTTCACGGTACGTTGCGATGTGACATTTGAGTCATCATTCAAGATTTAACCGATTATTTGAAGACACTCATCCTCCTCCTTCACGGTACATCCTGCTGTAGGCCTCGTTATACTACCATAACCGCATTCTGTACGTATTCTGCTTGTTTTCGTCAATTCCCTCGTAATGTTTTCCCTCCTCTTCCTGTTCATGGCGTGGCAGGATATGGCTTCGATTGCACCACTTACTTCCAAGGTATATTATACTGCTTCCCGGCCCTGTGCCTCGTACACGCCCTGTGCCTCGTAAAGTTTCAAGTCGGTGCTCATTGCTTTCATATCCCTCCCTTCCATCTCACCCTTCCTCCTTTTTTCCAACCCTTTTTCCTCCCTCATTTTCTCCCCACCTCTTCCTTTCCTCCCTCCTTCCTCCCCTCCTTCTCTCCTCCTCCTCGTTGATTCTCCACTCATGCAGCCACGGCAGAGCGGCTAGCGTCGGAGGGGTATGGCGTGTATGGAATCGACTTCGAGGGGCATGGCAGGTATGTCGTGCTTCCCAGTCACTTTCCAGGTACTTGCATGGTTGATGGCAGCATCGCACTCTGCTGTCTCACTCTCATGTGATGCACTTCTGATAAATGCAGTGGTCCCCATGTCATCCTCCCTGTTTACACTCCGCTGTGCCTCAGGTCTGACGGGCTCAGCGTGTTCATTCCTGACTTCAACACTCTAGTCGACGACAGCATTGCATACTTTGCTCCCCATACGGGGTGCGTAAGAGGGGAGGGGGAGAGCGGGAGAGCGTGGTCTCGAGTTAAAGGACAGACAGGGGCGCAAAGCAGGCCATATATGAGAGAACAGATTTATAGCCTGCCCAAATCAATGAACTCATATATGGCCTGCAATAGTCATAAATGGCTATGCTCAGGTGGAGAATGGATTGCATGCCACATTCTTCCTCCTCTCTTTTTCTCCTCTCCTCTTCGCCCCTTATATCCACCATTTTGCACCCCCAATACTCTCCCTGACCCTGACCTGCGCTATCTCCTCGCTCCGTGATCCTCTCCCGTTTTTCTTCTGTCTTTTTGCTTCCACAGAGCGTCCGGAGCACCAGAGCATACCCAAGTTCATGTGTGGGGAATCGATGGGCGGGGCAGTGGCGATTTGCATCCACCGCAAGCAGCCCGACTAATGGGATGGCGCCATTTTCATGGCTCCCATGTGCAAGGTACTCATACTTCCCACATCAAGCATTGACATAGAGACGTAAAATTCGGGATCGTTATGATAAGCCTTTTCATGGGGTTGTGCAAGCAAATAGCCTGACCAATGCGATGGCGCTATCTTCTTGGAAACGCCTGCTTCCCGTTGTCGAGCCGCTAGTCATCTTTGTGAGCAGATATCAGCCAAGGTGCAACCACCAGCCATACTAGTGCGGCTGTTGAAGGGCCTGGCATACATGATACCCACCAGGCAGATAGTGCCCTCTGCTGACATTGTCACCTCCTCCTGTGCTGTGCTTCCCCTGCTTTCCCCCCAGATATCAGCCAAGGTGCAACCACCAGCCATACTAGTGCGGCTGTTGAAGGGACTGGCGTATGTGATACCCACGTGGCAGATAGTGCCAGCTGCTGACAACCTCCTCAATTCGCTGCCCAGAGAAGCTCAAGAAGGTGAGACAGGGTAGTGTTGAGAAATCGCAAAAAATAGCAGGGTACTTGTGAACAGATTGGAAGTAGCCTGTAGGTAGTGCCAGCTGCTGGCATCGTCACCTCCGCCATTCGCTGCCCAGAGAAGCTCAAGAAGGTGAGATCAGGAATTTCTCGTAAATTTGAACTGTAATTTTCAAAACCACGTGGCAGATCGTGCCAGCTGCTGACATCGTCACCTCCGCCATTCGCTGCCCGGAGAAACTGAAGAAGGTAAGATGCGTTCCTCCTCCCCTTCCTCCTCCCCTTCCCTACTTGCTGCTTCTCCTATCCCCTTCCTCCTCAAGAACACACTTCCTTACTGACACTTCCCCCCCTCCCCCCTCCCCCCTCCCCTGGCACAGATAGCAGCGAACCCATACACATACCGTGCTCGCCCGCGCATGAGAACAGCCCTCACCATGCTGCACGCCAGCCAAGACGCCGAATCCTCCCTCTCCTCAATCTCCCTGCCCTTCCTGCTGCTCCACGGGGATGCCGACACAGTCACTGAGCTGGACGGCAGTCAGGCACTGTATGAGAAGGCACGGAGTGAGGACAAGACGTTGAAGGTGTATGAGGGTGCGTGGCACCTGCTGACTGAGGGGGAGCCTGAGGAGACTGCGGAGAAAGTGCTGTGCGATATGATTGGCTGGCTGGACGAGAGAAGTCAACGCAAGTCAAGCGAGTTCAGTAGATAGGGTTTCGCCCCTCGAGCATAGAAAAGGAATGGTGGATACCGTAGTACTTTCCTTCCACCTCTACCTTCGTTATGGATACTTTTGTTATTAATATCCAGCTCCTGATACCGTATTCTCCCGGACATAACACCCTAGGGTAGATCTAAAAATACAGGAAAAAAAGGGGGGTGTCTTCTCATATGAAAAGGCTACATAATACCCGGGTGCATATATATGGTATATTTTAGTGTTAGAGTTTTTTATATTAGAGAAGCTGAGTGTTTCCATGGGCTTTTTAACATCACATGTTGAGGCGCAAATGTCAGTTTCGACGCAAACCTCATCACTCCCTCGAAAATGTCATTTGGCACCTCTCTGCCCACCTGCAGCGGAAGATTCGCTAGCACGTGGCGACAGCGAAATAGTGGGCGGGGGGGAATCTCGGCAAAGATTTGATGTGAAAGAACCGGGAAATTCCATCGATGGAGGGGTTTTCTTGATGTACTCCCTTACTTGCACCTATTCGTTAACAGTTATAATATAGAATCAGTACCGTAAGAAAAGGGGGGTGTTATAAAAAATCATCCAAAAAGGGGGGTATAGTGAAATCGAGGTCGCCCATAGCACCCACCCCGCACAAGCTACCCGGGGGTGCTCTATCATGGGGGGGTGTTTTGTCCGGGAGAATACGGTAGGTTGTTTTCCCGAACAGAAATTTCTTCTGGCTACTGCCCAAGGGTTAACAAAGTGTTTTAGAAGCATAAAAGGTCGGCCAGAACAGCCTTGGTTACCAAATCGTCCAGCACCAGCAATCAATGTCCCTGCTACGATATTCAACAATGTCCCTTGCTGCTGAAAGCAGTACCGTACCTTATTATGCTCCCCCCACTCCTCAACAGTTAGAATAGACCCTGGTTGGTTGTCAGAAACAAGTAGACCAGGAACCCTGGTTGGGAAGTACACAGGGAAGAAGCCCCAGCAGAGGAACTTGCCCACCTTCACAGGCGAGCCCAGCGGCTCCAGCACCACGCAGCACCTTTCTCCCCTTCCTGTGCTTGTCAAAACAGCCCCTGATTGTCCGAAACAAGTAATCCTGACACCCAAGTTGGGAAATACACAGGGAAGAAGCCCCAGCAGAGGAAGAATTCTCCCACGTTCACCGGCGAGCACAGCGGCTCCAGCACCAGCCCCTCTTGAGCTGTCGACCACACACTGCTGCTTCGGATCGTCTCCCCGTCATCCTCAAGAGGTCTTGCTTCTCTTAGTAGCCCCATCACGCTCACTGTCTGCCCCTCCGTGACCATCCTGTGTGGTTAAGGGGAAGGTGGGTGATGTGTGAGACGGGGAGAGGGAGGTGGGGATGGGGGGGAAGTGGGAGAGATGGAGTATGGAAATTGAAAAGGGGGGAGGAGAGAGCAGAGTGGCTAAAGCACCAGCCCCTCCTCAGCAGTTGACCACACGCATCTGCTGCGGATCGTCTCCCCGTCATCTTCTAGTGGCCGTGCTTCCCTCAGCAGCCCCATCACGCTCACTGTCTGCCCCTCCGTGACCATTCTGTGTGGATACATGGCAGGGAGGAGAGGAGACGGGGTTGGGGACATGAAGTATGGGGGTTGAGAGCGGGGGAGGAGAGGGGAGAGGGGTTCGAAGCACTAAGCAGCTTAGAATCCCTTTCTAGAGCTGTGTGACCTACCCACGGGAGATGACCAGATCCGAAGGCTGCACGTTGGGATGGGTCTCCAGAAACTGCTGCTCCTGCTCCAGAACAGCTTAGAAACAGAATTGTAAAGCACAGACGCACACAAGCAGGTAAGATACCCCCCTCATGCCCTAACTTACCCTCGGGAAATTACAAGATCCGATGGCTGCACGTTGGGATGGGTCTCCAGAAACTGCTGCTCCTGCTCCAGCCAGGAAGCATCCAGGAAGCCGATGATCCGCTTGCTAGACGCCAAAGGCACCACCGTCCCGTGCTGCACAAACGCCGCCAGTTTCCCCCGGTCCGCCGCCCGACGCCCACACACCAGAATGCTGTCCCCGTTGGCGTCGGATATGCGGAAATCGACGGCCAGGATCTGCCGCAGGTGCTCCCGGCGTCGATAGAAGGCTGTGGCTCTGCGGGCGTGGTATGACTGAAGGGAGGTGCTCATGATGAGGAAACCCTGGGGTGGGTGGGTGTGTGGGGGGGAAATAGGAGCATAAATATCTGAAACAAGAGAAGGCAGTGGCTCGGCGGGCGTGGTATGACTGGAGGGAGGTGCTCATGATGAGGAAACCCTGGCGGGGGGTTTGAAAAAGAGGGGGGGGGGAGGAGAGAGGGAAAGGCGAGGGGGGAAGGACGAGGGGGGGATGAGGAAGGGTGATGCTCCCGGCGGCGGTATATGACTGTGTCTCTGCGGGAGTGGTAGGACTGGAAGGATGTGCTCATGATGAGAAATTTCTGAAATTGGGGAGAGGGGGGGATGCTGGGTGAAGAGGGGAGGTGGGAAAGGGGAGAGGGGGGAGAGAGTAGGGAAGACAGATGTTATGCGAGAATCCCTGGAATAGGAGGGAGCCTGATAGGAGTGGACGGATGAGCTCATCATAATGAAGCTTAGGGGGGGACGAAGAGGAAGGGATGAGAGATGGAGCAGGGAGGACATGAGAGGGGCATCATGTGTGTGGCCCTCTCAAAAGGGACCTCGTGTCCATGCCTTGTGTCTGGAGGGACTTATGCGGATTCGCAAAAGGGACTGGAGGGATGTGCTTATGATGATTGCGCTGGGCACGGATGGTGACGACGAAGGCAGAGTAGCATCTTGCCTTGCAGAGTAGAATTCCAGAGTAGTAGAATTCTACTCTGGAAGCAACATCCTTTCTCAGAGCAGGAAATAGGCCCTCTCATCACACTCCCACCATTCAAGAGCTCTTACATGATCCCCCTCGTGAGAGGAGCCTCCTGGCATAGACGCTGACGTGGAAGGCAGGCTCACTCGCCCTCGCAGCACCACAGTTTTTGATCTGGAAACAATACCTCATCTCAAGCAAGCGGACTTACATGATCCCCATCAAGAGAGGACCCTCCCGGCATGGATGCTGACGTGGAAGGCAGGCTCACTCGCCCTCGCAGCACCACCACTCGCCCTCCTCTCCGCTGCCCCGCTATAGAGTAACCCACTTTAGCAGCCTCCAGTATATCGCGCTTGGCGTACCGCTTGAGGAACTCTCGAGCGAGTAGGCCGGGTAGAAGCAGCGCCAGGAGTAAATTACCCGCGAAAATGACCGCCCAGGAGGTTGTGAGGAAGGCCGTGAAACCAGGAGAAGCTCCCATGAGGTGGAAAAGGTATATAACGAGCAGAATGAATATTTGGTACAGTACAAATGTTGCTACAGAGTAATATTTCGGGTCGGACCAAAACTGTATGCACGCTTGTTGACACCTGGTTGGGTCCCTTAACGAGTTTCCAGATGTCCCCGTTACAGGCATACGCGTTAAGCCTCTCGTGCTCTCTTCGTTATCCGAGTCGCCGAAATGCGCGGCCACGGGAAGACCCTGATGCGCGCTGCTAATGGCGAACGCCAGCCCGGAAAACGCGGCGCTGAACACGGCAAGAGCTGCGGGGACGGACGCTCCTAGAAACGAGGTGATCTGGCCGCCGACATTCGCGGGGCTGAAAATAAAGCCGCCTGCGCCTCCCGGGGACGAGTGGCTAGGGAAGTCGGAGTCTAATAGAGGGCTGACCGCGATCTCCGGGTCTTGAGAGGACGCCGCGCCATGATCGCCGTAAAATGCGGCGAGATTGCTCGGAGCGTGCCCTGGTTCTTCCGTGATTTCCGGAGGGGGGATGGAGGGCGACTGCCGGGAATGCGGTTGCTGGTTGTTTGGAGCGGTGGTAGCAGGATTGTGCGAACCGCCAATGCGGACCTGAATGTTGGGGTTAATACTGAGTTTTAGCTCAATTTCGGAGTCTAAAAGGCCGTCGTCCTCGTCTCCCGGCATTTTCGGCAAGAGACGAGAGATGTAGACTAGACTGCGATCAAGGTCGGGCTAATGCTTGCAATGACAAGCCCAATGTTTTCGCAATGGCTAATCTGTCACGAGTGCCGTCAAATCTGTGTCGGTCGCGAGTTCAAAGGGTAGAATTTCCGATCACTAAACAGTGCGGCAAGAGCTCGGCTCAGACAAGTCCCTGGTGTAGTTCAGGAAGAAATGGAGCCATGAAATAAGTCACGCAGCAAATTCTAGAAAATATTTGTTGGTACGTGATGACTTCAAGGAAATATTCGCCACTGCCTCACGCGAACCAGCTCCAACAAATAATTGGTTGACACTCACGGTTACCAGCCTTGTTCGCCACTGCAGGTCATGCCTGGCGACCTCTAATCTGCACCTCGAAGATTGAAAGGACGAGTTCAGCGAAAGCAGTAACATTGTCGCTCGCCTCCCTGGCTAGCCCCTGTGGCTGAGTTGGTGGGAGCTGGTTGTTCACCAAATTGGTTCTCGCAGATTGACCTCAGTCTAGTGTCTTCAGTCTCAATTCATCTGGCCATTTGGATGCGGTCTATCTCAAGCGATGTTTCTCCCTAGCTGCGACGCTTTACTATCTGAAATCTCATCGCTCGATGTCGTCTGAGCGTCTTGTCAGGCTACGTCGGAGTTCAATCTGCCCGAGAAGGTTCTTAGCACCTATCAAGTCAATGCAGCCCTAGATTTGAGCATTTTTCCCGCGTTTGCAGCGTTGGCAGACTAACCTCGTCGACAAGTTAGGTTTAGTCATTGAAGGCAAGGCTCGTGCTTTACGAGCACGTTTAGGGTTATTGCTCCTGCATTTCCCCTTCAGTGGTCGGAGGCTCTGGTTCCTAATTCATAAACGAGTTTGCGTGACCAAAGCATCTATTTCGAATTAAGGAAACGTGATTTGCAACTTTACTCAAAGCGTCGACTGCTCGGGTGGCTGATTAAAGCCGTTGCGTGGCGTCATGGACCAGCGGTTTCAGTTGACAGAGCTCATTGGAAAAGGGTCGTTCGGAGATGTGTTCAAGGGGTAAGTCCCCGTTATTATTAGCAGTATCATTCCTAGGATAGACCGCGATCATACCTTTTGGTTTGTCTTGTTGAAATTTATTCTCCCAAGTCCACTCTCGTGCCTGACGGTAGCCTCCCATGTCGCGACGTGGCGTGGCTTACCATACAAGTCACCGATGGGAGTCATTTCATGATTGTTCCATAAAATTTTCATTTCCGTCGCCATTAGTTCACCATTTCGCTCACGTTGTCGAGCGCCTGAGATTTGACGCGGTATTACCACGTGGTTACCACATTGTGCAGGATTGACAAGGAGACGGGCAAGCAGGTGGCTGTGAAGATCATCGACCTCGAAGAAGCGTACGTGCCCCTCAGTCCTTACTTGACATTATGACATGAATGACAGAATCGTGTTTTTTCGTCGGCATTCGCTCATCCCATTCCCCCCCGTCCTCGTCTTCCCGTCATCCATTTTGCTTCCTGCATTATTGCTCGTCCCAGCAGCCTGATTAAGCTTGTCCCGCCGTTCCTGCCAAGCATTATGCTTCGAAGTTTTGGTTACAACGGGCTTTTTACCTTTCTTACACCATGCCATGTCATGTCTGCTCTGCTGCTGTGTCATGCCACGCCATGTCTGCTCTGTGGCATGCCATCCCCTGTGTTGCTGTGCTGCAGTGAGGATGACGTGGAGGATATTCAAAAGGTTGGCATCTTATCTCACATGGGATGACACAGAGAGAGGGAGAGAGGTTCACGTGAAGTGGATTGATGCTTGCTATCTTCTGTTAGTCACTCAAGTCTTCGAAATCTCGTCGATCCTTCGCAACTCGTTGCGAATCTTCTCAGTTCCTGAGTCCATTCAAGCCTGCCCTGACAATCTGCACTTGCACAATTCTCTGTGCGTGCGAATTTCCCTGTGTGCGTGTGTGCGTCTGTGGCGTGCGTGTTCGTGCGTGTGTGTATTGCGTGTGTGCTCGTGTGTGTGTCGTTCCATGGGAGCAGGAGATAGCACTGCTGGCAGAGTGCAGAGCGCCCAACATCACCAGGTACTACGGCAGCAGTGTACACAACACCAAGCTATGGATCGTCATGGAGTTCATGGCGGGCGGCAGCGTTGCCGATCTGGTGAGTTGAGAGTACTCCCAAAGAGGTTGTGGACTCATGAGCAATGCACTACACTGTACACTGTGTGCACAACACCAAGCTATGGATCGTCATGGAGTTCATGGCTGGTGGCAGCGTGGCCGACCTGGTGAGTCTTGCGCCCGATCCAGTTACCAGTAGAGTCTCGAGAGCACTCAACTCAAGAACAGCGTGCACAACACAAGCTATGGATCGTCATGGAGTTCATGGCAAGCTTTCTCACCTCCTCCGTTTCGTGATCTCACGCCTTACCCTTTCGCTTATGTCCCTTTTTGCAGCTGCAAGAAGCTCCTTTGGACGAGGCGTCCATAGCCTACATCCTACACGACCTGCTCACTAGAAGCTCGCTCCCCTCTCTCTCTATCACCTCCCTGGAAATCCGCACAGTTGCAAGAGGCTCCTCTGGACGAGGCATCTATAGCATACATCCTGCACGACCTGCTGCAGGCTCTGGAGTATCTGCACTCGGAGAAGAAGATTCACCGCGACATCAAAGGTGGGCAGGGCTGCTTGGTTGCAAAGGTAGGTAAGGTGTGCTGCATGGTGGTGAAGCAGTATCATATTCACCCAACGAGTAAACGACCTGCTGCAGGTTCTGGAGTATCTGCATTCGGAGAAGAAGATTCACCGTGACATCAAAGGTGGGCTAGGCTGGATGATTGGTGGTGATGTGAGAGAGTCACGGGTGGGCTTTATGGTTTGCAGTAAAGTAAGCCCATATATTTAGCCCGCCTCAAACGTCCGTATCCCCGCCCAACCCTCTGTACCCCTGCCCAGCCTCTGTATCCCCGCCCAACCCTCTGTACTCTGACGCAACCTTTGTACCCCTGCCTTACCGCCCTGCCCTGTATCCTGCCACTGAGCAGCGGCCAACATCCTGTTGAACGAGGATGGAGATGTGAAGGTGGCTGATTTTGGTGTGTCCGCCAAGCTCACCAAAACCATCTCCAAGCGAAAGGTGCGCTTGGATTGAAGTTTGGGATGCGAACACACTGGCTGTTGTCTTGGAATGCCTGCTCCTCAAAGTGCTTCTCCTCTTTTTTTTTTTTTGTTTGCTTGTTTGTTTGCTACTTGGTTCCACTTAACGTGTTTTGTGCATCGCCTGTTTCAACACCTTGGAACTTAGTATTCACATGGATGCCTCCCCCTGCCTGCCACGTGTGCCCCCCTACGCCTGCTACCTGTGCGCCCTCCTTTCACGTGTGCTCCTCCTTTCCGATGCCTGCTTGCCTCATGAGCAGACGTTTGTGGGAACGCCTTTCTGGATGGCGCCAGAGGTCATTCAGAACACCGATGGGTACGACGAGAAGGTGAGTGAGTGAGCCCCACGCTGCATCCCAAGCAATGTTGGAGCCCGGAACCGGTGGGTGAACTTTAGACGTTTTTGCATTGTGGCGCTACCATTCTCCTCCTCGCCTCCCCCTCCTTCCCCCGCTTACCCCCCAATCCCCCACCCACCAGGCGGGCATTTGGTCGCTGGGCATCACAGCCATCGAGATGGCTAAGGGGGAGCCGCCCTTTGCCTCCCTCGTTTTCCTTCCTTCGTTTCCTTTCCTTCACTCCCTCCACCCTCGTCCCACATGCCTTCTCCCGCCCTCCCTCTCCTTCCCCCCCACCCACCAGGCGGACATCTGGTCGCTGGGCATGACAGCCATCGAGATGGCCAAAGGGGGGCCACGCCTCTTCCCTGCCCTCGTTCCCCTTCCTTTATACTCCCTCCCCTCCTACCCACCACTTCCCCCCACCAGGCGGACATCTGGTCGCTGGGCATCACAGCCATAGAGATGGCCAAGGGGGAGCCGCCCTTCGCGGATCTGCACCCCATGCGCGCACTCTTCCTCATTCCCAAGGACCCTCCGCCGCAGGTGAGAAATATCATGTTTTATTTCCACGAGGTGATGCTGATACCGGTGGTAGCCAGTGACTACGTATCTGCACCCCATGCACGCGCTCTTCCTCATTCCCAAGGGCCCTCCATGGAGTCAAATTGGGCTTCCAGATGCGACCATTTTGTCCAGTCATGGGAATTCTCAAGCTTAGCATCCGCCTTGCCATAACATAAACCACCCACCCACTCCCTCCGCTTTTCCTCCCTCACACAACCCTCCCCTTTCCCCTGTTTTTCCTCCCTCCCTCCACCATGAAACTCCCTATTGCTGTTGTCCTCAGTTGGACGATCACTTCTCGAAGCCCTTCAAGGAATTTGTCAATCTGTGCCTTAACAAGACAGCCAGAGAGGTGAGGGGGGGGAGTAGTGACAAGCTGAGAGTCGTGGGTGGAGAAGTGAGAGGAGTGGGTGGAAAGGTGAGCGGGGCGAGAGGTGGAAAGGAAGGGGGAAGGGGTAGTGATAATGAGGTGACATTTCTTCCAATAGTTTCTGACTTCCTTCTTGACTTGACTGCCTGCAGAGGCCCAGCGCCAAGGAGTCACTGAAACATTGGCTCGTGAAGTACTTGTGCACGCAAGACAGACACCGCCGACCGTGCACCTATGTTGCAAAATACGCGTATGGCGTACGGAACGCGTACGAACTATACGGTATCGTACATACGCGATACGCAAATTTCCAGCGTACAAAAAACCTCGAAATACGGTGCGTCGGGCAGGTTGAAATTTTCTAGGGCAGGGAAAAAACATTTCAGTTGAGGTAGAATGCTTATAGGGAAAGAACTTCAGCAATACTTGATGCGGATAACTCCCGTGGGGTTTTCGCCAGTACGAAATTGTTGGCTAGAATCGTCCTAATATTGCGGTTGCTAAAATCTGCAAGTGACGCGACGCCGCTGCTAGCAATAGCAGTAAACTTGGCGTGAGCTTCGCTGCTGTACTCACGCCGACTGGCGAGCAGCTTGTAAGGGAAGGTTGGGTTTGGGAGGTGGTGTGAGGTGATGTGCGGTGGAGGGGAGGGGAGGGGGGCATTCGAGTTTCGAATCTCAAAATTAGGTTTCACAGAATTGCAGATCGCGGAATCAGCGGCAACAGATTTTTTTCTCTCTTTTTTTTTTTCGCCTGCCCGGATTTACGTATCGCGTATTTGTCCCCGTTTCACGTTTTCACGTTTATACGTGAACGCATATACGTGATACGTAAAATTTCCTAAGCGTATAGTGCAACATAGCCGTGCACAATTACCTTACCCTTTGCTCCCTTCCCACCCCACTTGCCTGGTTGTTCCGACTTTTTTTATTTTTCTCTCGCTGCCTGCAGAGGCCCAGCGCCAAGGAGTCACTGAAGCACCGGTTTGTGAAGTATGCGTGCAAGACGCCCAGGATCATCGACCCTTGCCTTGTGCTCCCTCCCCACTACCTGATTGCCCTGACCTCCTGCAGAGGCCCAGCGCCAAGGAGCTGCTGAAGCACCGGTTTGTCAAGTATGCGCGCAAGACACCGAGGATCATCGACCGCGTGAGGGAGAGGGTGGAGAGTGCGGGGGAGCGCATTGTATCGCCGCGCATGAAGCCAGACGACCCTGAAGACGGCCCTCCCCAATCCGCCGCTGCTGCTGCCGCCGCTGCTGCTGCTGCTGCCGCTGCCGCCAGCAGTGCCCCCAGGTCAGAGGGGAGCAGTCTTAGCTGGTTTTTGAGAATTCTCAAAAACCACTGCCGCCAGCAGTGCCCCCAGGTCAGAGGGGGGCTGTCCTTGAGAATTTTCAAAAACCAGCAGTCTTACCGGGACTACTTTTGAGAATTCTCAAAAGTGAGTCGACTCAAAAGTCACCTCGGAGCAGTCTTACCGGGATTTGTCTTGGCAAGTGATGGGCAAGTGATGGGCAAGTGATGGGCAAGTGATGGGCAAGTGATGGGCAAGTGATGGGCAAGTGATGGGCAAGTGATGGGCAAGTGATGGGCAAGTGATGGGCAAGTGATGGGCAAGTGATGGGCAAGTGATGGGCAAGTGATGGGCAAGTGATGGGCAAGTGATGGGCAATTTGTTTTCCAAGTGGCCGCTTTGACGATTTGTTTTTTCAGGGGGGCGGGTCTGATGGCCTGGCATTGCTGTTCTGCTTGCTCTCCTCCCTTACTCCTCCGCGCCCTCCCCTCTTACTCCTCCCCGCCCTCCCCTCTTACTCCTCCCCGCCCTCCCCTCGTACTCCTCCCCACCCTCCCCTCTTACTCCTCCCCGCCCTCCCCTCTTACTCCTCCCCGCCTCCCCTTCCTGTTTCCCCAGGCACTCGCGCATGGCGAGTTGGGACTTTGGCACGGCTACGGGCACCATGAAGCCCACTGAGACTCTCCCAAGTTCCAAACTGTGCTCTCTTCTTCCTCCCAATGATGTGTAATGTAAACCCTAACCAGGCACTCGCGCATGGCGAGTTGGGACTTTGGCACGGCTACAGGCACCATGAAGCTGACTGAGACGCTGTTGTTCCTGGTTCTTCTTGCAAGGGTTCTGAGTCCTCATACTGGCTTTCTGCTCGCTCTCTTCCCTCTGCTCGCCTCCCTGTCCCCACCCACCTGGCACTCACGCAGGCACGCGCGCATGGCGAGTTGGGACTTTGGCACAGCCACGGGCACCATGAAACCCACTGAGACGCTCAGACGCCAGATCCGCGCTGCTGTTGCTGATCCCTCTGAGAGAGGGGGGTCTGATGGCATGGGGAGGGACGATGGGGGCGGGGGAGGGGGAGGGGGAGGGGGAGGGGGAGGGGGTGATGGGTATGATGGGGGGAAGCGGAGTGGGACGGTGCGGCGCAAGCCGCGTGATTCTGGGAGTGGGACTGTAAAGAAGGGCGCGAATACAGGCACGGTTAAGGCTAGCAAGGGGAAGGGGGGGTCGTCAGGGGGATCGGGGGGAGGAGCAGGGGGAGGAGGCGGGGGGGGGGAGGCGGAGGAGGGGGGGGGGAGGGGAGGAGGGGGTGGCGAATGGGGAGAAAGGGGGATTGTATGGGAGCGGGTGGGGGAGTGAGAGTGAGGGCTCAGGCACCGAAGAAGACGGGGTGAGTTGGGTTCGTACACTGTTGTAAGGGGGCGTTTTGGGTTCCGGTTCTTGTTGAAATGTTTTGTTGCAGTCCCCCCTGCCCATGTTTTGTTCCCATTCTAACAAAACTCATGTTTCACGGCATTTTCCCATTCTCCCGTAAATGAATGGGCTGCGCCGTGTCTTGTCTTCCTCCCCCCCCCACTTCACCATCCTTCCACTTTGCCTCACAGGAGGCCGGCAAGGGTCGCAGGAAGAGCAGCAAGCCCCCTTGACAGTTGCCTTCCACACACAACGTTCTGGAATTTTGTGTTCTAATGCGCTCTCCTCTCTCCCCCTCCCCCTTTACCACCCCTTCCACTTTGCCTCACAGGAGGGTGGCAAGGGTCGCAGGCGAGGCAGCAAGCCGCCGCTGCCTGATGGCTCGCGAACGGTACGATGGGTGGTGGGCTGGATGGGATGGTGGTATGAATGGGATGGAGCTAGGGCTTGATGGCATGGGTGATGGGATGTGGTGGCATGGTGGCATGGGTGGAACACTGAGGGGCGTGATGATGGGTGGATGGTGGTTTGGTTGACATGATGGCATGGGTGGATGTATGGTAGTGTGGGTGGGTTGGTGGGATGGGTGGAGTCGCATAGGTTGGTTGGGTGGGTGCATGGGTAACGAGGAGGACGCGGTAACGAACATGGCAAATGCACTCAAAGCCATGAAGGGGGGGAAGTTCTATGGTGCGTTGACTTGTGTGTTCCTTCTGTGCGCTCTCTGCATTCCCCAGTCTAACTCAGCAGAGTGTGGGCGTAAATAAGGAGGATTCGGCAACGAACATGGCAGAGGCACTCAAAGCCATGAAGGGAGGGAAGAACCATGCTGCGTTGACTCATGTGTTCCTTCTGTGCCCTCTCCCTGCTGTCCCTCTTTTGTGTTCCTCCTTCCGCACTCCTTTCCTCAGCCTGAGGAGGGTGGGTGCAAGGAGGATTCAGCAACCAACATGGCAGAGGCACTCAAAGCCATGAAGGGCAGAGAGAGAGGCACCGCATTGAGCTGTCTTGACTCGAACGTTCTGTGTATGCCTCTTCCCTTTGTGTGTCCCTCAGTCTGAGGAGGGTGGGCGCAAGGAGGACTCAGCAACGAACATGGCAGAGGCACTCAAGGCCATGAAGGGGGGAGGGGAGGCAATGTAATTGTTGACTCTGATTATTACCTCTCCTATGTCTCTTCCCCCCATGCATGTGTGTCCCTCAGTCCGAGGAGGGTGGGCGCAAGGAGGATTCGGCAACCAACATGGCAGAGGCACTCAAGGCCATGAAGGGAGGGAAGAAGGGCGGGGGAGGGCGGGCGAGCAGAGCGGGCGGGGGAGGAGGAGGGGGAGGGGGAGATGCCATGGACAGTGGCACCGTTCGAACAAGGTGTGTGTTGTGATATGCTGTGGTATGATGTGGGATGTATGCTGTTTGCGAGCAGAGGGGCGGGTCTGGGAAGGAGGTGAGGAGGGGGAGGGGGAGATGCCATGGACAGTGGCACCGTTCGAACAAGGTGTGTGTTGTGATATGCTGTGGTATGATGTGGGATGTATGCTGTTTGCGAGCAGAGGGGCGGGTCTGGGAAGGAGGTGAGGAGGGGGAGGGGGAGATGCCATGGACAGTGGCACCGTTCGAACAAGGTGTGTGTTGTGATATGCTGTGGTATGATGTGGGATGTATGCTGTTTGCGAGCAGAGGGGCGGGTCTGGGAAGGAGGTGAGGAGGGGGAGGGGGAGATGCCATGGACAGTGGCACAGTTCGAACAAGGTACTTGGTGTGTGGATGGGATGATGTGCATTGATGTGCAATGTATGCTGTGGGTGAGCAGAGTGGGAGGAGGAGGAGGGGGGATTGGCATGGACAGTGGCACAGTTCGAACAAGGTATGTGCTGTGTGGGTGGGATGATGTGCATTGATGTGCAATGTATGTATGCTGTGGGTGAGCAGAGTGGGAGGAGGAGGAGGGGCAGTGGCACAGCTCGAACAAGGTGGGTGCCATGCTGTGTGGGTGAGATGATGTGGGATGATGTGGGATGTATGTATGCTGTGAGTTTGCTTGTCAGTAGAACAGATGGGCTAGCAGAGGGGGCGGAGGAGGAGGGGGAGGGGGAGATGCCATGGACAGTGGCACAGTTCGAACAAGGTACGTGCTGTGAGATGATGTTCGATGATGTGGGATGTATGCTGTGAGTTGATATGGGATGGCATATTTCTCATCCCTCTCCCTCTCCCTTCCCCATCCCTCTCCCTCACCCATTTTCAGAAAACCCAAGGCCGGGGGGCGGAAGGGCGGTGGAGGAGGGGGAGGGGAGGAGCAGGGAGGAGCGCGAGTGGCTGGCAGGGATGCTGCTGTGTCGTCCTCCCCTCTGCTCTCCCTCGTGCTCATGCCCGCATTCAAAGAGGTGCGTGTGTTTTGTTTTTAGTCTGGCGACTCAAAAGAGAGTGGCCGGCTGGGATGCTGCTGTCTCGTGTTCTCCTTTGCTCTCTCTGGTGTAACGTCTGCATTCAATGAGGCACGCAGCAGATGCATCTGCTTCCCTTTTCCACCCTCTCTTCTGATCCAAGATTCCCTCCTGCTCGCCCCCTCACACCTGGTGGCAGCGGATCAGCAGGAGCAGGCAGCAGTGCGGGCTGCCGCAGACGAAGCAGATGCAAGCAATTCCCCTTATCCTCCTCCATTTTGTTTCAAAACCCCTCGTCCTCGCTCACACCAACCAGGTGGCAGCGGATCAGCAGGAGCAGGCAGCAGTGCGCGCAGCAGCAGACGCGTCTATTGTGCCCTTGTCATCCCTTCCTGTTTTTTGTGCGATACTGCTTGCTGTTTCCTCACTCCAGGTGGCAGCGGATCAGCAGGAGCAGGCAGCAGTGCGGGCTGCCGCAGACGCGTCTATTGTGCCCTTTTCATCCCTTCCTGTTTTTTGTGCGATACTGCTTGCTGTTTCCTCACTCCAGGTGGCAGCGGATCAGCAGGAGCAGGCAGCAGTGCGGGCAGCAGCAGATGCAGCAGACGCACTGGTGGAGATGGAACGGTGTGCCCCCGGCTCCTGCCAGCTGCTGCTCGCCAGCCTGCTTGGCAAACTCGGCAGGTATGCCCTCACCTCAATAAGCCCATATTTTAGAAAGTAACAGGCCAGGCAGCAGCAGCAGATGCGGCAGATGCGCTGGTGGAGATGGAGAGATGTGCCCCGGGCTCCTGCCAGCTGCTGCTCGCTAGCCTGCTAGGCAAGCTCGGCAGGTAAGTCCTCATTCATCTCAGCAAGCAGCACTTGCACCAGCCCGAGCGGCAGTGCGAGCGGCAGTGCGAGCGGCAGTGTGAGTAGCAGCAGAGATGTGCTCACACTGCCAGCAGCAGCAGATGGAGGTGTGCCTCCGGCTCCTGCCAGTTGCTGCTCACCAGCCTGCTCGGCAGGTGGTCCCTCCATTAGCCCACCCTGTCTCATTCCTTCAAGTTATGTGTGCTGAGATTCAGCCTGGAGGCCAACGCTGGCAGGCAGTTTGGATTGAAGCAGGGATCTCCCAACTCCAAGCACGTTTCCTTCCCCCTTCCCCGTCTCCCCACTCACAGTGCATCAGAGGAGGTCCCCCTTCTCCGTGACCTGAAGGCCAACGCGCGCAGGCAGTTTGGTTTGAAGCTGGTAACTTTAGCTTCAAACGCCCCTCTTCTGCCCCCACCTCCCAACCGCTCACAGTGCATCAGAGGAGGTGCCTCCGCTGCGTGACCTGAAAGCCAACGCGCGCAGGCAGTTTTGGGGACCAGGGGGTGAGGGAGGGGCGGATGGGCGAGCCGACAGTTTGGCCCGGGTATCTAACATCTGGCGTTCCCCCCTTCCCGCACTCCACTCACAGTGCATCAGAGGAGGTGCCTCCTCTCCGTGACCTGAAGGCCAACGCACGCAGGCAGTTTGGGGGCCCAGGGGGCGAGGGAGGAGCGGATGGGCGAGCGGACAGGCGGCATGGGAAGGGGGGAGACGACGACGTGAACAACCTTAGTCCCCTGGGGAGCTTCCTCCTCCGCAGGTGAGTGAAAATGGGTGTTGTAAGATGCAGTTCAGGGAGGGGCGGATGGTCGAGGGGACTGGTGGCATGGGAAACTTGATGACGTGAACAACCTCAGTCCCCTGGGAAGCTTCCTCCTCCGCAGGTAATTTTCTTTTCTGCCTTAAGAATTGAACCAGGGGACGAGGTGTTCTCAACCTTTGAGTCGACTCAAAAGCCTTAGAAATTGACCCGGGGTGCGAGGTTTTCTCAACCTCCGAATGTACGCTCAGCAATGGGTTGTGACGATTGTGCACACCCTATTCTCTTGGTAGTATTGCTAATAGTGATGTCTCCGAAACCTTCCCATCGGGCACGTTCCTCCTGTGCAGGTGAGCTGAACCTCCTTTCGAGCTCTTTTTTTTTTTTTTTCCCTCGCAATATTAGAGGCATCTCAGAACCCATGTCTTTGTCAGGCAGGGCAGGAATCCACCTTGATCCCCTTCTCCTCCTTTCAACCCGCACCTCTCTCCCTGCGCCCACGCAGATGGAAGGGAAACTCGCTATTGGATTCAGGATGACCGTTCAGCCCAGCGCTGCTGGCTTGTACCACCGTAATATGCTGAGTTGGCAGGCTGGTGGGATGTCTCAAACCAGCGTTGCAACGTCTTAATCTATGGCTGTGGTGCAACACAATGCCATGTGATGTGAACGACGATTCTGGGTTGGGTGGGTTCTGTTATGATGCCGGGACAGGACGTCTCGACCGGGTTTTGAGGCCAAGCTGCAGAGGTGTGAGTTGATCTTCGGGTGCTGCTGAAATGGAGGGACATATCTGGTGTGAAGTACGGTAGTTCCAGGGACATAAAAATGCTCAACTCAAGCTGGGAAGAAGGGAACTTGAACAAAAACTGCACTCATTCTGTGGATATGTGCCCATTTACCGTATATGAGATGAAGTGTTTATACAGTGAATGGAGAGCCACTACTTGAATATTCATGGACCTCCTCTCTTGCCCTTATCATATAATGAACCATTCCTCTACACTCTGCTCTGTCTGTTCAAACTACATACTCGTCACATTACAGTAAATGTAGATTTCTGGGATACTAAACTAAACCGTGTGCTTGTGATTTTCAGCTAATCGAGGAATTAGCTCCCATTTATGGAAGAATCAATGGGTGCTATCCCAAATCTCTTTTCAAATAGCTTGTCCGAGCACTGGATGAATTGAACCAAACACACCTTCCGTGCCTGCTGCAACGCCGCTTCCGCCAATCCTTGTTGACCTGTGACTCTTGTCCCAAGCTTGTTGCTGCCTGGAATATACTCCAGGCCACTAGAACCTCCAACCTCTTCACCGCATTCCACCTCTTTTCCTTGTTCCACCCATTCACATCCTTCCACCCCGTTACCCCTTTCCACCTCTTTCAACCCGTCTCCCAACCCTGCGCCAGTGTCCTTCACATTCTCCCTCCTACGTTCACCTCTCCATTCAAGGGCCATCACTCTATATGGCACCAACTCATAGCCAATGCTCAGCAGTGCCACATGTCGCGGTCTGATTCGCCGATCCAAACTGTAATTCAGAAAATTAGGGAACGCAAGCACCTCCATTATAGACAGCCCCATGTCCCGTTTTAAGTACTCCACCTTGTGCCTCGTATTCATCTCCCAATTGTAGTAGATCAACGATGGGTACTTCAGCACCAGACACGCCACTAGATCACGGGCTGTGGCGCAAGTTCTGTTCTCAGCCATTAGATCATAAGCTGTGGCGCCAGCCCTGCTCTCAGCCATTGGATCACGAGCTGTGGTGCCAGCGCTGCCATCAGAACCGCCTCCTTCTCCTGCCCTTGCTTCCACCCAGCTCTTGGATCCGGCTCTAAAGCCAGCGCCGCTCCAGCCTTGCTTCGGACTATCGCTTGCATTCTTTTGAGGCGACTCCAAGTGAAGATTCTCTCTTGCGTTTTCATCTTCTTCACTGATTTCCAAGACCCCTTCACCACTCTCCAACGTCTCTTCACCACTCTCCAACGCCTCTTCACCACTCTCCAATGCCTCTTCACCACTCTCCAATGCCTCTTCACCACTCTCCAATGCCTCTTCACCACTCTCCAACGCCTCTTCCACTTCTCGCACAAGTTCTCCAAAACTCCTCTTGAGATTTGTTTCGCTTGAACACAGCAGCAAAGGAAACCGCGCCACTGCACACACTGCGTTCTCTTGCCCAATCAGATTGCTCAGCAATGCCACCTTGCCTTGCAGGTTCTCCAAAGATCGATCAAGAATCATCGGATGGCTTCGCACCGCACTCCCTGCTGCCTTCTTCCCCACCAATTCCTCTAAGTACTGGAACTTAGCTAAGATATTCTGAGAGCTTAGGTTGACGACGGTGGGGGCAAGGCGGAGAATCGAGCTTGCTATGGACGGGGTGCCAGGGGGGGTTAGAGACTGGAGGAGGCTGAGTTTTGTGGCGATGATCTTCGGGGAGGAAAGGAGGAGCTGCGGATTCTTCAACAGGAGTTTACTCAGGTGATTCTTGTCCTTATGTTGCCTCGTCAGGTGTTGTTTCAGGTGCCCAGTGCAGACGTTTTTTTCTTCGTATCCATCAGTCAGGTACGCTGATAGCTGCTCAATGCGAGCTCGTATGGGTTCTTCCTTGCTGCAAAGGATTCTTGGGGCTTTCTCGATCAGCATGCTTAGCTTGTCCACAGGAACCCCTGCTCTTTCCACCAAAATGTCCAGGTTCGTTGAACGAGCCTGCATTCCGACGAGGGATGAAGCATTACGGAGCACCGAACCAAGCTTGGTACGGCGGACTCCCCGAGCCAAGAGAAAGTCAAGCTTATCCTGAATCTGTGGAAGCGGGGATCGGAACCAGCATGGATTACTCATGGTGATGGTTGAGATGTCGGCACGGGATATGCCATACGACTCTAGAAGCTGGACACGTGGCAGCAGGTCATTGGTGGGGTCAGACCGGAGGAGCGCAGGGCGACGGGCGAGGAGGGAAGCGACCGTGGAAGGGGAGGAGATGCCGAGGTGGGAGGAGAAGAAGCGGTAGAGGGAGAGGAGGGAGGGGAGAGTGGTAGCACGTGCTTTTCTTGGACGAGAGGTGGTACCAGGAAAGTCCTCCTGCACTTCTGCTTCGTCCCCTTCTTCCCGAATTTCTAATTCCACTTGCTCCACATCCCCTTCCGCTTCTTCTGCTCCCTTCGCTTCCTCCTCATCTGCGATTCTTCCGTCTGTAGACCCCACCGCCTCCTCCTCCTCCTCCTCCTCCTCCTCTCACGATCTGAGGCCCGAATTTCTCTCTCAGCACTTCAGCAATCAACGCCACTGCCTCCTCCTCTCTGGTGGCGCATCCTCCCCTCTCTCCTCCATTCTCTCCTCCCCCCCTCCCTCCTCCTTCATCATTTACCTCCGCCTTCCCCATTCTTCCCGCACGTCTCATACGCCCTCCTCCGCCAACCACCTCCTTCTCGCTCTCTCCTGGCTCTCTCTTCTCTCCTTCCCCCTCCTCTCTTCCCACTGTACGCAACCAAGCCTCCGTCCCAACCGCCAGTACTGGCTCGCCATCGAAGCTCGGATCAAATCGCACGTTCACACCCTCCGTCTCTGGAGCCGCGGCTGGTCTGGTCAAGAATCTAACGGGACATCTTATAGAGAGGCACATATCAGGGGTTCGAATCCTCACGTATGTTGTTTCCGCAGGTTGGTGAGGTTTAAACCCGAACAGGTAGAGGCTTCGCGAGGAAGGTATAGAAGATGTTGATGGTGCTGATAGTGTTGATGTGATTCCAGGCTTCGCTGGAAAAGGCTCAGACCAAGGCGTAAAAGACTGCGTTATGTATCGTAATGTGTATCTTAATCTGTAGATCCACGCGGTGGATGGCCGTGACGAGGTACGACTCGCCATGGCGAATAGGTGAAGGATATACGGAAAAATACGAAATTTGCATGAACGCGTCGCGGGTTACTAGAGGTTCCTAGCACGCCAAGCAGGCGAGATTTTGTTGTGGTGCAAAAAAATAGCTCCTTTTAACTGCTTGCATGCAGTCGTATCGCCTTGCAGAAGCAGAATTTTGAGGAAAGGGAAGCAGGCAGATTACAGGGAGCACTGATGGAAGGAAATTATCGGATCATCAGGCAGACACTTTTCTACTCCCCCTACTGGGACTTCCGAGCTGGCACTCTTGTGTCTCGCGATTTTCTTTGGTCAGCAAGATGCCGCATCAAGTGGAATTTGTGATTTCGCTTCTGGTTGTTACCGTGCGAAAGGTTCACGCCAGTCAGACTGTCGTTTCGAATTCTTACGCGGTATAACGAAATTGTCAGACCACACCAGATTGAGACTTCATTCATAACATCACGCAATACGAATTACTCCAATCACCGTGACGACATCCATTACGATATTGCAATACCAGCTTAATTTTGATGGAAATTCAACATTGGTGGTTGCAATTGCACCATTAGAGATTGAATTTACCCTGCACATAGGCATTTCGAACATCCTCTACGAAGTTCATTCTTCATGATACAGTGCTTGAACGGGTCCTATGAAATTGCGAGTACACACATTTGGGGGATGTCCTCCTCCTGGTTCTCGATTCTCTCGGTTTTGTTTGGTTCTTTGCGGTCCATAGCGGCAAAAAACATTTCGTTACCGTGAAACACACTGAACCGCGACCGGCCGATGGACAAATTGGCGGGACGAGCCCCACGATTTCTGAAATGTCAGACTTCCCGCCAAATCCAGAACCTTGGGATTGTTCCTCCAATCACAGGAGTCTCCTGCAATCAATCCCCTGTCGTCGTTGTGTTGGTCTTTCCACTTCCATCGAAGCCAACGAAACGAAATGAACGTGCAACAGCAAATGCAAGATATCCTCTTCGTCCCAAGCGCTGAGAAACAGCAACCCTCTAACCTGTTTCTCAGCGCTTGTCTCACCAACACCAGTGTCAAGTAGGTAAGCTTCGTAACTTCGTTGCCGTAGGCTGTTTACATCCTTTTCAAGCATAGTGGTACATAACCTTTTCAGGATATTCCTCCAGTTGCAACGTGTCACTTTGTGATCTGTCGTCGTATTCTCGATATTGTCGCACCGCTCACAGGCTGCCATCGCCAGCCTGATCGCTAGACGCCTCGCAGAAGTTCGATGAAATCGCCAACGCACCTTAGCGTCAGTAACAAGGTTACGAGGATTTCCTTGTAAAGTGAGCCAATACTTCTGGCCTGTTGGACTGTTGCTGAAACAGGAGTCTGCCTGAAGCGCTCGGGAAAGCGAAGGAACGGGACGCAATTTTAGCTTCTTCTGAAGATCCTGCCTCGAGAAAACGATTCGCAGAGATGACGCCACCTGGCGAACGGATAAGTCGAAGCGATGAGGATAGCCTTCTCGGAAATTCGGCACCCAGAACAGAAACGGGTGTGTACTCTTCAGGTAAAAATGTCACTGGTTCGAATCTTGATAGAATTTTACCTTGCACAGGCACAAGCAGGATCTCTATATCTTCTACTGGTGACGATGGTCGCACGGCCGGCGTTAGAAAAATGGGTAACCTCGTTGCGCGTGGGAACTCTGGCCAGACCAGACTAGAGACTAACCAGCCTACCACTAGGAGCAAAAAAGTAGGAAACTCTTCACTAAGGATCCGAGAACCAGTGGTATCGGCAGGCGCGTCCCCTGCAGGCGCACCGTCTAGAGGTGCGGCTGAAATTGACGGCTTAGAACCGCAAACGCACGGTACGGAATCCGAAAATGTTCATACGGATCCTGAACCGCGTCGCTCGCCGTCTGAAACGCGCGGCGTAGCTGGCAGCGATTTGTTAGAGGATAGTTATTTTTCAGCGGAGTCTGACGGCTTTGTAACGGGTTACACTGAACGGATTATAGCGGGGGAAGGAGGCGCAGATGATGCGAACGGGGTAGACGACGAGGTGCAGCTGCGCGTTCGCGCGGGAGTTTCCGTTGCTGATGCTTGTAACGAAGAGGTTAGAAACGAGCGGATGGATGTAGAGACGGAAGAAGAGGAAAATCTGGATGGAAAAATGATGGAGGAGGCAGCGGATGATGCGGAAGATACGGAACATGCGGGTGATGCGGCGGAGGAGGTGGTGGTTGTGGAGATTGATGAGGACGGGTTGAGCGCAAGGGAGGAAGAGAGGGAGGAGGAAGAGAAGGAGGAGGAAGAGAAGGAGGATGAAGAGGAGGAGGAGGAGGAAGAGGAGGAGGAGGAAGAGGAGGAGGAGGAAGAGGAGGAAGAGGAGGAGGAAGAGGAGGAAGAGGTTGATGTAGAGATTGAAGGGGATGAGCTGCGCGTAGAGGTAGAGAACGACACGTTTAACGTAGATATAGAGGACGACGCGTTGCGCGTAGATACAGAGGACGACGCGGTGAGCATGGATATAACGGATGAGGAGGTAGAGGAAAGCATGCACGCGGGCATGGCTGCAGTTAACGCGTTCGTTGGTTTGCATCCCGTGGAGGCGGGCGGAAGAGGCGTCTCCGCCCCGCGCGGGGCCCGCGGCGGAAGGGACGGCGCGGGGAATAGCGCGGAGGATGTGCGCGGGGCGGAAGGGCCCCGGACTCCCGACGGGTGGTTTGGGGAATCAACTCTAGTAGGCGCGCGGGATGGGGACCGGGGGAACGTTAGCGCGGAGGATGGCCGCGCGGGGAGCTCAAGGGAAGGCGCGGATGAAAGTTCGGGAAGTAGAGCAGCGGATGGCGCAGCGGGTTGCAGAAGGGATGGTGCACGAAAGGAAGGGGAAGGGGAAGGGGAAGGGAGGAAAGGGAAGCAGCGAGGGGGGCGCAAGTCGGTGGGGAGGGGTAGGGTGGGGCAGGGAAGAAGGAGAACCGGGAAGGGCGCGGGAGAAGAATCGGCTAGGACGGGCATGGGCGAAGGGAGTGAAAGCACGGGCAACGGGCAGGGGCGGTCGGGGGTAGCGGAAATGCAGGCGGGTGGTACGTTCCAGGGGAAGGAGGACGAGAAGCAACGCACGGGAGGAGGGACAACGAGGAAAGAAGTGCGAACGAGGGGTCAGGCGCGGTTGGCAGTGTTGAGGCAACTGAGCTTCCGGCGGGTGCTGGTGAGGTGGAGCCCGCCGAAAGGGAGGCGGAGACCTGCTGCTGTGGCCGCTGCTGCCGCCTTGAAAGAAGCTGCAACGCCGAGGAAAGGGAAAGGGAAAGGCAGAGGGAGAGGGGTAGGGACAGGGAATGGGGAAGGGATTGGGAAAGGGAATGGGAGGGGAGCGGGTAAAGGGGCAGGGGAAGGGACAGGAACAGGGACAGCAAAAGGTCAAGGGACCGGGAAGGAGACAGGGATTGGGAGAGGAAAGGGAAAAGGGAGTGGGGAAAGAAATGGGAAGAAGGGGGTAGTGCTAGGGCCTGCTGTAGAAGCAGGTAAGAGGGGACGCAAGGGTAAGGGACAGAGAGGGCAAGTAGTGACTGCTGCAGCAGCATCAGATGCAGCGAGGGTGCCCAATGCAGGAGCACCTCCAGGAGCAGCGTCAGGTGCCACGTCAGGTGCAATGCCAGGAGCAGCATCAAGAACAGCGGCCGTAACACGAGCAGCAGGAGGAGGTAAGGCCGGGGGGGGTGGTGCTGCTGGCTCGTCTGGAAGGGCTCCGTTAAGAGTTATAGGGGATGCGTTGGATAAAGGGAGGGCTGCGGCTACAGCTGGGGCAGCAGCGAAATTGAGGAAGGAGAGGAGGGAGAGTGCGAAGAAGGGGGAGAGGGCGGAGAGGGCGGAGAGGAGAGGTAAGGCCAAGGCTCGAGATGCCTTGTGGGTGAAACGGCAGAGCTTAGAACGAGGGGCGAAGGCCGGTGCGAATACAAGGGCGAAAGCAGGGGCGAAAGCAGGGGCGAAAGCAGGGGCGAAAGCAGGGGCGAAAGCAGGAGGGAAAGCAGGGGCCAAAGCAGGGGCGAAAGCAGGGGCGAAAGCAGGGGCGACTCCTGAGTTTATGAAGGTGCGTTTGAGGAAGGGGCAGAGAGGAGGGGTGAGGGGCGGAGGGGTGAGGGACGGAGGGCAGAGGAAGGAAGGGGCTGGGCAGCCAAGTGGGGTGATTCCTGAGCTTATGAAGACGCGTTTGAGGAAGGGGCTCAGAGGAGGGGTGAGAGGCGGAGGGCAGAGGAAGGAAGGGGTTGGCCAGGCAAGTGGGGTTACTCCTGAGTTTATGAAGACGCGTTTGAGGAAGGGGAAGAGAGGAGGGGTGAGGGGCGGAGGGCAGAGGAAGGGGGTGACTCCTGAGTTTATGAAGACGCGTTTACAGAAGGGGCGCAGAGGAGGGGTGAGGGGCGGAGGGCGCAGGGGGGAAGAGGCTGACTTGTCTGGTAGTGCGAGTCCTGATGTGGTGGGTGTGCCTGTTGTGAATGTGCATGTGACGAGCCACGGATTGGAGGTGCCTGCGGCGGGGCATGGGTTGGAGGTCATGAAGACCCCTTTGAGGAAGGGGCAGAGACGAGGGGTGAGGGGCGGAGAGCGCAGGGAGGAAGGGGTTGATCCGCCTGGTCGTGCGAGTCCTGATGTGGTGGAGGTGCCTGTTATGGAGCATGGGGGGCCTACGGTGGAGCAAGGGTTGGAGGTAGAGGTAGAGCGTGGTAGGCCGTGTGGTGTTACTTCTGCTGAAACGCCTCAGAAGGGAAGGCTTAGGCCGTGTGGTGGGGCTGTACAGGGAGGAAGGAAGCGGAAGCGGGCAGAGGCGAGGGTGGGAGAAGCAGAGGGCGCCGGTGGGGGGCTTGCAGCTGCGGAGGAGGAAGCATGTAGAGGCGTGGGTGCATGGGATGCGTCTCTTTTTATTAGTTCTCCACGTGGGAATGCAGGATGTGCAGGGACTGCAGTGGGAGTAGTGGAAGCAGTGAGGGTGGGGGAAGCAGAGGGCTCAGACGGGGGGGTTGCAGGTGGGGAGGAAGAATCATGTAGCGGCGTTGGCGCATGGGATGAGTCTCCTTTGAATAGCTCTCCACGTGGGGCTGCAGGGACGTCTGTCACTGCAGGGAGAGCAGTGGGAGCAGGAAGAGCAGGGAGAGAAGAGGAAGCAGTGAGTGGGGAAGTGGGAGCAGTGGGAGTAGTGAGGGCAGGGACTGGATCTGCAGCAGCAGCAACTGCTGCTGCGTTTGGGAGTCCCATTGATGTAGCTCCCATTGATGTAGCTTCGCATGATAATGTCACACGGTCTGCCAATGCTGCCACTGCTGCCACAGCTGACGCGACCAATGCACCATCCCCTAGTGCGCATGCTACTCCCGACTCGCCACTGCCCGCAACACCGCCCACTGCTTCCTCCCGTCACCATCGATCCACTGCTGCTGGTGCTGCCAACGCTACCAACACAGCCAACGCAACAACCCCCAGCATGCCGGCTCCTTCCGACTCGCCTCTACCTGCCACACCGCCTCCTGCTGCCTCACGTCGTCGCTGCTCCACCCCTCCCCCTCCTCCTCGTGCCACTGCCCCCCACCGACCGTCCCACTCATCTTCACGGCAGCCTCCCCACCCGCTATCGCACCAGCCTCCCAACCGAAACCACAAGGATTTGTTACACTCTCCAACACCCAGCCGTGTGGCTTCTTATTTGAAATCCCCAAATGGCGGAGGTGCTTTTAACTTTATACCTCCCAGACCCGTCACCATCGGCCCTGGCATTGCGGTGGAATACTCAAGGAGTGGTGCGAATCCTCCCAAACTCCCAGTTCTGCCCCCCACCTCACTCTCCTTCCCACCAGCTGTCCCGCTCTCCTTCCTGCCACCCTCCGCATTTCCTTTTGTTCCCCTTCCTCACACTCTTTTCTAGCGTTACCCTGCTGCACATTATATGCTTTGGAATTCAGCCAAAACCCATTTTGACTTATTACCCTGGACCTTGTTTAGGTTTTAGGGGTCGAGTCTGTGTACAGCAACCTTCGAAACCCCTTTTTTTTGTGCGTTTAAGGTTAGGCCAGTGTGATATAGAGTGTGTGCATCTTGCTGCATTATGGTGCTTCCTCCCCTCCTTCACATGCTACCTGTCTCCCAATGCTCGCAACCTGGTTCTCTCATTCCTTCACTTACTCATTCCCTTGCTCCCTCATTTTATTGCTCCCTTTTTCCCTTGCTCCCAATGCTCGCCATCCCCGAACTGAGGCGCCTCAAAACCTTCCCTTCGTTCCTCTGCTCCCAACCCGTGCCCGCACCTGCTCTCTATGCGTTTCTGCTGCTCCCAGGTCGCCCGCGCTTCCGTCCCCTGGCCTACTGGTTGCATGAGAGAGTCTTCAGTCCAGTGGTGAGTCGTCAACCCCTGATCCTCTTGTTCTACTACTCTCTTTCTGCATTGCATGCTGCATTGACCTCAGGATGTGGAGCGGTCAGCTATCCTGCTAGGTCTGCAGCCAACCATGCGAAAAAACCCCTGATCCTCTTGTTTTACTACTCTCTTTCTGCGGTGCATGCTGCATCCCTTCCTGCATTGGCGGCTTGCAGGATGTGGATCGGCCTTCTATCCTGCTAGGGCTGCAGCCAATGACACATGCAGAAGAGTTGAAGATCAAGAAGGGTATGCGGGTTACCCATGTGTGTGGTTACCACAATTGGTTTACCATATGTGTGGTTACCACACTTCAGGTATTAGGTGTGTGTGCGGTTGCCATGTCCGCATTGCCATTCCTTGGTTCTAGCTGTTTTGGCTGTCTGGTTCGTCCACTTTTTTTTTCCATTATCTTTACTGTCTAATTTCTATTATTTCTCGTGTTCTTATATGTCCGTGCCACCACCACCCACGCTGCTATCCGTTGGTCTTTGCAGTCTTGCTCGGGGATTTTACTCGCGATGGGGAGGAACAAGAGGAAAGGGAGGAGCAGGGTGGAGGGGAAGAGCAGGAGGGAGGGGAAGGGGATGGCTCAGAGAGGGATGGAGGGAGGGAGGCGGGTGAGAAGCGGAATAGAAAGAGGAGGAGATGTGAGAAAGGAGGGGCTGAGGCGGGGGGTGTGGCTGCATCGGCTGGAAAGACAGGTGTTGGGAGAGCAGTAGCGTCTGAATCGGCCCAGAAGTCGCCTAGAGGGAGGGGGAGGCGTGGGCAAGACGGGGTTGAGGAGGAAAGGGTGGCTGCGTCGGCTGGGATGACAGGTGTGGGGAGAGCAGTAGCGTGTGAAGTGGCCCGAAAGTCACCCAGGGGGAGGGGCAGGGGGAGTGGTCAAGTGGAAGGGGAGGTTGAGACAGAGATTCTGGTCGATTCGGCTGGGTTGACAGGTGTGGGGAGAGCGGTGGCTTCTGAATCGGCCCGAAAGTCGCCCAGGGGGAGGGGGAGGGGGAGGGGGAGTCATGGGGGGGTTGAGTCGGAGGGTTTGGTTGGGGCGGCTGGAAAGTCAGGTGCGGAAAGAGTGGCGGTTGTCAAATCTCCCAGAAAGTTACCTTTGAGTCAACTCAAAGGCGCTGTCAAATCGCCTAGAAAGTCTCCTAGGGGGAGAGGGAGGTGCGGAGGAACCGACCGTGATGACGAGGGTTTGATAGACTTGACTGAGGAGAGGGATGGGGGGAGAGGTGGGGCGGCAAAGGAGGGAGGAGAGCGTGGAATGGAGGAGGGCGGAAGTGGGGAGGGAGAGGTGGGTGCTGAGGTGGTGATGGAGGGGGCTGAGGAGAGGAGAGAGGAGGGAAGAGGGGAGGGAAGAGGGGAGGGAGGGCAGGAGAGAAGGGAGGAGGAGGGAGTGGAGGGCGGAGGGCAGGGAGATGGAGATTTAGGAGCAGGAGGAGAGGGAGAAGAGGAGGGAAGAGGGGAGGGTGAAGGGGAGGAGGAAGAGGAGCGGAACGGGGAGGGTGGGAGGGAGAACGAAGCAGTGTCAGCTCCTGGAAGGGTGGCTACAGATGAGGATGCTGTAACAAGTGTGACTCCAGCGAGTGGGTTGAAGGGAGCTGGGCGAAACGCTGATAGGGCTGCCAAGGCTGCTTGGACAGTGGTGGGAGGAAGAACTGGGACTGGTAGGGCTGCCAAGGCTGCTGCTCTGGCTCGGATATTCCGAACCTCGAGAACAGGGCAGAAGGGGAGAGTGGATGTGGGTGCGGAGAAGGGAAGAGTGGTAGAGGCTGCGGAGGAAGGGAGAGTGGAGGGAAGAGTGGTGGAGGCTGTTGGAGAGGGGGGTGACGGATTGGGTGGGAGTGTGGCGAGACAGCAAGATGAGGGGGAAAGCATGGGAAAAGGGAATGGGGAAGCGAAGGGGAAGGCGAAGGGGAAAGCGATGGGGAAAGCGAGTGGTCTCAAGAGGAAAAGAGAGGAGGTGCAGGAAATGGAAAGGAGGAGTGTCAGGGTGACCCGATCAATGGCTAGGATTGCTCGAGGGGATATCGTTGCAGTGGGGAAGGGGGGAGGGAAGGGGAAGGGGCTGGGGAAGGAAAAGGGGGAAGGGAAGGAGAAGGGGGAGAGGAAGGGGAAGGAGAAGGGGAAGGGGAAGGAGGACTGTCATATGCCCACTTCCCCATCCTATGTCCCCCCATCATCACCCCACAGTGACAGTCCCCCATCCCCATCCCACGACGACCAATGCCTCGCCCTGGTCCCAGCGCCCCCCCCACTCTCCCCTCCTCCCTCTGTCAACGTCTCCAAATCTACTCGCAATCGCCCCTCTGCCTCACCCTCTGCCTCTGCATCTGCCACTGACGCTGCCGCTGCTGGTAACCCTATGGCTTCACCGTCACACGCACCTAGAAACCGAGCCAATCAGAACAACCGCGGTCAGAACCACCCCTCTCAAGATGACCCCCCTGAAAGCCCTGCTGCTGCTCCTGCTTCCGCTCCTGCCGCTGCCCCAGCTCTAGATCACATGGGGTGGACGGCAGGGGAGGTGAGAGCGTTTCACCAGGCTATGAGCGCTGTTGATCCGCAAGAAGACGGGTTCTGGGGGAAGGTGGCCAAGTGGGTGCCTAACAAGACTGCAACCGAGTGTTTCAACCGGCACAATGCGCAGTTTCCCACGCCTCATAAAGGGAGGGAACGGCAGAGGCGGTTGATTGGGGGGGGTGGGAGGCGGGAGGAGGAGCGGCAGCAGCAGCAGGGGCGGCAGCAGCAGCAGGGGCGGCAGCAGGGGGAGCAGGGGGAGGAAGTGCGGGAACAGCAGCAGCGAGGGGTGCCGCTTGGAGAGTCCTCACATGCTGACTTCGTTGCTGCTTGTGTGGGGTTTGGTCCTAGGGGAGGTGCGGATGGTGCAGGGGAGGGCGGGGAGGGGTTGGAAGGGGTGGACATGGGTGAGATTGAGTTTCGTAGGGGGGAAAGCCGCCGTGCGGCAAGGAATAGAGGAAGGCAGGTGGCGGTGCGAAGCGAGTGTGCTGAAGCAGGGGCGATTGTGGTTGGGGGAAAGGGGAAGGCAGTTGTGGGGAAGGGAAAAGCAGCTGTGGGGGCACGCAGGGGAAGGGGAGGCGGGAGGGAGGTTGTGACGGTGGACGGAATTGGGGCAGGCGGAGCGGAAAAAGGGTGGAAGCTTCCTCAAACAAAGGCTGGGCTGATGGTGGCTGCACACAGGAGGATGCGAGATACGTGTGCCTTCCAGGTGTGTGTGCCTTCCAGGTGCGTGTGCCTTTCAGGTGTGTGTGCCTTCCAGGTGTGTGTGCCTTTCAGGTGTGTGTGCCTTCCAGGTGTGTGTGCCTTTCAGGTGTGTGTGCCTTTCAGCATGACGAGGAAATCAGCGCCATGTCTTCTGTCGCTCCCCTCTCTGCTGCCTCACCCCTCTCCACCCCATCCCACCCCCCAACAGACAATGCAAGCAGTGCAGTGCCAACACAAGGACGATTTCACACAGCATGACGAGGAAATCAGCACCATGTCTGCTGTCTTGCCATCAGTTGCACCTGCCACCCCCCACACCCACACTCCCATCCCACCCCCAACAGACGGTGGTAGCAGTGCAGTGCCAGCATAAGGACGACTTCACGCAGCACGATGAGGAAATCAGCGCCATGTCTGCTGTCGCCCCGCGCCTTGCCCTCGCCATGTCCTCTGCTGCTCACAAGAGGCTGCACTGCCCTGCAGCAGCAGCAGCAGGTGCTGCTGCCATTGCCCCCGCTCCTGCTGCTGCTGGCTCTTCTGCTGCTGCTGCTGCTGCTGCTAGTGCTGCTGCTTCAGGGAACGGGGAACGAGGTGCAGCAGGGGAGACTCCGGAGGGGTTAAAACTAAAGGTGAGACATTGGGGGACACTGAGGGGAAGTGGGAGTAAGGCAGGGGGTTGTGTGCGGGGAGAGGTGGGAGAGAGAGAAGGGGGGTGTGGGCCGTGTGCCAAACATGGCTTGAATGTCCGGACACGCTTTTCCTTTTGATCCCTCTCACCCTGACCATGGATTTGATTCTTCATTTCACCAACCCGAAATGTTTATCCCCTTGCAGTACACCACGTATGTGGATCAAATCATACGGGAGAGGCAAAGCAGCAGCCTGCCACCTCTTTCAATACAGACCCCTGAACCTCAATTCTGTTTCTCATACCCCTTGAACCCCAAACCCCCCCTCTGCAGTACACCACGTATGTGGATCGGATCATTCGGGAGAGGCAGAGCAGCACCCTGCCACGGCCGCACGCAGCAGGTACTTAGGGTTTTTGCTTTGTAAAAGGGTTGTTTCTCTGTGTTTTTTACTTCAGGGTCAAATTGTGTTTTCTGCCATTCGAAAGAGGCCCAGCCGCGAAAACAAATATGATGCTGGGAATGATTGAGCTGTATGTATCCTATTATCATGAATCCTTCCACACTGTATCCCGATCCTCTACACTCTGAACGCCGGTTTTCCGTATCTTCCTATGTGTCTCACCTTCGTTCTGATCCCCACTATTGTATTCCTCTTTATTGTTGTGATCATTCACTTGTGCAGGCGGGGGTCAGTCAAGAGGGCGGGGGCGAGGTGGCGGGAGAGGGAATGTTAAGAGTGGGGGAACAGGAGTAGGACGAGGAGGAGGAAGGGGAGGAAAGGCCGTTGGAGAACGGAGGGGGGGAGGGCGGGGAAAAGGTTTGGGGAAAAGAGACGGAGGTCCGGGATCAGCAGATGATGAGGTTATTGGACCGGGAATTAATTATCTGGCCGGGGCCTTGGGGGGCGAGAGGGAGGTGAGGGCGCTGGTGGGAGCGTATGAGATGCAGAAGAGGCATCTGGAGTTTACTGCTAGGCGTGCGGAAGCACTTGCTCTCGGTGGTCCTAGGGATGGTGGTGATGGCGGTGGGGGGAGAGCGGCGCTGGGGTATAGGGCGTGGGAGGTTCGCGCGTGGGATGAGGAGGACGAGGAGGATGAGGAGGAAGATGAGGAGGAGGAAGAGGAGGAGGGGTGTGTGGGGTGCATTGAGGGAGGTGGAGGCGAAGGGGAGGGTGGGGGAATGGGAGGTGAAGGAGGAGAGTGGGAGCAGTTGGAGAATGGGGAGGGAGATGAAGGGGAGGATGAGGAGGATGAAATCGAGGCGGAAGTGGAGCTGGAAGTGGAGGAAGAGGATTGAGAGGACGGAAAATCAATACGGGGATAGGCTAATGTGTACGTGTAGGCCGGATGCATAGTGTAAATAGTGTTGGCAGATGAAATGCCTGTGTCACAGGTTGTTCCCGTTACATGGCCTTGCACTACTTTAGTATTCTATTATTCCTTGAACAACCCCACTTTCCGGTTCTGTTTATGGAAGTGGTTGTTGAAGTTGTAACAATGCTCTAAATCGGTGGCTCTAATCTCACCAACTTCGGCTCTAATCTCGGATACGATTGTGGCGCATGTCAGGGGCAGGTGCCCCCTAGTGCCAAGCCAGCGAGCCGCATGTTTCGTTCGTGCAACACGTTTACGTGATTGGCTTCTTCAATGCCGAACCTATCAACCTCAGCTTCTCTCAATGGATCCCGGTTTCCCATGTGCCCGAACCAGGGCTTCACGCTGGGCAGAAGTGGTTGGCTTGGGCGACGACGTCAGGTGCACCTAGGGAATCCCGACGCCTCGTCGCGAAACCCCTGATTCGGTGCGATGGTCACGACGCGACGCGAAAATCGCGCTAGGCCGTACTGCAAGGACGGTGACGACGACGACAGTGAGCGCGATGCAACGCAATGCGGGTGAGTATCGTATCGGCACTGTACGGTGTACCTGCTCTGCATTTGTGCGTCTGTGCTCTGTTTGGTTTGTGACAAGCAACCAAGCAAGCGCATCACATCACATCACAATCACCTCCACTCCTCTTCGCTCCCCTCAACGCTCCCACTCCCCCGCCCTTCACCCCACCTGTAGCTGGTGGACTTCGGCATCCCAAACACGCCTTTCCATCCTCTCCATTCCCAACGTTCTCGATTGCCGTCATTCGTGGATTTCCCGGACGGCTGCCGCAGGATAGACTGTGACTGGTCGCCTCGGCCTAATCGCTGTTTACTGACTGGGAATGCGCAGCCTGAGTTAGTCGTCAACTTATGACAACTGTTGCTGGCAGTCGTTCGGGCGTAATCTCTCAAGCCTCTATTGTCAAAGCGAGTCTTGTACTTGCGGCTTTTCTAAAGTAACGGCCTGCCGCCAGACGTCGCATCTAAACGGCGTTGCGCGTGTGAAACAGGCTTGTAGTGGGTGGATCGCAGCACCTCGTTACTACGCGCACCGATATCGTTATAGCACTATACATCCTGCGTTCGTCCTTATTCATCCTCGCCTTTCGTATCCACTTACATCGTCGTTAGCTGTAACCTTCCACTCAATCCTCGAAGCGCCTGAAGATTAGCCTCGTCACCTGCTACAACCGCCCAACCGGCAGCAGCGGAGCCGCAATGCCGAAGCTCCGCCAACCGCGCCTCTCCTCCGTGCGCCGTCTCGCGCCCCCCAGCTCCGCGGACTCCGACCCTCCGCCGCTCCCCCGACGCCATTCCCGCGGCTTGCGCAGTCTCCCCCTCCCCCTCCCGCTGCTGCTGCTCGTCGCGCTGCTCCGCCACGCGCCCGGCGCCGCGGGTCTCCTCCGCCTCAAGTCGCCGCAGCAGATCACCTACTCCTTCGCCTCCACCGACGCCGACTTCGGTAAACTCTTCGCCATCTTAGTAGGGGTTCTCTGAGACTCACCATCAATGTTTCTTGCCATTCTGCTGCTCACTCCCTCGCACTCCCTCATAGTCCTCCCTACTCCCTCGTACTCCTCTCCAGGCCCCGTCATCCCGTTCAGCGGCCTCTGGGGAAGGCTGTATACGACGCTACCCGCCAACGCATGCCAGCCGATTCAGAATCGCGTGCCGCCCGGCACCGTGCAGTTCGCGCTGATTGCGCGCGGGGACTGCTCGTTCGGGCGCAAGGTGCAGAACGCGCAATTCGCGGGGTACGCTGCTGCGATCGTGTACAATAACGAATCCAACCAAGACCTCGCTATAAGTAAGTGCGGTACTAGTTATGGCGCATCCATGTTTTTCTCAGCCATGCTTTTGACTAATCTCAAACTTCCCCCTTCGCACCTCCTTCCGCCCTTTCCATTTCGTTCCCCGCTCCCCCCATCCCCCTCCCCCTCCAACTCCCCCAGTGACGGAGAATCAGCGCATGGGCATCATCATTCCCTCCGCATTCATCTCCCTCGAAGACGCCACCACTGTTCTCCCTCTTCACACTTTCGAGTCCACGCAAACGTCCCCCTTCCTCCCTCCTTCCACCTCCTTCCCCGCTCCTTCCCCCCTCTTTCCCCCCTTTTCCCCCAGTGACGGAGAATCAGCGCATGGGCATCATGATTCCCTCTGCATTCATCTCTCTCGAAGACGCAACCACGGTTCTCTCAGTCATCCAGCCCTACCCCGACACCATAACCATCCTCTACCCCTCCCAACCGTACTACACCACCTCCGCCTACTCCTGGTCCTTCATCATCTGGATCTCCTCCCTCCTAGCCATAGGCATAATGCTCCTTGCGTTTCTCTGCGTGTGCCGGTATAGGATTAGGAATGCGGTGGCAGGAGCGGCGGCGGCTGCGGGGGTGAGTCCGGCTTTTCTGCCCATTCACCTGACCGCCTCACCGGATAAGATGACTTTGGAGGAGGTTATGGCGCTGCCCGAGAAAACTTTTTTGGGGCTGCCCAGTCTCAAACGGGCAGAGGCTGAAAAAAAGGATGGCAGCAGCAGCAGCTGTAAGGGGGATATCAGTGAAGGGGTTGAGAAGGAGAAGGCTGATGGGAGGGAAGGGGTTGAAACGGCAGATGAAGGTGCAGAGAGTGACTGTAACGAGCTGGAGAGCAGTCAGGAGAAACTCAAGGGGAAGCATCAGGTGGACGTTGTTATAGTGAGCGAAGGGCGGAGGCCCTCGTGTGACTATATCCGACGGGGGGACGTGGAGCTGAGTCGACAGAGCAGTGTGCGGAGCAGAGTGTCTTTTCGCAGTGCGGAAGGAGAGGGGCAGGAGGAGGAGGATGGGGAGGAGGTTATTTACCGAAGCACGTGGGAGACGTGTGCGATTTGCCTGGAGGACTATGAATGTGGGGACCGGCTGAGAGTGCTGCCGTGCAGTCACGGTAAGTCATGGGGCATCGGTGTTGGATGAATGGAAGGAGGCAATAGTTACCAGATGCACGTGTGAGATGTGTGCCATGTGTTGGAGGGACTACGAGTATGGGGACGGCCTGAGGGTACGGGTATGCAGTCACAGTATGAGTGGATCCGGAGGAGGTGAGGATAGTAAGGACCATGTCGGAGGCATGTACCACTGATTGGGAGGACTGACACAGCCTGAGGGTCCTGATATGCTGTTGTGGCACGTGTGGGTTACTGCAAGGAGATGAAGGACATTTTTTGGTAGAAAAAAGAGGGGGTTACAGCAACGAGGCTCACCTCACCACAGACCGGTTGAGGGTCCTGATATGCCGTCGTGGTACGAGTGGGTTAAGACAAGGGGACGGAGGAGAGCGCACTGCTTGGTACAAAAGAGGGGGATTCGGCACTGAGGTTCACCACATAGTCATTTGCTCCCCTTCCCTTCACTTGCTTGCTCCTGGTCCCATGTCATTTTGTTCTACCAGGGAGCCTCTCCTCTAACTTCGGATTATTTCTTATAGTGAAGTACATTCTTTCTCCCCTTATAATCCTCCCCTGCAGAGTTCCACACCGAGTGTGTGGACGAGTGGCTTACAACCCGGCAGCCCTTCTGCCCTGTCTGCAAGCGCATCGCTCGAACCCCGAAGAAAACACCGCAAGAGGCCACCGCCTTATCTGCCTCTTCGTCGTCGGCATCGTCGTCGACAACTGATCTGGAAATGGCGAGTGACATCCAGCTCTTGTCGCACGTATCTTCCGAATCCACCATTCCGGGAGCGAGTGTTCACGGATCGAGCGCTGGGGTTCAAGGGCAAGATTCGGCACCGCAGACTCGGCACGGCCAACAGGAGGGAGGGAGTATGACGATAAACGTAGAGAACCAAGCAAGTGCTCAACCTCTTGTTGCTGCACACTAGTGAGGCGTATAGGTATTTAAATTTACTACATTGTGAAAGCTTGTCTTTTGCAACTTGTATAGGCGTTTTGCTTCATATGTGAGGGTATGTGAGGTGCTCAACAAAGACAACCACCCACTAACAACTTGGATGACACCTCTACCTGGATGAGGTGTAACGCGTATCCAAAAGAGCAGATGTTACATGCTGCTTCAGTGACCACATCTGCACTTCCATTTTCATACACTTCAAAAAATTTTAGTTCCAGATTTTGTATGCGTGTCTGGTTCATCAGAGAATGTTTCACTCAGAAGCTTATAAGTATTTCTCGTGATTGTAAAGAATCGCAGGCTTCTAGAAAGACACGCTGGCAATCCGGAAATCCAGGCGCCCTGCCACGTTTGCTGTTCTCTCATCCCATCTGTTCGCGAAAGTATATGCCGCCTTGTCATTCACAACGTCGTTTGATTCGCCTCGCCAAGGTGTCGCAAGGAGCGACAATCCCAAGAACCATCTTTCATCGCCTCCTTCGCCCGCCTGATTGCAATCGCCAATTTCCAATCCCAAGCCAAACCCACATGTCTGCATTCCACCAGCTGTTACATTCCTGGTTTCTCTGTTCTGGTACTTTCTTTCTTCAGGTCCTAGTCCTGACCAGACTAGGGTTCGTTCTCTGTGCGTGACTGTCTAATAACCGCGATAAGAATGGTTCCCTGGGGTCTCATTGTCAGTGTCGCGGCGTACGCTGCGTTCCCGCAGCACCGCACGGTAATCGTCGCGGTTAGCGCGGTCGGGAGCCTGGTGCGCGGCGGCAAGAAGAAAAAGGAGGTCTTGAAGCATAAGTCGTTTATCGCCGGCGACCCCGACCGTGGCGTGAAGCTCGAATGGAGCGACATCACGTGCCAGCTTCTCGATAAGAAGGGAGAAGAGGTACGACAATGCCAACTCAGTAATTTTGTGTGGGTCGAAACGAATAAAGAAACAGAATGACTTGAGTCATTTCAGTCACATTCCGAAATTGCGCGGCAACCTCCCCAAAATTCAGTCACCCTAGGATTTGTTTCTTGAATGTACTACAAACTTGACGTTAAAAGACGAGACTTCGTTAAATGGCAGGTGACGAAGCTGCTGGAAGGACAGAATGGCGATTCTTGATGCGCATAGAAAATCGCCTTCCTGGACAGGCTGAATGGCAATGCAAAACCTGGTGCCATCAAGGAACCGTCGGGGTCCGCGCGACACAACTCTATTGTCCGAGGCTCCTTAGGTTTAAACACTTGCTCTCCTCCCTGCCCGCAGGTGAAGAAGCTGTTGGATGGGCTGAACGGCAGCGCGAGACGTGGTCGCCTGTTAGGCCATTATTGGGCCCGTCGGGTCCGGCAAGAAGATTTTGCTTTCCGAGGCTCCTGAAATAAAAATCTGTTGCTCATTTCCCTGCCCGCAGGTGAAGAAATTGTTGGATGGGCTGAACGGCAGTGCGAGGCCCGGTCGCCTGCTGGCGATCATGGGACCGTCGGGGTCCGGCAAGACGTCGCTGGTGTCCGAGGTTCCCTAGAAAGAAACAGCTGCTCGTTTCCGTCCCTTACGGCAGGTGAAGAAGCTGTTGGATGGGCTGAACGGCAGCGCGAGGCCCGGTCGCCTGCTGGCAATCATGGGACCATCGTGGTCCGGCAAGACTACTCTGTTTGTCTGAAATCTCTTAACAAAGATAAGTTGCGCATTTCATTACCCGCAGGTGAAGAAGCTGCTGGATGGGCTGAACGGCAGCGCGAGGCCCGGTCGGTTGCTGGCGATCATGGGCCCGTCGGGGTCCGGTAAGACGACGCTGCTTAACACTCTCGCGGGTCAGCTGCCTAAGAGCAGCAAGATCGCGCTCTACGGTTCCATCCGCGCTAATGGCATCTCCATTGCTGATTCATGGCACAAGTAAGCCCTTTCAGTATGACGCATGTGCTGCCATTCGCATTTGCGTTCGGAAATGCCAGCCTCGGACTTGGTCTACTTTAGCAAGTTTTTTTCTCGGAAGCGTGCAGTTCCGTGCACGCTTCAGGGCTATATAATCCGTCAGAACGTCCCACGAGCCCTGACGCCTGTGAACGTAGGATTCTCAGTACCCTTACGAACATTTACGTACTCGAATGTAGGACTTCCGAGGCGCCTCAGAAGTCGCTGACGCCTGTGAATGTAGGATTCTTAGTACTCTTACGAACATGCACGCATTCGAATGTAGGACCCCTCGTAACCCTATGGAGATTGACGGCCTTCTCCGTTTATCATTTTTTTTCTTCTTTTTTCCCTTTTCTTTTTTTCTGTTCTTTTTCTGCACGGCCTTTGCCGAGCGCAGGCAGGTGTACGTCCGGCAGGAGGACATTTTCTTTTCGCAGCTGACGGTGCGGGAGACGCTGGTGACGGCGGCGAAGCTGCAGCTGCCCTCGTCCATGTCGGACGCGGAGAAGGAGCAGCACGTGGAGGAGCTGCTGCAGCACCTGGGGCTGGTAAGTTCCTGGGCCTGGTGGGTCTGTTGTTCGAGAGAGTGAATGAGTTGAGTGAGTGAGAGATCAAACCATTCTCAGTCTGACAGTGGCAGCTGTCTCGAAGTACGCGGAGAAGGAGCGGCACGTCGAGGAGCTGCTGCAGCACCTGGGGCTGGTGAGTCGAGTTCGATCAATATCGTCTGTTGTATAAACATATGGATGCGAGGTGTCTCAAATCATGAAGAGGCGGAGCAGCGTGGAGGAGCTGCTGCAGCACTTGGCGCTGGTGAGTTTCATCATGCCTGTTGTTCATGTGATTGAGATATGGACATGAGGTGTACGAAATCATACGGAGAAAACGTGAAGGAGCTGGGAATGCACCTGGGCTTGGTGAGTGAGTCAGCCTTATTCAGTGCCAGTCGCTGAGATGCCAAAGGAACCAACCCTTCCCTCCCATCCTGCAGGTGTACGCGGCGGGTACCATAGTGGGCGACAACAAGACGCGCGGCATCAGTGGCGGCGAGAAGAAGCGGCTGTCCATCGCGTGCGAGCTGCTGGGTAACCCGTCCGTGGTGTTTGCAGACGAGCCCACCACGGGGCTGGACGCGTACCAGGCGGAGAAGGTCATGCAGACGCTTAAAGACCTTGCTAAGGAAGGCCGCACCGTCATTTGCAGGTGAGTGAGAGCAGTTTGCATTGAGACGTGTCTCAGAGCCCGTCCGTGGCGTTCGCAGACGAGCCCACCACGGGGCTGGACGCGTACCAGGCGGAAAAAGTCATGCAGACTCTCAAGGACCTTGCGAAAGAAGGCCGCACTGTTATCTGCAGTGGGCGCACAGGAGGTCGTGAGTGTTGAGAGAGAAGGCGTGCAGGGAGAGGGGGAGAGAGTGCTAGCGTGTGAGCGCATGGCCGTGTGTGTATTCGGGAAGGATTGGGAAGAGGATGTGGATGCGCTGGGTTGGGTTGCATGCTGCCCTTTACCTTGACGCGTCTTATCTTTTCTTTCCAAATCCGCCTCTCCTTGTTTCGTCCTCTCCCTCCCTCCATCGCCCCTTGAAGCATTCATCTCTCTTTTTTCCACACTCTCTTATGCACGACCCTCTTCCATGTGGTCCGCAATCTCGTCCCCCGGCCTTCCCCGTCCCTCCCCCTCCTCCCCCTCCAACCCCCTCTTCTTCCATCCACCAGTATCCATCAGCCACGTGGCAGCGTGTTTGACATGTTTGATGACATCATGGTGGTTGCGGGCGGCAAGCTCGTCTACTCTGGGCCAGCAGGGGACGCATGCCTCGAGTATTTCAAGAATCAGGGGTGAGTAAGCGAAGGATGAGTGGGGACGGAAACGGGAGGAAGAAAAGGGCAGGGGCAAGCTCGTCTACTCTGGCCCGGCAGGGGACACGTGCCTGGATTATTTCAAGACCCAGGGGTGAGTGGAGGGTGCATGGGGTGCTGGGGGAGGAGTGGGGGGGAGGGCCGGAAGACAATGGAGAGAGTCGGGAGAGTAGTCTACTCTGGACCGGCAGGGGACGCGTGCCTGGAATACTTCAAGAACCAGGGGTGAGTGAGTGAAGGATGAGTGGAGAGGGAAAGGGGAGGAGGAAAAGCACGGGTGCAAGCTCGTCTACTCTGGCCCGGCAGGGGACACGTGCCTGGATTATTTCAAGACCCAGGGGTGAGTGGAGGGTGCATGGGGTGCTGGGGGAGGAGTGGGGGGGAGGGCCGGAAGACAATGGAGAGAGTCGGGAGAGTAGTCTACTCTGGACCGGCAGGGGACGCGTGCCTGGAATACTTCAAGAACCAGGGGTGAGTGAGTGAAGGATGAGTGGAGAGGGAAAGGGGAGGAGGAAAAGCACGGGTGCAAGCTCGTCTACTCTGGCCCGGCAGGGGACACGTGCCTGGATTATTTCAAGACCCAGGGGTGAGTGGAGGGTGCATGGGGTGCTGGGGGAGGAGTGGGGGGGAGGGCCGGAAGACAATGGAGAGAGTCGGGAGAGTAGTCTACTCTGGACCGGCAGGGGACGCGTGCCTGGAATACTTCAAGAACCAGGGGTGAGTGAGTGAAGGATGAGTGGAGAGGGAAAGGGGAGGAGGAAAAGCACGGGTGCAAGCTCGTCTACTCTGGCCCGGCAGGGGACACGTGCCTGGATTATTTCAAGACCCAGGGGTGAGTGGAGGGTGCATGGGGTGCTGGGGGAGGAGTGGGGGGGAGGGCCGGAAGACAATGGAGAGAGTCGGGAGAGTAGTCTACTCTGGACCGGCAGGGGACGCGTGCCTGGAATACTTCAAGAACCAGGGGTGAGTGAGTGAAGGATGAGTGGAGAGGGAAAGGGGAGGAGGAAAAGCACGGGTGCAAGCTCGTCTACTCTGGCCCGGCAGGGGACACGTGCCTGGATTATTTCAAGACCCAGGGGTGAGTGGAGGGTGCATGGGGTGCTGGGGGAGGAGTGGGGGGGAGGGCCGGAAGACAATGGAGAGAGTCGGGAGAGTAGTCTACTCTGGACCGGCAGGGGACGCGTGCCTGGAATACTTCAAGAACCAGGGGTGAGTGAGTGAAGGATGAGTGGAGAGGGAAAGGGGAGGAGGAAAAGCACGGGTGCAAGCTCGTCTACTCTGGCCCGGCAGGGGACACGTGCCTGGATTATTTCAAGACCCAGGGGTGAGTGGAGGGTGCATGGGGTGCTGGGGGAGGAGTGGGGGGGAGGGCCGGAAGACAATGGAGAGAGTCGGGAGAGTAGTCTACTCTGGACCGGCAGGGGACGCGTGCCTGGAATACTTCAAGAACCAGGGGTGAGTGAGTGAAGGATGAGTGGAGAGGGAAAGGGGAGGAGGAAAAGCACGGGTGCAAGCTCGTCTACTCTGGCCCGGCAGGGGACACGTGCCTGGATTATTTCAAGACCCAGGGGTGAGTGGAGGGTGCATGGGGTGCTGGGGGAGGAGTGGGGGGGAGGGCCGGAAGACAATGGAGAGAGTCGGGAGATTAGTCTACTCTGGCCCGGCAGGGGACGCGTGCCTGGAATACTTCAAGAACCAGGGGTGAGTGAGTGAAGGATGAGTGGAGAGGGAAAGGGGAGGAGGAAAAGCACGGGTGCAAGCTCGTCTACTCTGGCCCGGCAGGGGACACGTGCCTGGATTATTTCAAGACCCAGGGGTGAGTGGAGGGTGCATGGGGTGCTGGGGGAGGAGTGGGGGGGAGGGCCGGAAGACAATGGAGAGAGTCGGGAGAGTAGTCTACTCTGGACCGGCAGGGGACGCGTGCCTGGAATACTTCAAGAACCAGGGGTGAGTGAGTGAAGGATGAGTGGAGAGGGAAAGGGGAGGAGGAAAAGCACGGGTGCAAGCTCGTCTACTCTGGCCCGGCAGGGGACACGTGCCTGGATTATTTCAAGACCCAGGGGTGAGTGGAGGGTGCATGGGGTGCTGGGGGAGGAGTGGGGGGGAGGGCCGGAAGACAATGGAGAGAGTCGGGAGAGTAGTCTACTCTGGACCGGCAGGGGACGCGTGCCTGGAATACTTCAAGAACCAGGGGTGAGTGAGTGAAGGATGAGTGGAGAGGGAAAGGGGAGGAGGAAAAGCACGGGTGCAAGCTCGTCTACTCTGGCCCGGCAGGGGACACGTGCCTGGATTATTTCAAGACCCAGGGGTGAGTGGAGGGTGCATGGGGTGCTGGGGGAGGAGTGGGGGGGAGGGCCGGAAGACAATGGAGAGAGTCGGGAGAGTAGTCTACTCTGGACCGGCAGGGGACGCGTGCCTGGAATACTTCAAGAACCAGGGGTGAGTGAGTGAAGGATGAGTGGAGAGGGAAAGGGGAGGAGGAAAAGCACGGGTGCAAGCTCGTCTACTCTGGCCCGGCAGGGGACACGTGCCTGGATTATTTCAAGACCCAGGGGTGAGTGGAGGGTGCATGGGGTGCTGGGGGAGGAGTGGGGGGGAGGGCCGGAAGACAATGGAGAGAGTCGGGAGAGTAGTCTACTCTGGACCGGCAGGGGACGCGTGCCTGGAATACTTCAAGAACCAGGGGTGAGTGAGTGAAGGATGAGTGGAGAGGGAAAGGGGAGGAGGAAAAGCACGGGTGCAAGCTCGTCTACTCTGGCCCGGCAGGGGACACGTGCCTGGATTATTTCAAGACCCAGGGGTGAGTGGAGGGTGCATGGGGTGCTGGGGGAGGAGTGGGGGGGAGGGCCGGAAGACAATGGAGAGAGTCGGGAGAGTAGTCTACTCTGGACCGGCAGGGGACGCGTGCCTGGAATACTTCAAGAACCAGGGGTGAGTGAGTGAAGGATGAGTGGAGAGGGAAAGGGGAGGAGGAAAAGCACGGGTGCAAGCTCGTCTACTCTGGCCCGGCAGGGGACACGTGCCTGGATTATTTCAAGACCCAGGGGTGAGTGGAGGGTGCATGGGGTGCTGGGGGAGGAGTGGGGGGGAGGGCCGGAAGACAATGGAGAGAGTCGGGAGAGTAGTCTACTCTGGACCGGCAGGGGACGCGTGCCTGGAATACTTCAAGAACCAGGGGTGAGTGAGTGAAGGATGAGTGGAGAGGGAAAGGGGAGGAGGAAAAGCACGGGTGCAAGCTCGTCTACTCTGGCCCGGCAGGGGACACGTGCCTGGATTATTTCAAGACCCAGGGGTGAGTGGAGGGTGCATGGGGTGCTGGGGGAGGAGTGGGGGGGAGGGCCGGAAGACAATGGAGAGAGTCGGGAGAGTAGTCTACTCTGGACCGGCAGGGGACGCGTGCCTGGAATACTTCAAGAACCAGGGGTGAGTGAGTGAAGGATGAGTGGAGAGGGAAAGGGGAGGAGGAAAAGCACGGGTGCAAGCTCGTCTACTCTGGCCCGGCAGGGGACACGTGCCTGGATTATTTCAAGACCCAGGGGTGAGTGGAGGGTGCATGGGGTGCTGGGGGAGGAGTGGGGGGGAGGGCCGGAAGACAATGGAGAGAGTCGGGAGAGTAGTCTACTCTGGACCGGCAGGGGACGCGTGCCTGGAATACTTCAAGAACCAGGGGTGAGTGAGTGAAGGATGAGTGGAGAGGGAAAGGGGAGGAGGAAAAGCACGGGTGCAAGCTCGTCTACTCTGGCCCGGCAGGGGACACGTGCCTGGATTATTTCAAGACCCAGGGGTGAGTGGAGGGTGCATGGGGTGCTGGGGGAGGAGTGGGGGGGAGGGCCGGAAGACAATGGAGAGAGTCGGGAGAGTAGTCTACTCTGGACCGGCAGGGGACGCGTGCCTGGAATACTTCAAGAACCAGGGGTGAGTGAGTGAAGGATGAGTGGAGAGGGAAAGGGGAGGAGGAAAAGCACGGGTGCAAGCTCGTCTACTCTGGCCCGGCAGGGGACACGTGCCTGGATTATTTCAAGACCCAGGGGTGAGTGGAGGGTGCATGGGGTGCTGGGGGAGGAGTGGGGGGGAGGGCCGGAAGACAATGGAGAGAGTCGGGAGAGTAGTCTACTCTGGACCGGCAGGGGACGCGTGCCTGGAATACTTCAAGAACCAGGGGTGAGTGAGTGAAGGATGAGTGGAGAGGGAAAGGGGAGGAGGAAAAGCACGGGTGCAAGCTCGTCTACTCTGGCCCGGCAGGGGACACGTGCCTGGATTATTTCAAGACCCAGGGGTGAGTGGAGGGTGCATGGGGTGCTGGGGGAGGAGTGGGGGGGAGGGCCGGAAGACAATGGAGAGAGTCGGGAGAGTAGTCTACTCTGGACCGGCAGGGGACGCGTGCCTGGAATACTTCAAGAACCAGGGGTGAGTGAGTGAAGGATGAGTGGAGAGGGAAAGGGGAGGAGGAAAAGCACGGGTGCAAGCTCGTCTACTCTGGCCCGGCAGGGGACACGTGCCTGGATTATTTCAAGACCCAGGGGTGAGTGGAGGGTGCATGGGGTGCTGGGGGAGGAGTGGGGGGGAGGGCCGGAAGACAATGGAGAGAGTCGGGAGATTAGTCTACTCTGGCCCGGCAGGGGACGCGTGCCTGGAATACTTCAAGAACCAGGGGTGAGTGAGTGAAGGATGAGTGGAGAGGGAAAGGGGAGGAGGAAAAGCACGGGTGCAAGCTCGTCTACTCTGGCCCGGCAGGGGACACGTGCCTGGATTATTTCAAGACCCAGGGGTGAGTGGAGGGTGCATGGGGTGCTGGGGGAGGAGTGGGGGGGAGGGCCGGAAGACAATGGAGAGAGTCGGGAGAGTAGTCTACTCTGGACCGGCAGGGGACGCGTGCCTGGAATACTTCAAGAACCAGGGGTGAGTGAGTGAAGGATGAGTGGAGAGGGAAAGGGGAGGAGGAAAAGCACGGGTGCAAGCTCGTCTACTCTGGCCCGGCAGGGGACACGTGCCTGGATTATTTCAAGACCCAGGGGTGAGTGGAGGGTGCATGGGGTGCTGGGGGAGGAGTGGGGGGGAGGGCCGGAAGACAATGGAGAGAGTCGGGAGAGTAGTCTACTCTGGACCGGCAGGGGACGCGTGCCTGGAATACTTCAAGAACCAGGGGTGAGTGAGTGAAGGATGAGTGGAGAGGGAAAGGGGAGGAGGAAAAGCACGGGTGCAAGCTCGTCTACTCTGGCCCGGCAGGGGACACGTGCCTGGATTATTTCAAGACCCAGGGGTGAGTGGAGGGTGCATGGGGTGCTGGGGGAGGAGTGGGGGGGAGGGCCGGAAGACAATGGAGAGAGTCGGGAGAGTAGTCTACTCTGGACCGGCAGGGGACGCGTGCCTGGAATACTTCAAGAACCAGGGGTGAGTGAGTGAAGGATGAGTGGAGAGGGAAAGGGGAGGAGGAAAAGCACGGGTGCAAGCTCGTCTACTCTGGCCCGGCAGGGGACACGTGCCTGGATTATTTCAAGACCCAGGGGTGAGTGGAGGGTGCATGGGGTGCTGGGGGAGGAGTGGGGGGGAGGGCCGGAAGACAATGGAGAGAGTCGGGAGAGTAGTCTACTCTGGACCGGCAGGGGACGCGTGCCTGGAATACTTCAAGAACCAGGGGTGAGTGAGTGAAGGATGAGTGGAGAGGGAAAGGGGAGGAGGAAAAGCACGGGTGCAAGCTCGTCTACTCTGGCCCGGCAGGGGACACGTGCCTGGATTATTTCAAGACCCAGGGGTGAGTGGAGGGTGCATGGGGTGCTGGGGGAGGAGTGGGGGGGAGGGCCGGAAGACAATGGAGAGAGTCGGGAGATTAGTCTACTCTGGCCCGGCAGGGGACGCGTGCCTGGAATACTTCAAGAACCAGGGGTGAGTGGAGGATTAGTTGGGAAGGAAAGGGGTAGAACGGGGGGGAGGAGAAGAGGTGGGCGAGGGGGTAAGGTCTGGTGGGAATGGCTTGGGGCCAGCAGGGGACGAGTGTCTTGAGTACTTCAAGAATCAAGGGTGAGCGGAGCATGCATTGAGAGCGAGGGGTTGGGTGGGTTAGAGTAGCGTTGGCGTGTATGTATGCATCAAGACGTGCTGTTCTGTTTGGATGGGGTCACTCACTTCTCTCCACTCCTCTACCGCTGAGCTCCACTCCCCACTCCACCTTCACTCAATTCCCACGATTCCACCTCTAATCACCTCACGCAGTCCTTGCGTCACGCCTTTCTTCCTTCACTTCCTGACTACCCCTTTAGCCACGTGTGTCCACTGCACTCCTCCAACCCAGCAGAGTTCGTCTCAGACCTGGTGTATGCTGAGTCAGCTCATAACCCCCCTTCCTCCTCTCTTCTCCCCTTTTCACCACACTCTTGCCCCCCCTCCCTTCCCCCCCCATCCCACAGGCACGAGTGTCCGCTGCACTCCAATCCAGCAGAGTTCCTCTCAGACCTGGTCGGCACCGACTACTCCTCTCACTATACCGAGGCCCATTGTGAGACGTCTCAAATCCCCTCCCCTCCCCCCCTCCCCTCCCCCCCCCCCCCCCCCCCCCCCCCCCCCTTTTCATCCTGCAGACACGAGTGCCCTCTGCACTCCAACCCAGCAGAGTTCCTCTCAGACCTGGTCGGCACCGACCACTCCTCCCCCGACACCGAAGCCCAGTCCGCCGCACGCATCAACCGCCTCATCCAAGCCTTCGCCTCCCACTCCGCCGCCCAGGCCGATACCAGCGCCGCCCTGGCCATCTCCTCTGCCCTCCAAGCAAGCCTAGGAGACGATGACGACGAGGAGGAGGAGGGGGAGGAAGGGGGGGAGAAGGGGCAGAAGCGGAAGAAGAGCCTCGGGCTGTCCGCAGCCAAGGCAGATGCGGACGGGGCAGGCTTCTGGCAGCAGTTCAAAATCCTCTTAGTCCGAGCCTGGCGCCAAACCACTCGCGACCGAGCCACCAACGTGGTCCGGGCCATGATGAACCTCACCTCTGCAGCCATTTTCGGGTCCATCTTCTGGCGTATGGGCTTCGGGCAGACCACCATTCAGGACCGCATGGGACTCCTGCAAGTCGCAGCGATCAACACCGCCATGGCTTCCATTACCAAGACGCTAAATGTGTTTCCGAAGGAGAGGCAGATTGTGGAGAGGGAGCGGGCCAAGGGCGCGTATGCGGTGGGGCCGTATTTTCTCTCCAAGCTGGTCGCTGAGCTGCCGGTGACGGCGTTTTTCCCCGCGCTGTTCTCGGTGGTGTGCTACCCCATGACCGGTCTGCACCGCACTATACCCAGGTGAGAGACACGGTGCAAGCAGTTATTGCACTCGTCCTCCCTCCACCCGCCCTGCATGTGTCTGCAACTCTATATCCTGCCTGCCCTGTACCCCGCCCCCACTTTCCCCCCCTATTACAGGTTTCTCAAGTTCATGGGAGCAACAACGGTCGAGTCCTTTACCTCCTCAGACACGGGCTCACAGTGGGGTGAATGATGCATCTCCCCCACCACCAGTAAACGCTCATCCTTCCCCAACCCCTCTTGCCTTCCTCCCCCCTGTTGCAGGTTTCTCAAGTTCATGGGAACCACCACGGTCGAGTCCTTCACCTCCTCAGCCATGGGGCTCACAGTGAGGTGCATGATGCATCGCCCCCCTCCCCCCCAGCAGTCCCTCATTCTCCCCCCAAACGCCCCCCTCCCCATCCCTCCCATCAGGTTCCTCAAGTTCATGGGAGCAACAACAGTGGAGTCCTTCACCTCCTCAGCCATGGGGCTCAAAGTGGGGTGCATCGCCCGCACCACCAGTAACCGCTCATCCTTCCCCATCATGTGGCTGCAGCTGCTCCTCCCGTTCCCCTGCGTTCCCCGCCATCCAATCAGGTTTCTCAAGTTCATGGGAGCAACAACGGTCGAGTCCTTCACCTCATCAGCCATGGGCCTCACAGTGGGGTGCATTGCCCCCACCGTCGAGGCAGCCATGGCGCTCGGCCCCTCCATCATGACGGTCTTTATCGTCTTCGGAGGGTACTACGTCAACCCCGACAACACGCCTGTCATCTTCCGCTGGATCCCCAGCACCTCCCTCATCCGCTGGTCAGTACTCTTACCCTCACTCATGGCCATCAAACCTCTCCCCATGCATCCGTCCATACATGATCCATCGGCCCCTCCATCATGACGGTCTTTATCGTTTTTGGAGGGTACTACGTCAGCCCCGACAACACGCCCGTTATCTTCCGCTGGATCCCCTAACACCTCCCTCATCCGCTGGTGAGTAGCTCTACCCTTCTAAGTCCTGGCCCCGTCACCCTTCCAACATGTCCGGGTGCATTGTGTTTGAAATCCTCGTACTTTTAGGCGCCTATAACAATAAATCCATGCGCCCTTCCCCTTCCCACCAGGGGCTTTGAGGCTCTGTGTGTGAACGAGTTTGATGGGCTCACATTCGAGGCCAAGCCAACACACCTTCTCTACCCCTTCTCTCCTTCCCACGCCCTTCCCGTTCCAACAGGGGCTTTGAGGCGCTGTGTGTGAACGAGTTTGATGGGCTGACCTTCGAGGCAACCAAGCCCACGGACCTGAGCACGGGCAAGCAGGTGCTGGAGCGCCTCTCCTTCTCTCCCTTCTCTCCCTACCCCACCGTTCCCTCCCACCATCAGGGGCTTTGAGGCGCTGTGTGTGAACGAGTTTGATGGTCTCACATTCGAGGCAACCAAGCCCACGAACCTGAGCACGGGCAAGCAAGTATTGGAGCGCCTCTCCTTCTCCGATAGCTCCGTGCCCTTCCCTCCCCCTTCCCTCCCTGTGTCCTTCCTTTCCATGCTCTTCCCTTCCCTTCCCAGGGGTTTCGAGGCGCTGTGTGTGAACGAGTTTGACGGGCTGACATTCGAGGCAACCAAGCCCACGGATCTTCGCACCGGCAAGCAGGTGTTGGAGCGCCTCTCCTTCTCCGATAGCTCCGTGGCGAAATCCGTGCGCAAGGAGGTGCAGATCATGCTCGGCTGGTACTGGGCGTCTGCCTACCTGCTCCAGAAGAAAAACCCCGAGTTTACCAAGCTGCTGCCGGTGTCTAAGCTGCAGGGGAAGAAGGGGGAGAGCGAGTCTGGTAAGGGAGTTGAGGAGGGGACGAGTGTGAAGAGCAGTGTGGTTATAGAGGAGGTGATTGAAGCGAAGGAGGAGAGTGCGGCGGCGACGGAAGAGGTGGCAACAGAGACGACTACTACTACCACCACCACCACTACCGTAACCACCACCACTGCTGCCACCGTTGCCACTGAGTCTGCTAGTGTGGAGGTTGAGACCGCTGAGGAGGAATTTGTCGAGGCTGAATCTTAGAATGGTTGGTGATGGAAGAAGTGACCACCGTGACGACGACGACATTACTACCACCACGAGCAGCACCACGATCACCACTGCTATCACTACTGCTGCCAGCACTGAAGCCACTGTTGTTGTTACTACTGAGTCAGCCAGTGTGGAGGTGGAAACCACCGAAGAGGAATTTGTCTAGGCTGAATCGTAGAATATCCTGGTGACACTTGTGATGATCTTCCTGCCAGTACTACAGTTGGTAAAGTATTGCTGTTAAATATTCTGTTAGCCTATCAGCATGTTCTTGGATTGCAATACGAGATTACGGTACTTGTAAGCTGCTCATGTTATCGGGGGTACACGGTATCATACAACTCTATATCCCAGCTCTGCTGTGTTATTCTCAGAAAGGGCCAGATGTCCTGCCGGTGTCTCGTATGCATTGATAGAATTCCGTATGTCTAGAATCATTTGAAATGTTCCAATACAACTGACTGGGAATTACGGCATAAACGGTGCAAGCTTGACATTGAATCGCTTTTCAAATTGCTCGTCGGAACCTATAAGGAACTGAACCAAGCACACTGCCTTCCTTCCCTGCTGCCAAATCACACCTCTCTGCCTCACAGCCGCCTTTTTCCCCAACACAGCATAGGTAGCTGTCTTGGGTAGAATCCAATCCAGCTCCATACTCATGATTCCCCAATCCACATTCATCTTTATTACCCGCATCCTCCCCATCCTCCACTTCTTTCTCTTCTGGCCTCATCTCACTACCAACTCTTTCCGAGTGCCCTTCCCTCTCTCCACCCTTTACTGGAAGTGCTACCTCATGTGGCACCAACACACAGCCATTGCTGACAAGTGCCACATGTCGCGGTCTGATTCGCCGCTCCAAGCTGTACCCAAGGAAGTGAGGAAACGCAAACAGCTCCTTTACAGACAGCCCCATGTCCCGCTTTAAATACTCCACCTTGTGCCTCGTGTTCCTCTCCCAACTGTAGCAGATAGAATTTGGGAACACAACCACCAGCTTCACCACGAGCTCACGAGCTGTTGTTGTGGCAGCAATGCTCTTAGAACCTGGTCGTTCTTCTGCCTCTTCAGCCCAGGCCTTGATCCCTGATTGACAACCAGCATCAGTCCCCCCTTGCTCCGCACGTTTTCTTGCACCCTTTTGACGCGCTTCAGAAGTCGGGCTTTCTCTTGCAAACCCATCACCTTCACCACCCTCCAATGCCTCTCCCACCTCACGCACAAGCTTCCTAACATCTTCCTCAAGCAAGCGCCTCCCACTCTCCTCTCGCCCACTCTCCTCCATTGCCTCTTCCACTTCTCGCACGAGTTCTCTAAAAACCTTCTTCAGGTTCTCCTCATTAGAAGCCAGCAGCAAAGGAAACCGTGCCACTGCAAGCACAGCGTTCTCTTGGCCAATCAAATCGCCCAAAAAAGCCACCTTGCGTTGCATGTTCTCTACAGATAGAAGAAGAACCATCGGATGGCTTTGCACCCCACTCGCTGCTGCCTTCTTCCCCACCAATTCCTCTAAGTACTGGAACTTAGCTAAGATATTCTGAGAGCTTAGGTGGACGAGAGAGGGGGCCTGGCGGAGAATCCGGACGGCAACGGAGGGGGTGTCAGGGGGAGTGAGGGACTGGAGGAGACTGAGGATGGGAGGGATGCGCTCAGGAGGTTTGAGGAGGATACCTGGATATTGCACCAGGAGTTTTCTCAGGTGAGCTTTGTCCTGGTCCTGCCTATTCAGGTGTCCGCTGCCGATAATTCCTCCTTCGTATCCACTAGTAAAATATGCCGACACTTGCTCGAGACGTCTTCGTAACGTTTCCTCCCCCAAGAATAGAATACCCGGATCTCTCTCTAAAATCACACCGAGCTTGTCCACAGGAACCCCTGCTTCCTCCACCAGAATGTCCAGGTTCGTTGAACGAACCTGTGCGCGAATAACATATGGAGACCTTCGAAGCACCGCACCTAGCCTGGTTTGGAGTACTCCCCGAGCCAAGAAAAAGCCAAGCATTTCCCGAACCTGGGGAACGGAGACTCGGAGCCAGAAAGGGTTACCCATTGTGATGGTTGAGATGTCGGCACGGGATACGCCATACGACTCTAGAAGCTGGACACGTGGCAGCAAGTCATTGGTGGGGTCAAACCGAAGGAGCGCAGGGTAACGGGCGAGGAGGGAAGCGACAGTGGAAGGGGAGGAGATGCCGAGGTGGGAGGAGAAGAAGCGGTAGAGGGAGAGGAGGGAGGAGGGAGATACGACCCGCCGCCTCTTGAGTAGAGAAGGGGGCGTGGGAGGAGATGTGGCGGGTGTTCCGTCCTCATCACTCGCTCCCGCCTCTGCTCCTGCGTCTTCCCCCTCCTTCCATTCCTCATTCTCTTCCTCCTCAACTTCTGAGCCCTCTATTTCCTCATCCCCATACCCCACCTCTTCCTCTTCTTGTCCTCCCTTAGCCTCCTCCTCATCCGTAATTATTCCGTTTGTGATCCCCTCCTCCCCTCCACCTCTCACAATCTGAGGCCCAAATTTCTCCCTCAACACTCCAGCAATCACAGCCACTGCCCTTTTCTCCTCCTCAATTACCTCGCATCCTCCCCTCAATCCACGCTTCCAACCGCCTCCCTCAACCTTACCCTCCACTTCCCTTGCTCTCCAATCACGCCTGGTACGCTCTCCTCTGCCATCCGCCTCCTCCCTTCCCTCTCTACTCTCGCTCACATTTGGCTCTCCACCCTCACTTTCTCCCTCCTCTCTCTCCTCTGCACGCAACCGAGCCTCGGTCTCAACCGCCAGCACTGGCTTGCCATCAAAGCTCGGATCGAGTCGCACGTTCGCGCTTTCCGCCTCGGGAACCTCCGCTGCTCTGGCGAACGAATTAGCGGGACAGCTTAAAGTGAACCTCCGGTCAGGGGTTCGAATCCTAGTGAATGCGTTTAGCGCAGGCTGGTGCCGGTTAGGTCCAAACCAGTAGAGGCTCGGCGGGGAAGGATTAGCAGCTGTGGGTGCCAGTCCAGGCTTCTCTGAAATTGACTTAGAGCCAGGCGAAGAAGACTGTGTCATGTGTCTAAGTGAAATTATTAGTCTGTTAATCCACGCGACGGACGACCGTGACGTTCGTGCATGACACGCCATAGAGAATAGCCGACGGATGCAATGAAAGGGATGAACGGTGATATGAACGAGTCATAAGGCCGTAGTGCGTGTTCTACTACGAAGTGTCAGTATTGAGTCCGGATTTCCTAACCGTTGCAGTGACTGCAAGAGATCTAACCAGTAACAAAGTTTTCATCTCCATGGCTACTCCAGTTGCTGGCATAGGGTCATGTCGCTCCCTAGTAGCAGATCCTTGAATACAGACCCAAGATAACAACAGGGTACCCTGGTTGAAGAATCATTAGCACTAGAAAAAGTCGGAGACGACCGCAGTGAGGCGAATTCCATGGGCCCTGGAACTACGGAGCTGGGGTAACTCTGACTGGCGAGTTTCTTTTCCACTGGAGAATTTTGACACTGCTGTCGCATGCGAATTTCTAGAGCTTTCGCTACCTATGTCGTTTGAGTTCGCCTGTCGGAAGCGAATGCCGTTTCGAACTCGTACCCGTTAATTGATGCCCGTTAGAAATTGGATGTCTAATATACATTTCTTAGTGTTCCTATGAAAGATTCTGATTCTACAGTAGACCGTACCGTGCCTGAGAGCGGTTCGGTGCGGTTGTTGCAGCTGACAGCTTTATGGCGGGAGGAGCAAACTGCTACACGTTTTGGATTCGCTGACACTCTTCTATTTGCGACTCGACAAGCTCCCGAAGGATTTTTTCTTTCACCAAACAGCGGGCAGGTTTATTTCTTTGCAAACAGATTATCCAGAATGAACCAGAGAAACAAGTTTACTATATACATATACAATTACAAGCAGGCTTACAACAGTGAAGGACTATCCTAAAGAACTAGTACGCTTTCTGCTCCTTCGATGGTGATGCTGCTCTTCTGCTCTTCGGTCTTCACCCCTTTTGGCCGCTAGGAGCAAGCTCCTAGCGTTTCACCCGTACACCACGTTGAGGTAGGGGTTATTCGTACGGGACACCTGTGGGAAACAGGGGGCAAAAATTAGATTGTCCCGCCACCGGGCAGGGAACCACCTCAATATCCGGATGTCAGATGTCAGGTTGAAGGCGCCTCGAGTCGGTGATGCTCCACGGAAGCTGAGATGGGAAACACATCTGTATGCATGCATACTACCCAACCACCCTTGAACCTTTACCACGAGTACCACGAGCGCGCATCGCATCTAATACCTGTACCACGTGGTCGCTCCTATTCGCCACCCCCACCCTCCCTCGAACCTGTACCACGGGTACCACGAGCACGCGTCTGGTCTAGATACCTGTACCACGTGGTCGCTCCTACTCGCCACCCCGTCGCTCCTAATCGCCACCCGCGTACCTAACCAACTCTCACCCTTCAGCCGTGCCGTGCCGAGCCGTGCCGTGCAGAGCAGTGCCGTGCCGTGCCGTTCTTCTGCTCCTCCGCCATGACCTAGAAAGGAAGGAGAGGGAGAAAACGGTGAAAGCTCCAGCGGCCTCCCCTCGACGAAACCTGCGCACTAAAACACGAAAGAACGTTAGTAAAGCTGATGAAAACAAGATGAAAACAAGAGCAGAAAAAACAGGAAAAGCGAAGACGACAGAAAATTCCAGCAAAGCGCGATAAAGCTCATCAAAGCACGACTAAGGTAGGGAGAATCACCCGTTCTTGCGTTCCTCCAGCCGTTGTCTTCCAGTCCGTTATGCTCCCGACCGTTGTGTTCCTCCTCCGTGGACCTGATGAGGGAAGAAACAGAGAGAACGACAGAAGGGGAAGAATGATAACACCCGCGGCCTCCCCACGCTTAACCTGCAACAAAGAGGAATCGACGAAAAGACGTTAGTAAAACCGATGAAAACAAGAGCATAAAACAAGAGAAAGAAAAGCAAAGATGACAAGAAAGCACGAAAAAGCGCGACAAAGAACGACACAGGTAGAGAGGCTTACGTTCTCCCAGCGGTTGTGCTCCCGTCCGTTGTCCTCCCGTCCGTTATGCTCCCGACCGTTGTGCTCCTCCTCCGTTAACCTTAGGAGGGAAGAAACAGAGAGACAGACAGAAGGGGAAGAATGATAACACCCGCGGCCGCCCCACGCTTAACCTGCAAAAAAGAGGAATCAACGAAAAGACGTTAGTAAAACCGATGAAAACAAGAGCAAAAAACAAGAAAAATAAAAGCAAAGATGACAAGAAAGCACGGAAAAACGCGATAAAGAACGACATAGGTAGAAGGGCTTACGTTCCTCCAGCCGTTGTGCTCCCGTCCGTTGCGCTCCCGTCCGTTGTCTCCGGTCTGTTGTGCTCCCGTCCGTTGCGCTCCCGTCCGTTGTCTCCGGTCTGTTGTGCTCCCGTCCGTTGTGCTCCTCCTCCATTGACTGAGGAGACACGAGAGAGAGAGAGAGAGAGAGAGAGAGAGAGAGAGAGAGAGAGAGAGAGAGAGAGAGAGAGAGAGAGAGAGAGAGAGAGAGAGAGAGAGAGAGAGAGAGAGAGAGAGACAGAAGGGAAAAATGATAACACCCGCGGCCTCCACTCGCGTAACCTGCACCAAAACGGAAGAAAACGGAAAGGAGTTAGTAAACGTGCGAAATAAAAGCAGCAAAAAGCGGAAAAGAACCTTACCGTTTTCACGTTCATGTCGACGTTGCTGCGTTGCGGCTGCGTCTGCACCACGAGAGGCTGACACCGACATCACCCGTTATAGCGTTTAAGGAAAAAAGCAAAAGCACGACAAAAGCACGAAATAAAGCACGACGAAAAGCACGACGAAAAGCGCGACAGAGCTCGAGGGACTTACAGACGGTTACCTTTCTGGCCAGGATCCACCGGGCCTTGTGCTCCTCCGCCGCTTCCTTGAGAGAGAAAGGAGAGAGGAAAAAAAGGAGGTGAAAACACCCGCGTCCTCCTCGTCCCTTGTGCTCCTCCGGCCTTGGCCTGAAACGACGAAAGAGAGGACGGGAGAATGAGCCGCCTCGCTTGTGTCTTCGCTCCGAGATCCTCCTCGCTTGGGTCTTCGCTTGTGCCGGTTCCCTGTACATCACGGAACAATCATGATTAGCCCGCCGATGGAAAAATAAAAGAACAGCAGTAAAGCACGACAGACTTATCCTGACGATCTCGACGCCTTAAGTTCTTCAAGTAAAAACAGTCTTCAAATGTCTTCGGGTTGAGGCTTGTAAGCACGTTCGAAGATAAGAGGCTTGTAGGCACGATAGGAGGTGGGAGGCTAGGAGAGGAGCACCATCGAGGCACACGAGTCAGCCAGAAGCATGTAGCAAAGCGTGCGCTGCTAGCCTATGCTGCGACTCTGCGCTGCGACTCTGCGCTGCGACACTGCGCTATGCTGCGATGCTGCGCGCCTAATGCTGCGAACCTACGCGCGACGCTGCGATGCTGCGAGCGCGCTGCATGCCTTTGGCTGACTCGGGCTTTCCGGTGCTCCTCATAGAAAAAAGACTTTGTCGAAAATTTATCAACCAACTGATTGAAGCTAGAAAGGACATATAGTGACTTCTCAAGCTAACCAGTTGGTGTGGGAGAAGGTCTGATCGTGGTGTGGTGCACTGTGCTTGAACCAGTTGGTTGGATGCGCGAGACTGCCAAAATCATCAGCGCAGCAAGTTTTGGCGGCCCGAGGAGTCAGATCGACTGGGGTGGTGATGCATTCGGACTCATAGAAGAAGTTGTGTATGTTTCTCTCAAGTCGTATGGTGCTGCGTGTGCGGCTCAGTCGTTTCTCTCAAGTCGTATGTGTGGCGTGTGCGGCTCAGTCGACAAGGTGCGGTTTGTGAATCAAAAAATAGTGGCGCCTCCAAAAGTGAATCCGCAGACAAGGTGGGGCTTGTGGCTCTGATTGGTTATCGTGAATTCGGCGATGGCCGACGGACGGGTCGCCAAGTTGATCGTTATTTGTGATGTCGGCAAGTTTTGGTTCAACTTCGGGGGGAGTCAGAACAATTGGCGCGATGAAACTGTTGGCATCCATACCCCATTGTAGCTGTTCTTGCTTACACGATTTTGTGTTTTTGCTGAACACTTTGTGCTCAGTTTGGCTTCGTTTGTGTTTATGTCCCTGTGCTCGTACATGGTTGAAGCTACGGCAGGGAAGCTCGGCTCTGCGACAGAGAGGTTACAAAACACGGGCAGGTTACGTAATAGGCAAGCGAGACTTTTGCGTGAGTTACGGGACGGCAACAACACGAAGCTCGTTTTTTTTTTTTTCTAAAATTCACCGTAGCTAACAGGTTTGCTGTCGCGTTGAACAAAGATTGGGCAGTTGAACAGAACAGTTTGGAGGGAAAAATATGCAAGGACCAATCAGAACTTGAAACCGTGAGAAAAGGCAAAATTAAATGGGGGTCACCGCAAAACCAATCGAAAGCCCAGATCCCTCCTGTCTCAGATCTGACCATTTGGTTACCTGGCTCAGATCAGATCTTAGAACCTGTACTAGTTATCTCGCTTACCCTTGCGCTTGCTCGTAGTTATTCGCATTTTCCGTTCTCGTATTGTAGTAGCGTTGGACTTGAGTCCCGGTTCAGATCTTACCCTGGGTGACAGCGCGCTATCGGATGCTTATGATGTACCTTTGTAATTTCCGTCTGATTAGGTTACTAAATTCCCGGAAGGCACTCATTTAGCGCATGTCACGCTTCTTCGATTTCCGCGTTAATCTCCTACCGTACGGGACGGGTTTTTTTCTACAAACCCTAAAAACGCTATGTTTCTGTGATGCGCACTGACGCTATCTCTTATCACGCAACCAGATGCTGTCTTAACTCGAAATTAGAACGATATAATCGGTTTATTTAGGCACCTAAACTTGTTCGTGTCAGAATCTAGCAGCAGGAATGAATGAACTAGCAGCATGCAGGAGTACAAGTAGTAAACCCTAATTGGGCTGTACCCCATATGGGCTACCCCACTACAGCCTAGACAATATCCAGCATATATGTTTGACACACCCCCATAGGCAAAGTGGGGGAGAACAAGGGGTCAAACGACCAGTCAAGAGAAGCAAAGCAAGCTCAGGGTGGATCTCAACGTCACCACACATTCTGAGCACAAGCAAAGGGCCACAAGGCCAGTCCACATGCAGAGATATATATGCAACAATAACAGTACAGTGATGACTACCTAGCAAGAGCAGGCATGCATGTATATATATAGATCACAGTACAAGCAGAAACTACAGCAAGTGTGGAAGCGTAGGCACAAGGCCTAACAGGGTACAAAAGCGCTGATGATCACCAGACGGAAGTGCCTTGGTGAATATATCAACAGTGTTGGCCCGAGTGGCCACGTGACGAAGACGAAGCTGGCCTCGCTGCTGCAACTCTCGAGCCAGGAAGTAACGCAGAGCAATGTGCTTCGTTCTGTGCTCCAGTCTGTGCTCCTCACACAAGGCAATGGCGGCCTTGTTGTCGACGTACAGCACTGGAGGAGAACGAGGCTGCTCTCCCAAGTCAGTCAGCAGGTAGGTGAGCCAGCGTAACTCCTGTGCAGCCATGGCTGTGGCGTAGATCTCAGCCTCACAACTGGAGCTGAGAACTGAAGACGAGCGTGTAGTGTCAAACATTATACATGTTGTATTTGTGTAGGCTGTAGTGGGTTAGCCTATAGGGGGGTCACAACATTAGGGTTTCATATTTGTACTCACAATCCTTGCTAGTTCATCATTCCAGTCTGTTCTTGTTGACATGGTTTCAGAGCAGGTCCTTCGCTAGGACCGTTTTTTTTTTTTAGGGCCCACCGTTCCCTACCTACCTACCTACCTACCTAGGGCGCCTCGAATTTTTTTTTTTAACGGCCCCTACATCCCGCGACCCGCGACCCGCCCCTTAAGGCCCCGTCGCGCCGCCCCTTAGCCGCTCGCGCGCGGTCGTTTTCATACGTGCGCCCCGCCTGCTGCCCGCGCGCGCCTTATTTCCCTCGCGCGCGGCCCGTCGCCTGCTCGCGCACGCCCCGCAGCCGCCCGTCGCCTGCTAGCGCACGCCCCGCAGCCGCTCGTAGCCTGCTCGCGCACGCCCCGCAGCCGCCCGTCGCCTGCTCGCGCACGCCCCGCAGGCCCGCAGCCCGCCGTCGCAGCGGCCGCCCGCCCGCAGCCGCCCGTCGCCTGCTCGCGCACGCCCCGCAGCCGCCCGTCGCCTGCTCGCGCACGCCCCGCTGCCCGCAGCCGCTCGTACGCCGCTGCTTCCGCTGCTGCTTGCGCACCGCTGCCTCCCGAGCGCCGCCGCTGCCTGTGCGCCGCCGCTGCCCGTGCGCTGTCGCTGCCCCTACGCTGCCGCTGCCCGTGCGCTGCCGCTGCCCGTGCGCCGCTGCCGCCCGTGCGCTTCTGCAGCCGCCGCCCGCGAGGCACTCGCTCTCACTGTTGTTTATTTTCTACCTACCGCGCACACTGCTGCCACTGCAGCTGCCACCAGTGCGCCGTTGCAGCTCCTGCTGCCACGCTACCTACTACTGCCGCTCGTGTGCCACTACGGACTGTTGACCCCGCCCGCGCCTTGCCTAGCGGCCCCGCCGGCCCCGTTGACCCTCCGCACACCTTTCCAGCGGCCTGATTCCTACTACTACTGTTACTACTGCTACTACTGCTACTGCTACTGTCACTATGGCTAGTCCTCCAGTTCTAGCTTTCGATGCCGAGGGCCGTCCAGTGAAGTTCGAAACCTGGCTAGATGACCTGCACCTGTTCCTACAGCTCACAGCCAAGGAAGATATCTCACTGTACGACCACGCCCTAGGCCATGCCACTGCCCCTGACTCGTCTGCTGACAGCACTCTGCGTTCCCAGTGGCAGACCCGTGATGCGCACGCTCGCTTTGCTATTCGCAACTCCCTGCCGCTAGACGAGCGCGAGCACTTCGGCCAGTGCAAGACTGCTAAGGACCTCTACACCGCTGTAGTTGCCCGCTACTCCTCACCCGCTTCTGCCACGCTAGGCCGCCTCACTCTCCCCTACCTGTTCCCCGACCTAGCCTCCTTTCACACTGTCGCAGACCTCATCACCCACCTTAAGACTAGTGAGGCCCGCTTTCGCGCTGCTATGCCTGCCGAGTTTCTCACTAGCAACCCCCCCCCGCTCTGGATCACTCTCTACCACATCGTCACCCGCCTCCCTGACTCTCTGCGCGCAGTCAGGGACCACTTCCTCTCTCGCTCCCCCACTGAGCTCACTGTTGCCCTCCTCGAGAAGGAACTGCTTGCAGCTGAGGCGAGCATCGTCGCTGTAGGCACCTCTCGTGGCGACCCCCGCACCCCGTTCTTTGAGGGGTGTTCCCCTTCCCCCCTCCTCCCCTCTGTCGCCTCTGCTGCTGCTGTCGACCTTCTTGGTGCTGAGAAGGTCGGGACCGCGTCTGCTTCGAGCGGGCGCCGCAGGAACAAGGGGGGCAGGGGTGGGGGTGGCGGCGGCGGTGGGAGTGGAGGCGGGGGGGAGGTGGCGGCAGTGGGGGAGGAGACAGCAGCGGTGGGAGTGGTGGCGGAGGCGGCAGCGGAGGCGGAGGTGGTCGTGGCGGCGGCAGGGGTGGAGGTGGCCGGGGCGGCGGCGGTGGGGGTGGTGGTCGTGGAGGCACTGGCGGAGGGCAGAGTCAGCAGCCCGCCCCGACGCTTCAGGCCGCCCGTGAGTGGTATGCGCAGCGTGGCTTTACCTGCACGTACGTCATTCGCACAGGTGACCGCAGCGGCCAGCAGTGTGGGAGGCCGCACCCCACGCAGCGCTGCTTCGCGCGCCTTACCGACGCGTGGCGCACTCAGTTTCCTGCTGCCACTGAGCTGCCACGCTGGGCTGATCTGGAAAAGAGGGGTGTTGATATTTGGGCTTTAGACTTTGATGCTATTCTCACTGCCATGTATGCGATGTCTATTAGTGGAGAGGGTGCTCAGTACTTGCGTGTTCCGCCCGACCCGGGCATTCAGGCCAGTCCGGCTGCCGCTCTAGGTACTAGTGCGTCTGCTCCCACAGGTCCTGGTGAGGCTGCAGCCCTAGGTGCTAGTGCGTCCGTGCCCCCTGGTACTGAGTCGACTGCAGCACTGCACACCTTCACACTGGACTCAGGTGCTTCTCGTGACCGCACTGTCCTTGAGCCACTCGCTCGGCCAGTTGCTGTCTCCCTTGCTGACCCCTCTGGGGGTCCGGTCATTGCGACCTCCTCCACTGTCCTTCCTTGTCCGGCGGTCCCGTCCGGCATGCTGTCAGGTCTCTACCTCCCCTCGTTCTCTACGAACTTGGTGGCAGGTAGTGCGCTCCAGGACGGGGGTGTTCACCAGTTCACCCCCGCCTACGAGCGCGTGACACACTGCACGTGTGCTCGGACGGGTCGCCACCTGGCTACCTTCACTCGGGAGCCGGGGTCGGACCTTTACACACTGACCACTGAGTCCCCTCAGGTAGCTGCGTCCGCGTCTGCGTCTGCGTCAGGTCAGCTGTCCGCCCCCTGCTCGTGTCGCT